GCACAAGCTTTGTAGCTGTGCCGGCTTTCATCCTTGTACTCCCTGTAACAACCTCAGGACCAGTAACTGGGCTAATCATATAGTCAACTAGTCCGGAAGTACTCATAGTTGAAGGATTTGAACATGCAATTCCAATGGTAATGCATCCTAGCCGCTTCGCATACTCCAAGCAAGATAGCACGTAAGGGGTGCGGCCAGATGCAGCGATTCCGATCAACGAGTCAAGCTCAGGGTCAAGATTTAACACCTCCAAGTCTTGTTTACCACCATTGCTGTCATCTTCTGCACCTTCTTGGGCTTTCCGCATTGCCGCATCCCCACCAGCCATAAGAGCAACAAACTGTTCAAAAGGAGCTGAGAATGTGGGTGGTATTTCTGATGCATCGAGTACCCCAAGTCTATCAGGTGAGTGTTGGTATTAGCTGTTTTGAACGCCACAGAGCACGAAGGAGAGAGGCTTGACAGAGTATCTCACCTCCCACTGGTACCAGCACCAACATATACAACCCGTCCACCGCGGGATACACGAGGTGCCAATGCATCGATTACTGCAGCTATTCTGGGTATGTGAAGACCAACTGCTCCTGGAACTGTGACGTCTTCATCATTGATCAAACGACATAGCTCAACAGTTGAGACCTGGTCTATATTTGTAGTTCGAGGGTTCAGTCCTTCTGTCTGCAGGGTAGACAGATCAATAAACGACCCCATCATGTTAAACCCCGGCTTGTCAGTATATTATTATTTTCCCACAACTGCAGTACTTGTCGCTTGAGGCGTCCTTTGGCGATGCTGGTATTTTGAGCTATATGAAAAGAAAAGGGCGCGCTCATACTGACAAGCCATAGCTAATCACATCAAGGTCAGAAGCGGGTCGTTCTTGGTAGCCAAAATGACCCACAGAGAGGCTTTTCCCAAGTAAGGCTCCAGGAACAAAGCTTGTAAATGCCAGACAGCCGTAGAAGATCTGGACCAAGAAGCTTGAAGGCACTTTTACGGTTGCGGTAGCATTTCGTTGATGCTACATAACTCTGCCTCCAATAGTAGCCATACTTACCTCGTAAAAACTGCTATATGGTCATCTTCCATGACCTTCCATGTAACTCATCACACTTCAAGACCTTAAATATTCTCTTCATAATCCTTTTTTTATATATGAAATATACATCGCTCTGGAAATAAAATCCAATATAAAAACTGCACGTAAATACCACTACTGCACGTGATTTCACCCCAAAAAGGCAATTCTCGACGTCGTCTTTACTCTCTTAAAGAATTACTCCCTTGAAAGTTGTGGATGTTCTCCGGCTTTTTAGAGAATATCTCAATGGCATGGCGAAAGTGTCCATCTCAGGGCTTCAGTTTTGTCTCTGCATCCTATCGTGAAGGAATACGCCACCAGGTCAATAATACGAGGCCGTACAACTTCGGATTTTGTTCGCCCGAGAGCTATGTGACATCGGGCCCACTGAGCAATCTCTGGTTCAAAAGGACGATATTCTCAATCGATGCGGAGACGAAAGCGTATGGCCATGTTTTACCATTAGATGGGACGACGAGGCTCTTACTTGCCGACTCTCCCGCAATTTGGGATGAGCTGCCTGAAGTTAATATGTATAAAAAGCATGTCTTACCCCATGGTTGAAGGATCATTACCCCCATGTCTAAGATGTTGCAGTTGGATACAACCTTCTGCTGCACCTGAAAGTGACCATGCGACTTCCCCACGCCTTAAACAGGCGCCATTAAAATCCTCCAGCTTGTTGGCTCTGTTGTATATATATCACGGCGCTTCCCACGCCTTTATCATATTGGTGAAAGTTATATCAAAGATATAACGCTGATTCTTGATCTTGAGGCAACAGTGCTAGTGTCTGACTGGATAAGTGAGACAAAGAGAAGAGGGAAAGTATGGCAGGCTCCGTGTCTATAGCTCCACAGGCAGGACAGATGGGCAACGGCGAGCCCGAAAGCCCCAAGTCATCTAAATGGTTAGACATCTACAGCCATGCATGGTTCCAGGTGCTACTGATCAGTTTTATCTGCTTTTGTTGCCCAGGTGTAAGCTGTGTTTCTTTCCAGTCTCAGCGTGCAACTTACTGAACAGCTTGCTATAGATGTACAATGCTCTCACAGGGCTCGGAGGGTCCGGCCAGGTAGACGCAACTGTTGCTGCCAATGCAAATGTTGCACTGCTCTCCGCCACGGCAGCTACGGCACTCTTCGTTGTTGGACCGATATTCTCAATTATTGGTCCTCGAGCCTGCTGGTTAGTTGGTGGGTGGACATACGCCCTATACAGCGCGAGTCTGTTGAACTTTAACAGTAAGTCCTACATTTAATCCCCAAAATAAGATCGATATCAAATGCTAAGACGATAATAGTACGACACAACGGTTCATTTGTGATTGCTGCTGGAGCCATTCTTGGTGTTGGTGCCTCGTTTCTATGGGTCACTCAAGGGGCCATCATGACCACCTATGTCCCTGAGTCGCAAAAGGGCCGAGCCATTGCTGTTTTTTGGATAATCTTTAACCTCGGTGGCATGATTGGTTCTCTGGCCAGTTTTGGGATAAACTTCAATTCCAAAGAAGGCTCGGTATCGAATAGCACGTATATTGCAACAATGGTAATTATGATATTTGGATGGGTTATTGGTGTCTTCATCTGTCCCCCATCCCGCATCAAGTTACTACAGCTGCATGAAGCGGAAACCAGCGTCGTTCATCAGTCAATAGGGAAGAGGCTAGCGAGCATATTTCACTCTCTCCTGCAGATCCGAGTACTATGCGTTCTCCCATTGTTCTTCTGTGCCAACGTATTCTACTCATACCAACAGAACAATGTCAACGGAACTACGTTCAACATCCGCACTCGATCACTTAACTCAGCTATATATTGGATGGCACAGATGTTCGGTGGTTTGTTAATGGGCTATCTTCTTGATTTTGCCTACTTCAACCGCCGGCAGCGCGCATGGCTTGGCTGGGCTACACTTATGGTCACCGGTATGGCGATCTGGGGCGGTGGACTCGCCTTTCAGCGCTGGGAAGATGACCGGCTTGCCCACGGCTTGAAGCAGGATATCGACTATGCCCGTGATGCCAAAATTGCTACAGGTCCTATATGGTTGTATTTCTTCTACGGGGCATATGATGCCTTGTGGCAGGGATACTGCTATTGGTTAATCGGTACGATGTCGAACTCTGCGGCTGTGGCAGCTGTGTTGGTGGGTGCGTATAAAACATTTCAGGCCGCCGGAGGTGCAATGGCTTGGAGAGTCAATGCCCTTGGCGCTGCTCCGTTGACTCAGTTTGCGATGGATTGGGGTCTGTGTATTGGGGCTTTGGTGCTGGCCATTCCAACCGTTTGGATGGTTACGTTGACTAGCGTTGATGATGAGGTTACAATGGCAGAGGAGAAGAAAGTAGACGAAGGTGATGATAAATAGTTATGAATCATGGTCCCACCTGGATATTAAAACTGTATATAGTAATGCATATTATGTTAACAAAAATTATGGAAGTCTAGTAAGCGCCCAACCTATCATAACTTCGCAGCTAAGTGGCATCTGGTGGCATGTTGGTATGAGTCTAGGAAAATATGATGAAGACATTCCTTACCGTCCCGAAATGGGTAACAATGATATAAGTAGGAAAATAAAAAATAAATAAATGGAGGGTATAATTTGGTAGTAGCTTTAGACATATGCGTGTGATGGCAATTAAGCTACCACAAATGCAGGATTTTGAGAATGTCGTAGCGATGGAAGAAGGAACGGTTGCGTTTGCCGAAGATATCTATAATGTATTCTGATTAGAATTGAGTATAGGGTAGAGGAGTAAAGGAGTCCTTACACATTGGTATACTGAGCAGACAGACAGCTACTTCGACACCACCAATGATGAGGAAGACCTTTTTAGGTCCTCCCAACACCACCCAGTTGTACGCGAAGTAGGTAAGCAGGAAACTGAACATGTTCTTGAAAACGAGCAGACATGTGAACGCCTCAATGGCGATTTCACCTGTATACCTTGTGAGCCACTAATATCTAGACAGGCCGAAAAAAAAGGGAGGAACTTACGATGGGCATCGACAATATACAGGGCACTAGCGACAGCACCCATAACCATGCCGATAAGGACAAACATGAAGAAGACATCTGGGATGACCCATCCGTACTTCGGCACGTTTCCAGCTGCAAACCCAAACCCAAATAAGCCAATACCGCTAAATATCAGCTGTGGTAGGACGAGCCAGATACGGAACTCAGGCTCATATTTGCCTTTGTTGGCACGAATCAGCATATTAGCGGACCAGTCTGAGAATAAACCTGATAGGAACAGCCCAACGACGGCCCCGATGAAGGCGCCCGTGTAGAGGTATCCCGTCTCTACCTCTGAGAACCACAGCGGCGGGCCTAGGAAGAGGGCAGCTAGGACTACGCCGATAAAGACTGTCCAGCCAATGATGACACCTTGGATCAGACAGGCCTATTGATGTTAGTGAGCTATGATAGACTAGGCTATAGAACAAAAAAAAAGAGGGGGCTAGCTTACCCATGCGATACTGGGGTGAAAGAATAGCGGGAACGGCCTGAGTAGGAGCTTCCAAAAACTTTCGTCTGTCTTGCGGCCGTTGAAGAGAGCCAGGGATTCGACGAATGTAGCCTTCTTCGGTATCTGGGAGGACGTCGCATCGCCGTTGGCAGCTACGGCGCCAGAGCTTGTTGGTCCATCGGCGGAGTCGACCTCTGCGTCCTTCTCAATATTCTCCGAGGCATTTACTCTGGCTGTTCGTCGATCAGCGTCTCCCGAAAAGTCAGTGTTGAGATGTTTGGCACGCTTGTACGCGGTCTCGGGAACGAAGAAGAAGACTAGAGGTAAGCAGGCACCGGCGAAGATGGCGATGAAGTAGAACGTCCACTCCCAGCCCAAGGTATGGGTCATCTTCCCTGCAATTACTGGGGTGAGGAATGCGCCTCCGAAAAGTGCAACGTTAGATAGGGCCATGCGTTTTCCGCGCTCCTACTTTTGTGTTAGTATATGATAAGAGGTAGTAAGGATTATATATGTAGTAACATACGTGAACGAAGAAGAGGTCGCCAACGACGGCATTTACAAGAGCCTCGAACGGGGCGAGACCAACACCCTGCCACACTCTGGCCCAAATCAAGCTGGTATGGTTTGACTTGCTTGCGCCGGCCCAGGCGCAAGTGACGACAACTATCAAATTACCGAGCAGGAACAGATGTCTTTTCCCCCATACTCTAGCGGTAGGCACTATTATGATGCCCGCGACTCCGACTCCGCATAGGTGGTATCCCGTCAGGAGAGCGGCCTGGGTGAAATTGATGGTATAGTTGAGTGCGATTGTGACCGTGTTTGCGGCCATGATGGGAGACGTCGTGGCGCATATCACAGAAGTAAGTGAGAGGATGAATAGGATCAGGTCGCGTTTCCATAGCGGCCAGTTCTATTGCTCGTCAGTACTCTTATCGTGTTAAATTCATGAATAGATGCTATAAAATATTTAGATATTTATAGCTTCTGTGCTTCCTTACCAATGGATCGTTCGGGTCGTCACTGGGTTGCGGAACGAGAATGATAGGAACTGGACCCGACTTGTCGTATTTGAGGTGCGATTCTTCGGGAACTGGCGTCTCTACGGAGCTGCCATCATCATCGAGCACATAGGTGGTCCCTAATATCAAGTTAATTCCTGTATCTCTCCCTGGTAGTGTTCATGTTGTGCTCGTTTCATCCGGTGGACTGACCAGGAACATGGTCGAGCTTGGTGTCTTCGAGGATGCCCAACGCCATGATGGAAAGGCCGATGAAAAACGAGAGAAAGGATCCTCCTGTTATCTCCAGACGAGCATAGCTTGAACAGCTTCTCTGCTCCAGCCTTTAAAGTGGTGTGTGGACTGATGTGGTTCACTTTTTTCCCTTTTGACCCCAGTCTGCCGCCTCCTTCACAAACGTAAAAAGAATCGGCCAAACGACGCCACCAAGATGCGAACTAAAAGATAGGCGGTACAAGGATTGCTCCAGGTCAGAGCCAGCAGATCCTCTCTGTTACATCCATCCACCCTTTCGGTTTTTCTTTTGCAGGGTGACCTGATTATTATTTGCTGTTATCCGATGCAGTTTGCTGGCAGGTGGAGGGACAAGAACGCAGCTGTCCTTGACCAGTGGAGGGAGCCCCAGAGTCTCTTCGCCGATTTCAATCCTGACTGGCCCGTCAAGACCTGAATTTGCGGGTAACCCGTGAGTCTCTTGGGATGTTAGTTACAGCTTCGTCAACACGGCGGTTTTATCCTACGTAGACGCGTGAGAAACAGTACCAGAACATGGAAGACGAGTATCATACCTGTAGATGAATATAGTTACCTGTACAATCACCCCATAAAAGCACAACTGTAGAGCGTGTCAAGAGTAGAAAAAGATGAAGATATTGGACATGGATCAGGGGAAAACTTGAACCCCCAAAAACTTATAACTTTCGTCCTTTTTCCGCTTTCGTCTTGTCTTCGACCTCCAACAACCTTCAACCTCACCAACAAGACCAACAGCAAAAGACTACCAGACGTACACTCGCTTCAATCACCTTATAAACACTCACTGTCGCCATCATGAAGTTCTCTGCCGTTGCTGTCGCTGCTCTCATCACCGTCGCTGCCTCTCAAGGCATCAGCGAACTCCCCAAGTGCGCTGTACGTCTTCTTCATCTCTCCTTCAGTGTATAAACAACTAGTTCTAACGTCTCTATAGCAAGTCTGCGCCGGTAAAGGGTTCCCTGCAGAATGCGGCGCCGATGTCAAGTGCATCTGCACTTCTAGCTCGTTCCTCGACGCCATCACTTGCTGCGTCGCGACCTCGTGCAACTCTGACGAGCAGAAGAGTGAGTCTCGTTCATGCTCTATCAACGTCTACATACCATTGCTGATACACGGTAGAAACGATCCAATTCGCCAAAGGAATCTGTGGCGGCGTGGGTGTCAACGTCCCCGACTCCGCCGTCTGCCCAACTGCCTCTTCTTCCGGCCCTGGTGCGCCATCCTCGACTGCAGCTCCCTCCGGCAGCACCTCTGAGACCGGATCCGTCACCGGCACCGCCATCACTGGAACCGTCTCCCCTACCGGCACCAGCAGCCCATCTGGATCCGCTACCGAGTCTGGCTCTTCCTCCACCACCCACTCTACCGGTTCTGGCTCCCCAACTACCTCCTCGGCCAGAACTCCAACCCAGACCGGCAACGCTGCTTCTTCCGTCAATGCGAACGGTGGCCTCCTCGCTGCTATTGCCGCTCTCGTCGTCGCTGTTGCATAAATCAAGCTCAACCCGTCTATATACATAATCAAGTTCAGTTCGCGCATGCAGCGCAGAATTATTGTCTAGAGAGTTGATGTCCTGAATGCGGAACTCGAGAAAAAGAGGTTCCATGCAAATAACTTGCCGTCTCCTTTGTTCTCTCCTTTGTCCCTTTTGTCCATCACTTAATGCAGTATATTTTACCATGCAATATACCATTATGTAATTACTTCCTTCGTTTGCTTTCTTTTTATTCTTCTTATGACATGAAGATATTCGTCTTACCCTAGATTGTTATTACGAGATATCTTTTTAATTTTTAATATTACAGGCCATCCTTGACATACTTCAATGTATATGTACATGTGTGTGTTTCCATCTTGCCGTCGTCATCCCCGTCGTCATCGTGCATCTTCTCGCAGGCTAAGAACCTGGTCATTTCGTCTCCCCCGCAACGTCAACCCCAGATTTTATCACTAAGACATGTACAGCTGCTAATGCGGTTTGACGGAGATACAGCTTTAGTGCATATATTCTCCACTTGATATCATCATGGATGTCTTTGCTCTGCTGAGGTTCTGCAGGGCGAAACCTATAAGTTCTATCTCAGTCTATACAGATAAACGACCTGGAGATTTGTTTAAAATTTTCTGGAACTGGCACTCAAAGGACTCTAGGCAAAGGACCCTGTCAAAGATAGCGATTTGACTGCTTTTGCTCTTCTGCATCAATATGCTGACGGCTGCAAGACGAGCGACCCAGTTTCCACGGGCACGAAATACGCCTACATCCAGCGGAGGGTCGAGCAGCTCCTCCCAGCAGTCTATAGATGTATACTCATGTTCAAGAGGTTGGCCATCGTGGCTAGGACAGACATCCCCACTTCCAAGCGTCAATCTACTCTTGTCGATGCCGAGAATATCTAGATCCGCTACCCATTCTCCGCGGTCTCGGACAGCTATCACTGATTCAACGAGATAGACGTCTTGGTCGATGGTTTGGGTGCCTGTCGTCGCTAGAGGCAGAGTCCAGTTTGTAAAGGAGAGGTGTAAAGAGGTATCACTGAAGTTGTTCTCCCTCTTCAGGTCGTACGGAGCGTGGTTGACGATACGGTGGTCATCCTGCAACGGACGTATCTGTGGGTTTCGAGGCGCGATCAGCATCGAGATGCCTTTCCTCCCAATGTTGCCGACCAGTCGCCTGATGTTGTACTCATTAATCGGAGCCGCGGGATCAGAAAGTACAGCAGCCGCTACGAAGATCGAATTCTCAGTACACATTGCCAGCGTGCTTTCCAGGTCATTCGGGTCGATGTTTGCCTGGCCTGAACCTAGGTGAGCAATGCAGGCGAACGCTTCTTGTCTGCTTAGTGGTATTTTCTTGTCTTCCACCTGGTAGATCTTCTTTGCCTTGGCTCTATAGAAGCCATCTTCTCCATACCACCTGGTTGTTACCCACCTAGCTTTGTGTAGCGGTTTAGATACGATACCTGGCATTATAGTTGAACCGCCTAGGTAGCTGTACAAGACGGTAGCAAAGTATAGAGCATCAAGGGCGAGACGACTATCCTCGGGAATAAACCGAGATTCGATGAATACGGAAATTCTTGCGTCATTTATAAGTGTCCTCGAAGATATCGCGTCCAGATACCGGTCCAGCCTCTCTTTACATATCGGGCGCTGGAGAAGATGCTGAACGGCCGCGCGGGGAGTTATATTGCCGCATTCGAGGCAAGCTCCAGGTAGGGTTATGCGATTATCCGTTCCTCTAACGAATAGGGAGAGCCGCAAATTCCCATATGTGCGGATAAATTGAGTAGAAGAGAACTCCCTCAATGCGTAGGGTATATTTACGAGCTTCAAATCAAAACATTGGCATGCTCCTTGCTCCTTTGGCATAGGACATTCCAGGTCTGATGCTGCAGGCTGCCCACGGACTTGCCCAGAGCGGAAGAGCAGAGGAGGATTGTGCCAACGCCGCGGCTCACCTTGATCGGTCCATCCATGCTTGACGATAGTGCAGTACTCGTTGGAGTCTCCAATCTCGGCGATGCGCCTTTTTATATCCATCTCAATGTCGGCCCTGTTGGTGGCACTCTTGGAACATATAAAGTACCACCTGGCATGTGTCATTTTGAAAACTTCTCCTCCTTCCGAATCTCTCTTGCCGTGAACCTTTGTTCGATAGGGAACAGCAGTGATATATTCATAGTAATCAGGGGATACCCCCTTTGAAGTGCTTCCTACGGAATGAACACGGATTATGAGACAGTCACTACTCGCAGAGCCCATAGACTTTGCAAGCCATCTCAAGTATGTGATGTTGCACTCGCTCCCTGAAAGTGCAGAGAGGACAGGTTCGTTACAGAGGCCAAAGTAGGGTGGGATTGTGTCTTCATCCCTTCGTAAGAACTGACTTGCCCGTCTTTGGCCGTACTTGAGAAGTCTGATATTTTCATCCCTTTCTTCCCCCGTAGATGAGTCGAATTTTCTTGAAGCTTGGATTAAAGGCTGAATCCATTTGGCAGAATAGACAATCTTTCTGTCCTTTCCGTCTAATATGTCTCCAATGCTACAGAATAGCTTAACTGCGTCTTCGAGGTCTCTTGCATTAGCTCCCCAGTGACCAAGAAGGCCTCCGAGCGCGACAAGGCAGAGCTGAGAGATAGTGACTCGAGAGTAATCTGCCGGGCTAGTGACGTTAACGGCGTTGCCATAATATTGTAGATGGGACAGGGCCAACGACCACTGTACGCCTTCATTTTCCCCAGAGGGTTGTATCTCAAGACCGATCGTACAGACACCAGTACAGGGAAACAAGGGGTCTTCAAATTTCACATTCACCGTCTTATTCCTCAGAACGATGAGATCCGGGTAGAGATGCCAGGATGAAAGGGCGAGAAGCACGCCAGCATCTGATATCGACTGGGGGCGACCGCACAATAGGTCCTCAATGGCCAGCATCGCCCGTTTCCAGGTTGATATGACTTTGTCATAGGTGGAAGAGCCTCCCAGGAATGGAATAGTGATATTCTTCCGCATGAGGAGCAACTGTTTGTGCTCCCGCTGCTTCGCCTGGTCAGCAGTGCGAAGCCAGGAGCGCGAGCTTGCATCCCACAGTGCAAGGTCGTGCCTTGCAATCGACTGGAGAGAACTCATTGCGCTGGCTATGGAGACAGGGTGGCTGCTCTCAAACGCATTCTCAATTTCCTTTTTCCTCTGATCGACCAGCTCAACCCAGATTGATATCGCTTCTTTGGATTCCCATGCCCGGGCAAGGAGACAAGAGAGAAGATAGATGCCCAATGCAGCGACTCCCGATGTTGCGGCCGCCCATACAGCTGTCCCATCTGCCCCAATATACTCTCTAAATGGACCATGAGATCGAGATCCGACAGGGTTGACGCCGGGAGTCTCGATGATTTCAGATACCCTCTTCCCGTACGCGGAGATGAGCTTCGGTGTAGGAGGAATCAGGGGCTCAAATAGGGCAGCCAACCGTCGAGCTGTCTGGTGCTGAGGGCCATATTCAGCTTCCTCTCGTCGCCTTAGAGTTAGAGCAGAACCCAGCGGCTGGAATTCGATGGGAGCCTCAACCTTGAGGAGTGAGAAATCGAACTTGAGGTTCGCCAGAGATGCATTATTTTCGTTTGTTGCTGAGAGAAAGGAGTTTTTGAGCGAACTAAAGATAGACATTTGGTACCAGATAGAGATATACTATTTAAGCAGTAAACAAGAGTAATTCCAGGAGGATTAGCTACCTAATACTTAGGGAACTGGGATAGCTGGTGCGATGGCCATGGATTAAATAAATAAATAATAGAGAAAACAGCCAGCATGGCGAGGCTGAGCAGGCCTTGCATGAATATTATGTTTAATGCATGCAGATTCATCCATGCATTCTGATTTATCAAGTGCCCAACGGAGTGCTTTTCTAAGCAGGGCAGCAAATGGAAGACCTGGTTTGTATCTTCGTCTATTAGTGTATGTGTATTTGTTTATCCAGTAAAGCATGCCGTATGAGAAAAAAAACAGAAGCATCGCTATAAAACGCGGACAGAAGAAGAGAAGTAAAAGGAGGGAACAGGGGATGAGCATGCATCTTATATCAGGAAAGCATGCAAAGGGTCGCAGTCCAGAGGATGTCATGTCATCGCAAAGCCGCAACCATGTCAGCACCTACGCCCACACCGACAGACCGAAGGTGACTCTCAGCCCGTCTCTTCTCTTCCCGGAGTGCAAACAATATCTATGATATGATGCATTAGTTCCAGCAAGTTCTAGTCAAGGATGATGTGTACTCACCCAGCATGAAAACATCAGTTCTAGCACCCCGTAGCCCAACACGATCTTCCTCTTTAGATCACCCACATCGACCCCAGATACAGGACCGGACACAGCAGCTGCAGTGTTGAGCCCGGTTCCGCTGAGATGCATGTTCTCATCAAGCCATAGTATCGTCCTCCCAGCGTTGTGGAAAGGAGTCGCCACGCTGCCTGCACCCATGGTGCTCGTTCCCGGCATGCCAATTGTCGTGACTGTGGATGGCACGGCCGTGGATACCGCACCCCATTCCGTATCAGGAGAGAGATATATCCGCAACGACACGATCATGAAGATCCATGATCGAAGCGTGATCAGGAGAAGACACAGCTGGCGATAGAGAGAGGAGAATTCAGCAGTGATCTTCAACGCTGCGTCGTTGAGCTCGGTCGACGTGGATGAGTCTGACGCAGTCGATGCAGTTGAAGACGAGGAAGATGTACGCGTGGACGCTGGTCGGGTATATGGCGGCCTCGACCTCGAGATTATTGGAGTAAAGGCAGACGACCGGGACCGAAGGAGAGATTCTCTCTGCTGACGCTCCTGCTGCTGCCGTAGCTGCTGGCGATGGATGAACTCTGCCACGGCCAGTATATGGTTCAGCGTAGGCAGCTTGATGGCCAGCGTCAGGTCGAAGAGGGCAAACGAGAGGAGAAGAATGCCGCAGTATGCAAACGGGGACCGCGGGAGGTTGAACGGCTGTATATTATCCTGTGTACCATAGTTAGTATGCTTCTATTATATGACATAAAATAATAACTTCTATATCGACGGTCTTGGTATGTTGTTAAACGGGGAGCTTACAATCCTCAGGTCGTCCTGGACTTTGTACACCAGCTCTGCGCCGCTGACGGTCTCGCGCGAGGTGGTCAGATAGATGGCCAGCGCCACCTGGAACAGGGCATGAAGCCTGATATAAGTCTTGGACGATATCCTGCCCATCTTGCGGTGATGCTTGTAGATGTACTGCGCTGGTGTTGATATCTCAGCTCCCGATGGCTGCCTTCCCGCAGGGCCAGAGAGGAGCTGCAGGGAAGAGAGAGCAGTACGATCTCGCTCGTTGGTCTCTCGATATCGGTGAGCCTCACATCACATTAGATCGCATGTCTTTGTGGCTGTCTGGAGGATGTTCAGAGAGAAAGACGAAGATGAAGCTGGAGATGTAACTATTTTACTTGTAACGAGTTAACTGCAAGGATTCGCCTTTCTTATCGACAAAAACATCCCACCAGAAAAGAACATATCGGACATTTAATGATATTAACAGTCTAATAAGACGAACTATTAATTAAAAGATCCATGGATTGCTGATATTCGTCAGATATTCCTATACCCAGGCATTTGAGCGAGTACACGGGATAGTTACAGCATGGAGCTTCGAAAGGACCGCCAGATCAAGTACTTCCTGCGCTGCCTCAAGACTCTTCTTCCACACCCTTATACCTCCAATGATTCCAATCGCATGACTCTGGCGTACTTTACTCTCGCCGGCCTTGACCTTCTGGGCGCGCTGGACGGCGCCGATGAGGAGAAGCCAGCTATCTCAGCGGCTGAGCGAGCTGGATATATCAACTGGCTGTATCACTGCCAGGTCTCGACAGGAGGCTTCCGTGGCTTCACAGGTGCAAATTTCGGTGAAGAGAAGCGGACGAAGGAGAACGAATGTTGGGATCCGGCGAATGTGCCTGCTACCTTCTTTGCGCTGGTTGCGCTGCTCATTCTCGAGGACGACCTGGCGCGGGTTCGACGGAGGGAGTGTCTCTCCTGGCTGTGTAGCATGCAGCGTGAAGATGGCTCCTTTGGACAGACACTTGGCCCTGGAGACAGCATTGACGGTGGTCGAGACCTGAGGTTCTGTTGCTGTGCGGCCGGCATCAGATATATTCTGAAAGGTGAGGAGAATGAAGGGGATATTAATGCCAAAAGGTTGATAGACTATGTCCAGGCTTGCCAGGTGAGTTGTCTATCATGTTATGATGCTCGATGCGTGTCTGGTACTTGTGCTTGTTTACTGACTCTGTTCAAGACGTATGAAGGTGGCTTTGCAGAGTCTCCGTTCAACGAGTCGAATGGTATGTTGTCTGTGAACGGTCTCTCTACTTATATTAATATGGCTTATATATGATAGCTGGCTTGACATACTGTGCGCTCGGTACACTGTCTTTTCTTGGGTGCCTACAGCCTGAGAAGAAGCTCACTTCCTCAGTTACTCTGCGTGGTTCGACGGAGAATGAGCGTCTGATATCCTGGCTCGTCTGTCGACAGACCACCTTCATTGAACAGGAAGAAGAAGATAACGATGTGACTGGAGATAATAACAGGGTTACAGAAGCACAAGGCCAGGAACCCCCTGGCACTCCCCTGGATGATGCTATAGCCTCACTGCCGGCCCTAGAGGCAGACTCACAATCAACCAGCCTCTACGCCGGATTCAACGGCAGACCAAACAAAATCGCTGACACCTGCTACTGCTTCTGGGTCACCGGTTCACTTGCAGTAAGCCTTCTCACTGTTCACCAAGCAATGGACGTCCCAAGTGTTGCACAGAAAGGTCTAACACTCCAAGTAGATGCTTGACCGTCTCAGCCTGGTCGACTCGCAGGCCAACCGCCGCTACCTGCTCGAAAAGACGCAGCATATGATCGGAGGGTTCGGCAAAACCTCTGGTGAACCGCCAGGTATGTCTAACCATCTTCTTCTTCTTCTTCTTCGGTATCCTGCGCCGTTCGTGGACTAATCAGGGGCCAATGCCAGACCTCCTCCATTCATATCTCGGCCTGGCATCTCTGGGCCTCTTTGGCGAGCAAGGACTTGACGCCGTCGACCCTATGCTGTGTGCCAGTCGACGTGTTCGAAGACACCTGGACTCGCTCTCGTGGAAGCAGACATGATGTCTTTGCATATAACTAAAACCCATGAACCTGATGCTGTACATACATGATCAAGTTATACATCCGCGTAACACAGAACCGAACCTGGAGTTCACCGTCATGCGACTCTTATACTCCGTACATTAATCCCCGTTCATAGTATCTAAATATCAAAGTGTCTGTCGACTCGATATCTACTAAGCCGGACTAACGTTTCGGGGCAACCAAAATATTTCAAGTAATAAACCAAACCGCCTCAAACGAAACAACTCGACACGATCTAAACAAGCAGAAGAAAAGAAAAGAAAAAAAAGCCTTCGAAGAACCCTTAAACCCTTAGTCTGTTTCGCACCCATCGCATTCTCCTTATCGTCTCAACGGGCCTGTCTTTTTTTTTTCTCCTTGGTCTTCACAGCCGTATTGCTTTTTGGATGGCGTTAAGGGGAGATCAAGGGGGCCATCCGACTTCGTTTTCAACGCTTCAAGAGGAATAACAATACTGCTACAGAACTATTCTCCCTTGGCTTCGTCGTCCTCTTCGAATGGAATGCATTTTGATCGATAGACTCGGCTGGCGAATTCCATCAACAGGTTACAAAACTGCGTCCTGTCCAGAGAGCTCCCGCGCGGCCAACACCTACACATGCCACCTCTAAGGTCGAGAGCCGAGTCGCAGCTTCAAAAGGAAAAGGTTGGTCGAGCGTGTGAATGCGGTCTTTACTAGGGATTATCGGGCTGTATGTCAATTGAAAGAGCAACGATTGCTGACTATCTCGTTTTCATAGCTTGTCAACTCTTACCATGAGCTCCTAAAGTGAGTCCCACCTCGAAATGTCTCTTCCTATGCTTCACACGACAGTTTAAGAAAGATTACTGACGGATCATGCTCCCTCTCTTCGTCTTTACAGCGAGTTCTCTTCAAAGGAGTTACGGAATGTGGGAAACTATGCTCTCGGGAAGTTGATAGGGAAGGGTTCCTTTGGCAAAGTCTACCTAGCTACGCACAAACTCACCAATGGATCAAAGGTAGGGGGACCGAAGACTGATGCATCGTGTAGTATATCAAGGCTAGAAGGCTAAAGGGGTGCGGCTTGATAGGTTGTGCTCAAATCCTCAAACCGAGACGATCCCAATCTTGCTCGCGAGATACACCACCACCGCCAATTCCACCACCCGCATATTGCCAGGCTATACGAAGTTATCGTGACAGAGAATCTGGTATGGCTGGTGCTGGAGTACTGTCCTGGTGCGCATTGCCTCGAACAAACATAAACAAACGACCCTATAATGGGGAACATGCTAACAGGGCGTAGGGGACGAGTTGTACAACCATCTCCTTCAACATGGCCCGATGCCAATCGAAAAGACTCAGAAGATATTTACACAACTAGTTGGTGCTGTTGCATATGTCCACAGCAAGTCTTGCGTTCACCGAGATCTCAAGTTGGAGAACATTCTATTGGATAAACACGAGAATGTGAAATTATGCGATTTTGGCTTCACCAGGGAGTACGAAGGAAAGGCGAGCTATCTACAGACGTTCTGCGGAACAATATGCTATAGTGCGCCGGAGATGCTCAAGGGCGAGAAATACGCTGGTGAAAAGGTTGACGTGTGGAGTCTTGGGATTATTCTCTATGCTCTCATAGCTGGAGAACTACCGTTCGATGAGGACGACGACCAGGTAACCAAGACAAGGATTCTTACCGAAGAGCCCAAGTTCACCGACCGGTTTCCAGACGATGCCAAATCTCTGATCAACATGCTGCTCTCAAAACGCCCGCTTCTCCGTCCGACCCTCAGTGACGTCCTGGCCCATCCGTTCCTTGCAGAATATGCACCGCAGCAGCAGGCGAACCTGAAGCTCACACGGCCACCCCCTTTCTCGACGCCGCTTGAAAAGGCAACGCTGGAGCGTATGCGTAGCGCTGGCGTGAACACGGAGCAGGTCATGCAAAATGTGCTAGCACAGCGATGTGATTCTCTGGCGGGCTGGTGGACCCTGCTGATCGAAAAGGAGGAGCGCAAGGAGAGACGGAGAGAGCGAAAGAGACGTGAAAAGGAAGCTGAGGCAAAGAATCTGCGTCGACTGAGTGCTGCAAGCAGCCGGCTGGAACGGATATCTGCTGCTCTTGTCGAGGTTGATGAAGAAGGCCACCCGGAAGAGCCTAGGGCTCGAGGCAGACGGGAGAGGAGAAGCCTGACAACTCGTAAGGATAATTCATCCATCCGATTGTTATTCATTCCATGCTAATTTATGCAGAAGCGCAATTGAATATTCCAGACCTGCCTAAGCTGCCTGAAATTACACCATCTTCTGACGGGCTGCTAACTCCTCCGCTACCGCCGCCACCGCCTCCTCCTCCGGTAGAAAAGGACTTTCCTCGATCTCCTAGGTCTACTTCTCGCGGCCGTCCTGTTCCCCCTCCAAAGGAAAGACGGATATCCAAAGGAAGTACGTATCATCTAAGCGCTTCGCAGCCTGACCTGATACGTCCTCAGGGGATATTAAGGCGTCAGGGCACCCGTCGCCGCCAATATCCCATCATCAGCCAGCTAGCCCAGCTCAAACACTGGATAATAGAGTCAACTAAACGCGCCAAATCACCGCACTCAAAGCCCTTCTCGGGTTCTTCGACCATGAAGTTCCTCTCTACTCACTCGAGCCCTCCTAAAAAGAGAGACGCGCCCAGCAAGGACACGGCCATCACTCCAACTAGCGCTACTTTTGCTCAACACCAGCAAACACCAACGACGAAACGATCTTCTAACGCAAGCAGTCTGGCACTTAGCAATGCTTCCTACCCCGGCGCGAGACGGACTTCATCACTAACCCAAAGACCCCTAAACACTTCAAACTCCCATCATCGCAACTCTCTCTCGCCTTCACCGTTGACTCCTCGAAATTCATACCGCCGCTCCTCTGCTGGTTTAAGAGGGCGGAAATCCACTTCCTCGTCTGTCTCTTCAATTCGAACTGTCCACCACGCTCATTCTCATTCAAAAACGTCCTCCATATCTTCCAACAGCATAGACACAGTCTCTACCCCAACAGGTTCTACAGCCAAAGCTCTTGGTCGTTCTCCTCATTCTTCAATAAAGATTCTTCCAGCAACGCCAACTTCCATGCCTGTCTTTCCAAACAATATCAGGCTCGTAAGAGGGGGTAACAATAATAGCTTAACAAGCGCATTCAACGAGGCTGCACCTGCTCTTATCTCTTCACCCTCGTCCGGACCTATTTTTGCTCGCAGAAAGCGAGCTACATTCAAGGGGCCTTCTCTTACTTCCACACACATGCTGTCCAGCAATGGGCCGGGGACCCCCAGTCTGATGCGGAGCAGGGCCAGCAGTGTAGCTTCAGGTGAAATACTGATGTCGGGAGCACGGAAGAGCCAAATAATAGAGGAAGAAGAGGATGAAGTGCTGCCTGACGACACCACGGAAGAGGTAGACTGTTTCAGTCCAACTGAGGACCGGACTTCGAGTTTCCCAGAGCCTCCTTCTCCTGTCCTGCTTGATGCTGAATATGCCACTGCAATAGCTGCTGCCTTGGATCCAATAGCGCTTCATACTGACTCTGATCACGAGGGCTCTCCTGATTCCCGCCAACTTCTTCCAGCCGCTGAGATTACTGAACATCCTTCTTTCTCGCAAATATCATCTTCAGAGCACGAGAAGCCCATCTTACGCCCTCCACGCTCATCGTCGCTTCGGGAAGCAAAAGGCGGCTCTCCTGGCAGTTTCAATGCCAATGACTCCCTGGAGAATATCGAAGAGTCCCCATCCCCTGCTTCTCTCAAAAAGTCTCCAACCCTAAAAGATGCTTAGGCTTTTCTTTTTCGAAAATATAAAATAAATAAACATGCAACGAATTTACTCAATTGTGATATCCCCTACGTTACACTACTTCCATCTCATTTGTCTATATATTGTTTGCTCTTTGCTCTCTCCTCGGATTATTTATATATCTGATGTACTCATACTTCTTTTTACTGCCTGGCCCCTCGTTACCTTATACATGACCCCTTGATACCATCCACACATTTTGAAAACTGGAATCCTGCCCCAATCAACCACTTTTTCTATATCAAAATACAATTCTCCCGCATCAATCATTCACCTTTTCTTCCACCGAGTTAACATAATTCTATGCACTTCTATTCCCCCAAGCATGTATTCCAGCTACTTTGTTTTCCATTATTTTACCCCGTCAATATTCCTATACTCCGTGAGCTATTGTCTCCTCATAGATTTTATTGTCTTTTTATACTCCGTTCCGCCTGGACTAATTTTGACGACCTTTTATTCATCCTTGTTAGTATTACTCGTATATACATCCTTTACTTGCTATTATTTGGCCTAAGTTCTGCTCCCACAGTGGACAGATTCCCTACCGTAGATATAGGGAGCGACAGGAATTAGCAATAAACAAAGGAAGCCAGGTCATAAATCCTTCTCATGTATATAAACTACGAATAAACTAGCTAAGTAGCTTAGGGTACCGACTAGTTAGTTTGATCAGAACTTGTTCTTCATTACTGCTGGCCAAGTTAATCATTAAAGCTAGTTAACTGGTATTCTCTGAACAAGTCAGTAAAATATAAGAGGATAGTAGAGAAGAGCAAACATAGCTTCTATCTGCTATCTTTTTCTTCCGCTGTTGGAACAGTGAACTCGACACCCTTCTTTAGATCCGCCGTTTCGTTTTGCAGCTCGCCACCCCTGTGTTCCTCATCTTCCCTACCATCTACAATACCAACCGTGCTATCACCTATTTTGTCTGCTGGATCACGGTAAGAGGGAACGAAATTTACACATACGGCATATGTCCAAGCTACTGCCATGAGCTAGACGCCGAATTAATACCCATGGAAGGAAGAAAAAGTAAAAGGGGCGCGGGTTAGATCTTACAATTGTTGGTACAATCATTGCAAATCCAGTAGAATTATGCAAATCGGCAACATAACCGAGAAGTGGTGGAACCGCAGCTCCGCCAGAAACACCAGCAACAATAAATCCAGATCCACGTTTGTAATGTTTGCCTAGGCCACGAATTCCAAGCGCAACTATTGTCGGAAAGCAGACTGATTCAAAAAATAAGACCATAAAAAGCATAGCTATTGTCAAATATAATTAGCCACTGTATGTTCTGGAGAGCGTTTTCTACATGGATAAGCACTCACCAATGCCTGTATTATCCCTTTGCGTAGTAGATGCGGCTAGAAAGACAACAACTCCAGCTAGGTAGACAAGGAATATCCATCTAGCCCTAATAAACTTCATGAGCAAAGCTCCTGAAAATCGACCAACCGTAAACGCTCCCTGAGCACCGGCCAAGAACTTTGCTCCTAGAGCACTAGAAGTATTTGGTCTTGTTTCTACGCTGTAATTTATGAAATATGATGCAATTGCCACTATAATATTCGATTAGATAGGGTTGTTGGTTTAGAAAAATATGGTATAATAGACGTAGAACTCACCCTGTGAACCAACGTATAAAAACTGTGCAAACGCAGCATGAAACAACTGATACCGCTTCCAGAATGAATCATTTTTGTCCTCAATGTGCGTAATGGCTACCTGAAGCTCCATATCCGCGTCTGTAACCTCGGGTATGTCGGATATATAAAATACCCCTGCAAGACAAAAGACGAATATGCCAATAGCAAGGTATACCCATTGAACTCTTTGTAGTGCACTGACGTTGTCTGCTGTCGTAGTGAAGAATACGTATGAGCCAAGTACGGGCCCTACAACCGTGCCTATGGCATTGAATGCCTGGGCAAAGTTGATTCGGATTTCCGCATATTTAGGAGGACCGCAGACTATAGACATTGGATCAGCAAAGCATACCGATGGGTTTTGATATGCATGACGAATACCACCTACCTGAGAGATACGGATTGGCAGCAGTCTCTAGCGAGCCCAGTCCAGAGCCAATAACGAAGGTTGCACCACAGAATCCGCCAAAGGACTGATGTAACCCAGCTGGCCACATACAGAGAGCTCCAATCCCATAGAGACATAACCCCATGATAAAAACAGATTTGTAACCCCATTTCCGCAGCATCCAGTTAGCATAGCCAAGAGAAGCAAGAGGATATGCCCTACGAATATAGTCAGCAAGAGGAGTTTCGTTGCGATGAGCAGAATGGAAAGAGGGGGGGGTACCCAAAATATGCAGCTTGCAGTCCAGAGGATCGAGTGCGTGTGATGCCCAACGTGTTCTGAAAGTGTTTATTGAGAGTGTCGAGCAAGCCATATGCAAAACCCTAGCAACACTCAGAGGTTTGGTTCTTACGCCAGAACTATGTATAATAGTGATAGAACCAACCCATAGGAAGAATAAAATAGTCACAATCGTCAGCGGCCATAGACTCTGCCGTAAGGTTAACTGGGCGGCATTTGTGACTTGATCATTCCTCGCTCGTATATGTCGGCTTCGAAGAAAGCTTATGACACTCATCGTGAAGGATCAGCTGTTGGTAAGCTGTAGTGAAAATGGGCTATAACAAGGACATAAAACCGACGACGCCAGCTTTCAGTATAATGAATAGTCGAGAGTGAGGTGTTTCACAGGAATTGAAGATCGGGCGAGAGGAACAGCTCTGGGATATTAACTCCATAATATATATTGACTAGTGCTTCACACATCCCGCGCTAATCATTGGGAGCTTGTGTCAAAAGAGATGGAGGATCTGCACCCCGGGCTTCTCCTCTGCGTACAACCCGTGTTGAGTTAACTTATAATACCAGTCTTCTGCCAGGTGTCAAAGGATCATGGTGTAGACAGGGAACTTTGCTTTGGGCGAGGTTGTATCGACACTCGTTTACCAGGCATGTTATTCTGAGCGCAGCCGTTCCTTGATTTGTCTCTTCTTCAGCGATCTCTGACCTGCGATACTATATATTTATGTATGTACGGAGTAACAAAAGCCCTTCTTGTCCCTTTTCGGCTCGCTTTGCCGCCCTTTGTCGCGTGTCGGTTGCCAGCGTTACTCCGTTATTACTAAATACGGTTTAGTGTGTGGGGAAGACGCCTTCCACTAGCGCGCTTCAATATAGACGCCGATCAGTGCCGCTTTTAGACAATCTTTATTCTCGATTTCAACATTGATATTGCGAACAGTATTATGCTTGAGTCGGCTAATAGCCAACCCTCGAAAGGTTCTTATCTAGCATTATTTTAGAGAATATAGCTCCCTTACTTGGGAGAGCTCTTAGAATATCTACCCTTGAAGGTTGGTAAGAAATATTTCGTTGGCTTAGTGGTAACTTCAATCTTAATCCCGAACGGCGAGTTGATGTAATACCACAAATTCATGAATCAATATAGAAAGTGGGTGAGTAGCAGTAGGGAAGATAAGTACGGAGCATACTAGTACTACTAATAACGGTAAAGCAATGATTTTTTTATGATATAGCTACTAAAATAGATCGATCATCCTTAACCGCCCCATACACTCCGATACCACTCCTTTTTTTGTTACATTTTAACCTAAAATGAACATAAGAGTACAAGACAATCCAACAGGTAACAAGGGGACAATCCAACAATATAGACAATAACAAACCCAAAATGACGGAAACTCTTAAATATTCTCCTGAAATCTGGATAGTCTGGATCCGGGCGTTGTCACAGATTCACCCGCTGACTGCCCAGGTACAGTGCTTGTTGGAGGGGGACTTGCTTCTGGCACAGAGCGTCTGTTCACGGAGAAAGAACCTTGGTTCCCACTGCGTCGAGCATGCCGATGGAACAGATGTGGAAACCCCAGTCGTTTCTTTGACTTTTCAATATCGTCCTGTTTTTGCATTCCTGGGCTTCCACGACCTGAGCCTGGCCCGCTCTCGTTCGAGCTGCTCCAGTGGCTTGATGGTACAGGGTGTGGGCTTTCGGGAACTCCGAGGGCCCCAGTAGCCAATGGAGTAGTATCCCCGATACTACTGGCGCCGTGGATAGGGGTTGCAGGGCGTTCCTTCTCGATTTCAGTCACTATTCTCTCTTCAATTCGTTCCACCTCCCGTGGTGGCTCATCTTCTGCATCGTTGTCTGATGGTTTCGTGAACCATGTTTTGTGGACAGCCTTGTGCCTGCGTACATGTTTAGCCTGGGACCCAGCCTGCTCGGTAAGGGCAGTCTCTTCATTCGTTGCTTGTTCCGCGGCAACGCCTTCCTGAACGCTATCAACACCATCTGCAGTTTCATCGGGAGGAAGTATTGGTTCAGAAGGCTCTTCGAGCTGCTCTGGAGGTGTGGGTGGACGTGGTGGACGCTGCGGAGCCGCTCTACCTTCATCCAGTGCCTGGAATACCGTTTGATCACTCTCTGCATCAGGAATGATACGCTTAGGAGGATAAGGCCATGTCGATATTTTGTCCTCATCAGATTCATATCCATTCTTTTCCCTTTCTGCGTCCTGCGTCCATTGCTTTTCCTTCTCAGGGTGCCGTAGAGCGTCTGCATCTTGTTGTTAACATACCTCAAAATACATAATATAGAGCCGGCCATAATTATCATACCTATAATTATCTTATTTAGTTGATGGACCTCTTTGTCCCGTGCCATCTGCGAGCTAATAAACCGATGATAGCGTTCTTCATCAAGCTTATCCGTTATTCTTCTCGATTTTCGTGCTGCCACTTGATCGTCAATGTCGTACAGAGCTGGCCGAACTCTCGCTCTTGCCATATCATCCACATTTCTCGCTGGAACTAGTGGTGCTCCAGCTCTCATCTGCTCTGGGCCGACCTCGAAAGATGACGGGTCCCGGTTTGCCAGAACGCGTTCATTGGCTTGACGTTCCCATTCTCTCATAATTGCCGGAGACGGGCGTGAATGGTAGTTGTAAATGTGGTTATCAATATTCTCCATCATCTTCTTCACATTCCTCTGCGCCGCATCTATAGTATTATTGTCGTAGTAGACTTCATGTTTGTTACGCCTAGACTGAGAGCGAGCTTGTTTAGCTTGCCTGCCGAAATATCGTCCACTGTCTGCCGAGCTTGGAGAGAGTGGCCTGACCCTAGTGGCGGCAAAATACTGCGGGCGTGGACGGTAGTTGCTGCTTCGCGCTAAAGAGGAACTAGCTTCCAGTTCGTCTCCTTCCCTTCCGCGCTGAAGGGATTGGCGATGCGATGCTTGTCCTTCCGGCTCTTCCATTGTGAAACTGGAGGTCTCAATATCCTGAGGATCTTCCTTTGGTATGATTGCGTACATTTGCTGTGCCATTGACACCGCCGCGGCCTGGAGGGTATCTCTTTTTCGATTTTCATCTAGGGTGACAGCCACAGGCGGATGCGAGGTATACATCTCTCTCCGAATATTGGTCACTGCAGGGTTATATGGCTTTTTCGGATTTATCTGGAACTCCACTTTTTTCTCTGTAGTAGGTCTACCATGCTGGGAGACCCTATGGCTTATCGTTGCAGCAGAGAGGGCCCCAGCTAAATCAGATACCCCGTCAGAAGGACTAGCCATAGACTCTACTCGTTTGCGACTAGTAGACACGGCTCCCGTTGCTGCCATCTTCGCTTCTGAGTCCCCTTCCTTGATAGTCTCATCGCCGAAGCCTGATACTCCGCTATCCCGAAAGGACCTGTAGGCAGTTTTTGATCCAATCGAACTCAGCCGTTCTTCGCCCTTTTTGCTAATAGAAGATACATCCTGCTTTGTGCTTTGCCCTGGCCTTGGGTAACTGCCACGGGTCACATAACTAGCTGCGGCACCAGCAGGTGAAAGGTCATAATCGCCAGCGTCTTTCGAAAACCGTTTACTACTCGCAGGGCGTAAACCTGTCGCCACCCGAAAACAAGTTAGAAAATTGTACAAAACAACCCTGAATTTCCAGTCTTTACTCCCTTCTCTCTTATATCCAAAGGAGTGCGTACCGCTTGAAGTCCTAAATCCAGTCCTCTCAGGCTGCGTTACGTACAACGCCGCTGCACTGGCGGCTTTTCAACCGTAAAAACCGTTAGCGAAGCTTGAACCAGAGCAGAACTAATGTGAAAAATTACTCACCATCTTCAGAATCTGGGTCAATCCTAAGGGGCCCTACGGGTGCAGATGTAGGACGGATGCGGTTGGCCATAACCGTGGGATGTACTGCTCAAATTCCAGCTGGAAAGAAGTTGGATGAGTACTGGTGTCTTTGTAGAAAGTCGACATTGTTTGAGAGAAGGAATATAACAGAAGTATAGTGCGGGCGATATCACTGACGAGAGAGTTAAGTTCATCCATCTTTATTCACACTACAACACAATTGATGTCATGACGTCCGAGTTCTCCAGCGGGTGGCTAAGTATGTGCAATTGACCAATGGGAGATTAGCCGGCATTATGACGTATTAGCTTAGCTAATATCTCGTGAAATTCATGATTAATATATTATATAATCAGGTAATATATCACGTGATGAAACATAGGCAAGTCGACGTCTTTTCAACATTTGCAACTCAAATCCGTCGATGAGATATTCTTCGTGAAAGTGTTGGTATGGCCTGTGAAGGGTTTGGTAGCCGCTAGGCGAGGGGACGATCGGGGGAGAGAGAAGATGGACCTGGTTTGGCGCTTTCGTTGATCCCGCCAAGGCTTGCATATAACCATTATTGGTGACATTGGTGCCTAGTATCTTTTCCCAGCCCAGAGAACTTGGTTCAGTATAAGTGCCGTCTGTCAACTATTTGCATACCCAAATAAGTATTGCGTGAAGATGCGTAATTTGAGGTCGGGAAAATCAAACGTTGCCGATGAACCTGAGCTAGACACACTGTCGACCTTGGCAGGGTTAAGATGTATGAAGCCGGACTCGTCAAATAAGTGCTCTGCTCTTAAAATCATCCCAGTGGGCTCTAGATTACCAGGCCTGACGCCAACAGAACAAAAGCTTCTGCGACAGAAACAACAGCGTTTGGCTAAGGATAAAGCCTCCCTGGGCCAAGAGGCAAAGGGGTGCGCGGATGGGGGTACCTTGTCTGTCTATAATGGCCTCGAATCAACACTGATATTTTCCCAATACGAAGCTGGGACTGCTGTTTGTATTAATGCAGACGGCTGGATGCTGACTTGCGCGCACTGTTTCGGCGATACAGAGGAAGAGCTGCAAAAATCGAACAAGCGTCGCTGGCTTCTGTTCTATACCGGTTTGGCCGTGCAGGCTGAATGTATAGTATGGGATGCGAAGAGAGACTTGGCCCTTCTAAAAATTATTGCCATGGAGTCTAATGCCTGTCGGAAAGAGGAAGGTATAATCTGTTCATTCCCGTTCGTTCGGCTAGCCTTACGAAGACCGACAGTGAAGACTCCGATAATATGCATTGGACAGCCAGGCATGGACGACCTGGAGTCTAGCACGCCGGTGAAAAACAAATTTGATTTTGTGGAGTTATCCTCTGGCAAATTTCGCGGGATGGTGGCAGGGGGTGATTGGCAGGACAATTCTGAAATCGGACAAATGAAGCATGATGCATGGACTTATTGGGGCCACTCGGGTGCACCTTTGCTTGCAGAAGCGGACGGTACGCTTATTGGGCTTCATTCGTCCTGGGACGATCAGACTGGCATGCGCCATGGTGTCCCTCTCGTTGCCATCCAGGCTTTTCTTGAGCAGCATACTAGGTTGGTGGGTTTTCCCACACCCACTGATGGAATTGAGGGTGGACATACCTCGTCAAATTTGGTTATTGATGAAGAGGTAATTGTCATTAGTGATTAGCTCAGGTTTTGGGCGATGGCTTTTAGAAATTATAGACTGGTGATTTGAGCGTTGAGAATCTGTTTAATTTCAGAACAAAGGAATTTTCTATCGTCTTGAAGTTTTCTGTTGTACAAACACCAAACCACTCCCAATATTAATATCAAAACAATATTAAGGAGTGGGTAAGAAACTGAGTGTTGAGAGGGGATTATCCTAAGTATTAGGATAGTGTTCACTCATAGCGTGATGCTGATGACGAAACCGAGATTATCCGTCAAGGATTTATATATCGAACATGTTTTCGTAGCATACTACATCAACAAACGCCAGGCACCTAGTATCAGAGCTGCAGTACCAGTGCATACACCCCTATTACATATGTTAGTTTCTTATATACTCTACTCCTGACTTCAAGAAAAGGCGGAGACTCACATTAGCCACTGAAGAGTTGAGAACTTTACGGCCTCTACTCTCTCTCTAACACCAGCTACCTCCTGCTCAATTCTGGTCTCTGTTTCCTTGATCCTCATCTCTTGCCCATTAGACTCTTCCCGGATCCTCCCTTTTTCGAGGTTCAGATCTAGCCTGACCGAGGCCTGCGTACGACCGATCTCGTCTCGCAATCGAGAGTTAAGCTTGGCCAGGTCGCCTGCAATCTTGTCATGCGATGAACGGGTGAGTTGGGCCTCTGTTGAGTCTGAATTTAACAGTTCGGAGCGAAGTTTAGCAAAGTCAACTTTTTGGGTATATGTCGAACGTTCGGCATCTACGTAAATCCATAGTTAGTAAGTTCACATCATATATGGTCCAATTTCAGCATTTTCGGATTAACGGCTAACCTTCTCTTGATACCATTGCCCGTGTGAGGTTCTGCATTGACTCCTCAATAACATCCGTCATAACCTTCATCAGGGCCACGGCTTGCTCCTCGCTGAATCCTTCATTCTTTAGACGCTGTACAACCTTAAGCGTATCAAAATGGTGATCCTTCCTCTTAACCGCGGTTTCATGGAACGCTCGTCGAGCTGGATTAAACGTTGCTACATAGACACCATTGTGCCTTATCGGTGCCGAAGTGGAATTCCCTTCAGGCTTAGGAGAGCTGTTTTGTTGAAGGAGATGCGCGTGTCTTTGTATTAGAGGAGAATATAGGCGACACGATACTGAAGAAAAATAACGCCGGTTTGATGTGATTTGTTGAAGGGATTTGGAGGATGCGGGAGGGAGAAGATGCTGATTGTTTAGCTGGGAGCTGTTGCCGGAGATGAAGATAGAACGAAGGGAGTTTTGGACCGAACGCCGTCGAGACGGCCTCACGATGCGCGGTGACTCGACGACAGCTAACTGTAGTTTCGGCATGGTTATGTGGTGAATGGCTCAAGGGTGACGCTTTATGTCTCTGCCTTTGACTCGGAGTAAAAGTGATCGTGATGTTCGGGAGTTTTTGGCACCAAGTTCAATCGATAAGGGATGATTGCCACGTGATGTTTATTCCCGCCGATTATGTCATCACACTTTTATCGCCGCTTTAATGCATTAAATACCTATATGGTTGGTTTGATGGAAGTTCTGATTAAATTATGAGCGTTGGTAGACAATAGCTCAATAGACCGAAACTCTCAATATTTGCGGTTTAGGTAGTCGCCAACTAACTAGTTATTATAAACTAAGCCAAACCAATTATAACATAGATGGCCGAAATTGTATTTACAAACCAAACAACTCCTTAAGCAACTTCATGGTATCTTGTGGCCCAGAAACAGAGTGACCAATGGTTCGCTTGTCACTGAAGATCTCGTAATCATTTCCACCTTCAAAGCACTTGTCTCCGAAGAAGTGGATGGTAGTATATTCAACTCCAGAAATAGACTTCTCAGCTTCGATATGTTGAAGACAGTAGGTCTTGTCCCAGCCAGTGGGGAAGACATCAAACGAGATTTGTCCTCCAATAGAATAACTGTATAAATATTAGTTAAACATATGTAGGAAGCAAAAGAGTTTGATGCATGAGTATAAACTTACGTGAGTCCGTAGTCAGGGAACTCTTTTTTGAGGGCCTCGACGAGAGTCTTGCGGATGTTGTGCTCTTTATCATACCTATATGACGTGATTAGTTGCATCCCCGGGGTGGAAGCAATTCATGCTATATAGCGACATACTTCTCAAACTCATTCCTCTCATCTACACAAGCATTCCTCCCAATAGGGCTAATGTTGACCATTCCGTTTCGGAACTCCATGAAGGTGCCTCTCTTCTTTGGCAGGGTCAACTTAGATAGATATCCAAGTACGAAGTTGACTAGATTCTGATACTTCTCCTCTCCGAGCCATTGGATGAAGCTGTTGCTCGACATTGGCTTTCCAAGTCTGAAGGCCGTAAGACCGTTTTCAGCAAAGCAAAAGTCGAATAGGGATGTGACGTTTGTAGCTGGAGTAGCCAGTTGTTCTTGTTGTTTGACAAGATCGGAGCCTCCAACCTGGCCGATGGAAAGGGTCGTTAATGGAGGACAATCCTTCGGCGGGCACGGCAGCAGCACTTACGAAGCCAATGGCACACTTGTGTCGGAGCTGAGAGAGGAGCTGTAGCATTTCAGGGGAGACACCCTGTACGATATACCGTCAGCAACTATCCTGTGAGTTCTATAAATGAGGCATTGGTGTATAAATACCTGTCTGGCAGGAGTCAGAGTGCCATCGACGTCGAACAGGCATACGGTGCTCTTTACAGGGCGGTTCTCAAGAGAGGGATACAAGCTAGCTCCTTCAGTAGTCATCGTTGCAATGCTGGAAGAGGATAGATGAGATGGTATTGTATAATTGATGCAATCTGAACGCTCGAAGGGATAAAACTTGTCAACGGCGCTGTGGTGGACTCGGTATAGTTGTCTAGTTTAACTTGATGGCGGGGCTTTCGAGGCGTCTTTCTGTCGTAAGCAGCTCTTATCGATAACTAAGGGGTAATATCATGTGACTTTCCCCAGGTTTTGTGAAAAGGAGAGAAGCAACAGAGAATGTTCAAGTAATATGTATTGGACGGTGAAGAGTATCAGCTCATGTATATTCGTGAATCTATTAAAACAGTATAATGAAGTACACTTTTTGGGCCGTGCATAAAATAGGCAGGACACCCTCGCCGTAATGATCAATCCACCTCTCAATATAAAACTCCTGATGCGCCTTGATATATCCTATATTCGAATGCCATGCCAGAGGTGGTCAAATAAAAAAGACAAGAGAGAAAAGAAGAGACACATATACCGTAAATATGTGGCATTAGAACAGGTAATAGTAGAGATGTTGTACTTCGGAACATATTCCGGGAAGGAGAGGGGGCTGTGCAGTGAGTGTCATACATGCACGTTAATTAGGCGGTAAGAGAATGGAGAAGATGCGTGTTCAGGCCAGTTTATACGGCTGCGGCTTCGATCTTCTTTCCCTTGACACTCTTCCATTCCATGCCGATTGCGCCAAGGATACTGAGAGCTGCAAGAGCAGTGGCGACATACCAGGTATTGGTCAGGGCATTATTGTATGCAACCTGCACGCCATCAAGGTACTCTGGTGGAATCATGGACTTTAGCTGAGTGGCACCAACTCTTAGCACAAGCTGGGGGTCAAGGCCCGGAGCAGCATCGACAACACCGGACGTAAGAAGGTTGGTAAAAACGTTCTGAGCAACTGAGACGAACAAGGCTCCTCCGAGAGTCTGGCAGAACATCATGATGACGGTTCCAACGGCGACATCTTCAAGGTCCAATACGGCCTGGGCAGCGATGATGGAAAGCTGGAGACCAGTTCCGACACCTGCACCGAATATAATTTGGAAGCCGATCCATTTGCCTTTGCTGGTTTCAGTGGTAAACGTGGTGAGAAGGCCGGCGCCAATGGAGGTGATGACGGAAGAAACATAGTACAGAGGGGAGTAGTATCCGACGGCGGTGACGATGATACCAGAAAGAATCGAGAGAACGACCAGCGACAGAACCATGGGAATATTCATGACACCGGAGCTAGTGGCAGTGGCACCCTTTATAGCCTGGAACCAGATGGGGAGGTAGTAGACCATGATGAAGAAGGCACTTCCAAGCATGAAAAGGAAGAATGCACCAGAGGCGATGCTGCGTTGCTTCAGGATGCGAGGGGGAACGGTGGCTTCGTCGCCTGCTCTGATCTGGATATAAATGAAGATAGAGATGAGGACGGCGAAGAGAACGAAGAGGGCAATAATGCGACCATTGCGCCATGGGTACTTGGTGCCACCCCATTGAAGAGCGAGCAGAAGACAGATGATGCTGGGCATGAACACCGCGGTACCGATGGGGTCGAGCTTCATGAGGCGGACCTTCCATGTATGGTTGTTGTCGAGCTTCTGCTTGGGGTGTTTAAGGAAGATGAGGATGGAGAGAATGGTGACGGCACCGATGGGCAGGTTGATATAGAAGCACCATCTCCATGAGACGTGGTCGGTGAACGCACCACCCATCAGAGGACCGGCAACAGAGGCAATACCATACATTCCTCCAATAGCTCCAGTGTCTATACAGATGTCACGGTTAGCTAAGCTTTAGACTGCAAGCCTAGAAAAAGAAAAGAAATTTGCTGAAGGGGATAAAAGTAAGAATAATAAGGAAAAAACTTACACATAGGTCTCTTCTCCAATGGGATAGAGTATGCAATGATAATCAGGGCACCGGAGAAGATACCGGCTGAACCAATACCAGCAATGGCACGACCGACAATAAGGGCCGTTGAGTTAGGCGCGGCACCGCAAACGGCGGAGCCAATCTCAAATATGGTGATGGCAGTCAAGAACACCCATTTCACAGGGAAGAAAGTGTAGATTTTGCCGAATATCAACTGGAATGCACAGATAGTGAGTAGATACGAGCTTCCGTACCAACCAATGTCTTCGAGAGCATGGAACTGATCTGTGATCTTGGGGATGGCGGTAGCGATGATGGTGTTGTCCTGTAGCATTGCATAGTGTTAGATACTGATGCCTCTCTTTTCTTTTTTCGACTAGCATAGGAGATCCCCTCGACATACCAAGGCGACGAGAAGGACGGACAAACACAGACCAGTCACGATGACCGCGAGCTTTAGCCCGGTGACATGGTTGGCAGTCTCGTAGTCTTCCGAAACGGCATTGCTTCGTGCCTTTGTGAGTTCGTCAGGGCCAGCTGGAGCCTTCTCGGACAGACTGCCGGCCTCCTTCGTAGCATCATCGTTCGGCTCGTTGATCGACGCGCCTTTGCTAGGCAGAGCAGAAGTGCCGCTGGATTCGAGGTCTGCGTCCTTCACAGGAAGCTCGCTCTTGGAGAAAAGACCCATAGCTATTTTTCTTCAGGAGTGCGGACAGGGTACGGACTGTTGGAGTGGAAATGCCTCCAGACTCAAGAGGTCCCTTGGTTTTGTCTTAAAGATATATGCCAGGAAACAACAAACCGAGACGGGACATGAGTCAAGTTATATATTATTTATACATCTACGGCCCTTCCGCCAGTAGCCCCATCCCTGGGTTACGGGAGAAGCGAGATGCGATCCTTGAAATGTCGGCTGAGAAAAAAAAAAAAGGGTGATAAGAATAGACCCAGAAAGGCCAAAGCTAAAGATCAGGACTTTAATAGCGGATGAACCAATGAAAGGTTCGGAAGGCTGCAAATGATAGGCAGGAAAACGGGCCCGCCGTTCCAGTTACGCTCCAGCTTAGCCTCCTTTGGGCCTTTTTTTTTTTCTTCTCGCAAGGGGGAAGAAGAAAAAGCACAACACGCATTTGCTAGATGGGGTTGCAACGCGGTACTCCGTACAAGGGTTTGAGCCCGGCCCCAGGCTCCCAGGCTCGTGGCCAGTCCCGATGATTGAGAGATATGCAGCGTCAGGGTCAAGGGTCGCCAGGCATTCTTGCATACCATAGTATACGTCTCTGTCGTCAACAGTTGCATGAGGCCGAATGAGCACATATTCATCATATATATCTTTCGTATGGCTGTGTCACATCTGTGCTGTCAAGGGCTTCGTGCTGACGCTCATGCATCTCCATCTCACTGAACGAGGCTAGAACCAGGCTTGGACACGAAACCTTTTCAGCCTCGTATGAACTCCGTAATATTGAATCATTCCTTGCCCGGATCGAGAACACAGCCGTTTCCCGACAGGATGGCAAAGAACCGCCAGGTGCTTTGCGCTGAGGGCGCTTCCAATGCGAAGTGCAGGAAAAAGCCATCTGCGTGATCACCGCGAAGCCTTCTCCCACTTCGCCCTGGAACGTGGTATCGATCTTCCTGCCCTGTCTGTGTGTTCGCGCTTGTAAGGTTAACTCGAACCGGAGTCGGTGTTTGGCGGGCAGTCTTTTGGCCGGTCCGGCGGACAGTCGCACCGTTTTCCTCATCCACCCCATATCCGTATATACATAGCAGGTCAGCTGTTTTTCCTGTCAGACGTGTTCTTCCACCCTGGGATAAAAAGGCCTTCTATATGTTATATGTCGCTTGTCGATCGAATCCTTTAGACCAGCCATTCTTTGTGTCCCCCAGCCTGGCTGACGAGAGATTCTGCTGGTTACGAAGGATTCGTCTTTTTTGACTTTGGGGCCCGCCAAGCTCCGGTTCGTTGCCGTTGCTGACAAAGCTTGGCGGGAGAACCCGGCGGGCAAGTGGTGATCACGTGGTAATCGGGGCCCGCGAGTTCCTTCAAGGGGCTTCGGGGCCCGCGGGACCCACGGTCACATGATGCGTTGCTTATTAAGCGAAAGATGGCAGATTGATAAGATAACAACTTTTTTTGTTTTTAAACTTGGAGAGCGATGAGATCATACTTGGAGGATCTAGAACCGAGGACCTCGTTGGATGCTGCAGATCTGCTCTATAAACAAGGAGTATATAGAACGAGCCTCCCCATGCTAAACTGAAAGAGTCGCGGCACGTATCATATATGTTTGCTCATTAACTAGATGGCCTAAGAAACGGTAGACTGCAGCATTCTCGCAGCCAGCTGACCCAACAGCCTCGTCCGGTCGGACGCTGGCAGCTCCTGATACACGGCATAGACACTCTTCCCTTCGCGGTCCCTGATGGCGCCGATTCGATTACCCGCGACCGTCCCTGCCACCATACCCGTAAAGTTGGCAATGATGAATCCCAGGATTGCACCGCCGATAGCGCCCATGATAGACCAGAACCACCTGCCGTTCGCACGGAGGTCGAACTTCTCGCCTTCAGCCTTGGTGTTTGCACCTACGCCCCCACGGCCACCGCCCATCATGCCATTTTCTCGAAGCATTTCCTCAAACATAGAACCAAATTGCTCGGCGGAATATTCGTCTGATTGAGGTGGTGTGGCATACGCGCCCTTGAAGTATTTGGTGCTGTGGGCTGTGGTGTATGCGCCCCGCCGGTTCTTGTCAGACAGGGTATAGTAGGCATCGTTCACTTGTTGGAATTTTTTCGTTCGCTCGGCCCGTTCGGGGGAATCGGCCGGGACACGGTCGGGATGGTACTTCAAAGCTGCTCTGGCCGGTGCTCAAAATTTCTGGTTAGTAGTCATGCCAACGTAAGTGTAGGTCGGAAGTAAACGGACTTTTTATACGCTTCTCGGACCTCTTTGTCTGTCGCAGACGGGTCTATCCCCAGCAATTCAACTGTCACAACCGAGGGTTAACCATATGTTTCGATCAGCAGCAAGGTGATCAACCGCATAAGAGGCGTACAGTAGTCAACAATCTCGTCTGGCGCCCCAAGTTAGCATCTCTACTACACCGTACCGATGACTCCATATAAAGGAGAACTTACCTGCCATGATTTGTTATTAGAGATCCTCCTATAAAACCGCTATTATCTTTATCCTCTCGTAGTACTGTCGTCTATCCATGTTCCTCCTGCTCTCGTGCCCTTTTATATACAAGTTGTTGCCCGATGACGTTATTTCCCGTTGTCGTTCACGTGATGCGGGAGCAACTCTTGCTGACTAAGATTCCCAGCCACCGCAAAAAGCGACTTTCAGCTTCTTTTGCTTCTTCATTCTTTTATTCTTTTTGCTACGAGATATCCATAGAGAAGACGACAGCGAGTTTGCGCGCAATTGGACCAAGCGACGAGCTATTGTTGCGTGGAGAGGAGCCTTGCGCATCATTGGCGAGTTGATTTGTTTTCTTAGGCGTTTATTTCATACACTGCTGGCGACCCCTTGATACACTCATTATCGAATTGATAAGAACTCTTATATATTCCATCCCATATATATACCCATATACTGAGCCTACTCTTACTCTACGCGAACGTGAAAACGGCCAAGGAACTTACGCGCCCATACACTCTCTTACTCCTCCTTTTTCCTCGAAAGGGCCGGAGACTTATCGCCTAGTAATGAGCTTTCTCTACCCCTTTGCGCCTTCAGACAGTCATCGACACAGCAGCAGCAGCGGCCGCCACGGCCATAGCTCCAGTCATCGGTCCCATTCCAAAGAGCGCCGTCACCACCGATCGTCCTCGTCTGTTGTTGGCTCCAGTTACGGCCACGGCCATAGCTCTAGTCGCAGCCACCAGAACGGAAGCACTCGTCCTTCCGACAGCTCAATCTTTGGCTTGGGTTCGCACGCAAACCGCTCAATGGCTTCGTCCATCTTCTCAGCCGGCTCGTCCTCTCGCCGCGCGAAACCCCGGGCGGGTTTCGTTCATCGCATGATGCGCAAGATCAAAAAGTTGTTTAGAGATATAATGCATTACATGAAGAGACATCCGATGAAGGTTTTTTTCCTGGTTATCCTACCCCTGATAACCGGTGGAGTGTTGCAGAAGTTACTGTCGTCTGTAGGCATTAGGATACCGGGGCTGTCAGCGCTGTCGAAAGGTGGCGGTGGCGGTAGCCGTGATCCCTTTAGCGGAGAAGGGTTAGCCGGTGGTGTCAGTGGATTGATGTCGCTGGCAAAGGCCTTTGCCTGAGGCGCCTTGAGCCTTCTTCCCATGTCTTTATGTCTGTTTGGATTTTGATACCTTGGTTTTATGATGTTTTCAATTAATGATCAGTGGGATAGGGATATAACACCAACTAGATACCAGCTTGCTTATTATACAATCCCCAGTCGCTCCTTTTATCATGTTATATATATTTACAACGTTTATAAATGACCGAAAATAATGAGACACAGTCAACGTCCAGAGACCGTTTTGCTTTTTCTTCAGTATATCAAATTGTCCCGTGTCTGTTCAGCCTCCCAATCCCAAGCAGCCATTTATGCGAGAGCTAATGATAAATCTTCCAGAATGATCTGCTTGAGTTACACAGCAGAAACTCGCCTATGGCTGGGAAAAGTCTGCCTGATGGCTCTGAGGCTCCCCACAGTGCCACAGACTGTTTTACGTACATTCTGGCTAGTCGGGTTCGGCTATAAATACAAAGCAACAATTTTACGTGTATAGTTATCAGCCATGGAGTAGGCGTCAAAAGGGGTTCTGTCAGAAGTAACCATCCAGTTCTTTTTAAAAGGAGTCATGCTTCCTTTACCCGGGTTTTCCAGCTTCTGCTGGTTATTCCTCATCTTCGTCTAGCTATGGAAGTTCACCCGGTACTCCTTGGTGGAGCTGTGGTAGCCAGCACTGCTCTCGTCGTGGGCTTCACAGAGCCATCCTCCATCATCCGCACCGCTGTCACTCCTGTTCTCATTATCTGTTCGTTCCAATGCATTACCACAAGCATAGACTATATGGTGCGAAGTCCCTGGGCGTCTTCGGTGGGCGGGTACACCCTTACCTTTCTTCTCCATTACTTTGATATTGCCTTGCTCAGGGGTTGGTCATTCGAAACCAAAGGACCGTCAATCGACCCTGGCACAGGCCAGAGTATACCAACTGATACTAAGGATAAAAAGGACAGTGCATGGGAAAGGCTGAAGTTTGGCCTTGGGGCAGTCTGTTCATTTCGGCATATTGGAACACCGTACCAAGTCAGGAATGTGCCTTCGTTCAGCGATAGTGATCCAGAGTATATTCCGTCGCGGTCTCGATTCTTGCTACGGACAGGCCTGATATTCGCGGCAAGCTATTTGATCCTTGATCTGGTCACATTCCAAGTCGACACGGAGGTCAATCTCAAGTTCTTCTCTCCTAGGAATATCCCTTTCTTTGCACGGCTACGTGTGATATCGGGCGAGGAGATTGTTATGCGCATATTCGGCACCATCGCCTCAGGGTTGACGGTAACATGCGTTCAGAGAGGCAGTTACAGCCTCGTTGCATTCTTAAGTGTGCTTTTGGGTATCAGCGAACCGCAAGAATGGCCTCCATACTATGGATCTCTCTCGCAAGCCTTTTCCTTGCGACAAGTTTGGGCGTAAGTCACTTGCTATCCTTTTACTTCTGATCTCCAAAAAACAAAAAGACAGCCAATTAACCCTTTCTACTTAACTACAGGGTTTTCTGGCACCAGGCCAACGCTGCCAAATTCGCTTCCATGTCCAGTTTCATCATTCAACGTGTGCTGGGTATATCTCGCGGAACTCAATTATCTAGGTATGCGAGGCTCGTGACGATATTCGCAATATCAGCCTTGATGCATGTACTCGTTGACGTGGCGGCTGGAATGCCAGTATCCAGTTCGGGGGCCATACGATTCTTTCTCACTCAAGCGTTTGGAATCTTGGTAGAAGATATAGTTGTCAGCATATACTGCGGTTTCTTGGCTCGAGGTCGCCCTCGGCCTTCTTATTATTATCTGCTGGAGAAAGGTGTTGGTTTTATGTGGGTTGGTGTCTTTATGGTATGGTCGTCGCCGGCATACGTCTACCCGTTGATGTATCGTGTGAATACTGGGCGTGAAGACTCTGTTATTCCGTTCAGTATTATGAAATTGCTTGTATCGGCTGGTTAACTATGAATATCATAGTGTTATACCTCTCTGGAAGGTCTGAATTCTAGCTTAGAAGCCTACTGTCCAGGTTGACCGTTTTCTTCCAGGACCATCAAGCCAGAAGACAAATATTCCGTTTTTGAAGCAGCTCTATCACAGTGCCCTGCTCATCACCATAACTATAGTAACATAGAAAAATTACATGATGGGCTTGATCTTATATAATTTAATAGCTTGGAACGCACTCTATACAGACGGTTATTCTTAACTTCCGAATTTCTCTGGAGAGTCGAGTCTTCCCTGTACTATTGTATCACATATTCTTACAAGTATACCTTTGACTTGACGTCCGCTGTCTATGATATAACATGGGATTATCAAGGAGAAGGACCCGAAATTGTCTTATGTATGTTTCTTTTTTTTTTTTTTTTTTTTTTTTTTTTGGGAAACCGCCTTATTATCACTCTCTTGGGGTTAGATGTAGTAATATTGAAGCTCTTGGGGTTTAAACCATCTAAAGAATAGATTAGAAGCAGGTAATATCTCCTCTCCTTAAAGTGACTCAAGCCTCTTTATACTGTCTATGTGTAACTATAGCCGTGTCCGTCAGTTTGATCAAGAGACCAGTCCATCATAACTTATTGCAAAACTTGCTTCTAAGGCGAAACATTTAAAGTCATTCCCCTTTCAGGAGAAAGAACAGGCGAGAGATCATCGACCTCAGCTGGGTTGAGCTATATAACCAATTATATATATATATATATATCATCAAAGGGAGACCCCACTGGTAGCTAGTTGCATATCACTCGTCTTTTAAGGACCCAGGATACCAGAGAGATATTCCTCCTATAACCCTTAAGCTCGGTGGTATATTCCCTCTATATCACGGTATACTATTTCATCATAGTCCATGGATGTGAAAAGAACAGTTTTGATGAGTAGGAAGAAACCATGAGAAAGTCGAATTCTTAACATAAAAAGAAGCGTCACGTGATACTGGAGATAAAAGCTTGTAGGAAACTTAAAGCGGCACGGCGATCCATTATATTCGGCAAGTTGTAGTAAAGCTACGGAGTAGTGACTGACCATTTAATATAAACTATTGATATCAAGATATCAAGTTCCCGGCAGGTATTCTGTTACAATGGCGATATGTATTCCTCGTTCAGTGGGAGAAGGCCTTCTTTTCATCACAACATTGGAAAATCTTTCTATTCCAATGATAATAGCCGGTTCTGCTGTTCTTCAACTGCTCGCCGATCTCATCGAAGCTGGATAATCCCTGGCTATATAATACCTTCATTATAAGGTATATTAGACTAAACCGGTCGATCTCTCATCACCAGTACTACCCCATGTCCCACCATCCAGAAGCCCTGCAGCTACGCGACCTACACAGTACAATCCGCTTTTTACGAAGCCAACTGGAAGTAAGGCCAACCTTGGGAGCAATTGGGCTCATATGAACTTCATAATGTCAACTTTATCTGCTGCCGCGTTTCCCGCTATGGAAAACCATATCAGTTAATAGTCTGATAACTATAGCACAGGGATATATATTAAAATTTGCACGCCCAATGGGGTACTCCGCATTCAACTGGAGCAAACACACATATGGAATATATGCTCTTTGATGGATGAAAAAATCTACCTAATAGCATCCATGACTCTTGCTATCTTTCCACTTCTCGGTGGTCGTGGGTATACTATCACAATAAGGTGCTTCGCCGGAAATACCATTATCAATCAGGTTATAAATACCCCGTACAGAGTATAGTTATACAAGTAACCCCTGAAAAGGTTCACTCCCGTTTACTGCACGAAGTACTCCGCACAGGGCCCTGCACTGCAAGCGGGCGGGAGAGCGACCAGGGGTAAGAGTTTATTGTGTATATTACATAGTATGGCTTTTGGCTAGGTCGAATGCATATATGTATATGCATCATGTACTAACATGGCACCGCTATCCAGGGATCACCTTTGATACGTGAACTTACCACTCGATATATCCGATGGCAGGTTGGTTCAGAGATATATACACCACGGCAAATATTGCTTCCCCGGGGTTCTAGAATACGTTCCCCAGGTATAAGTTGAAGATCATAGGTGAGACATGGGCCATACTTCAACTGCTCCGGGTATTTAGCAGGCATTGATTGCATGTTGAGTAGGGTACAAGTACTGGTGACATGCGAGCGATTTGGACTACTCTGGAAATACATGCATACTGGTTCTGATTCCTAGCTACTACCTAGATCATACCGTACGCACATGTAGTTATTATTCGCGGTTCTTTTTCCAGCCCCGTCTCCTTGGCTTCAGGTTCTTTCTATACGTATCACAAGGTGTCAACTGTCGAACTCTGACTTCTATGAGCTGTTACGTAGTATCCAAGGAGCCTGTGCTGGTAGGGCCGTGACGGGCATAAATATCCACCATTAACTTCCTGGTACCAAAGATGTCTGCCGGATGATGTGATTTATCGTGATTTCCATTGCATAAGAGAAACTAGCGTAGTTCATGGCACAGTTTCCATATCCTTTGCCAGCAGGAGAGGAATTAGGTTGATATCATTTATGATAGTTACATACATAATATGCCGACTTGCTTACCGCGTGGGTCAAAAGGCAGGCCTGCATAAATAGATTCAATTGAAAGGGAGGTCTGTTGGTCCCATATTTAGCTCTTCTTAAATATGTAACGTATGTATAAATGATATTCCAAAGACGAGGAAATACATTGACCTGGTAGACCAAAAACGAGAATATGTTTCTATTTTCCTTTTTCGAGTGTGGCTGCTCGGATATGTTTCACTGACGGCCCTGCCAGGAGGATCGTTTCAAAATAGCTGAAACGAGGTTTGCTGCACGTGGAAATGAAGGGTATGCATGATATGAAACGGGCTGGTGAGAAAAAAAAACGCCACATTGATTTCTGGAGAAATCGGAAATTGCACGCTCTGGTATGTACAAGGCTACTGATGCCGTATACTCCGAACGGAGTATTATTTTGCTGTGCCCGGGGGATGAAGAAGGTAAAAATTATGCGACGTGTATGAATAGATATGCCAAAAACTCTATGGTCAGCGGCAAGGTAATTAAATAGTAAACAAAACAGGATAAGCAAAAGGGAAAAGGAGAGATAGAGAAAAAGGTAACCGGGAAAAACATCATTTTGAATCACTCTTGCAAGATATCAACCATACCGCGAATGGAGTCCTTTAATTCCTTGGGTTGGAAACCACCCAAGGCTTTCTTTATCAGATCCATAGTCTGGGGTGGAAGCGACTTGGTGCCCTTTGAGTGGATACTTAGACCTGGGGGGGTAAACATCGACTTATCCGCATATATGACCATCCACATAGGCTGCTCGTCACCTTCCCTTATGGGTCTACTGCCCTCAGCTGGAAGCTTGCCGTAGCCCAAAACCTCCCATCGGTTGGTAATAAACTTGGCGAAGCCGGTGCCTCGCCAAGTAAATATTCCTGGGAGAGAGTTTGGGGTCGGTCTTTCTGTCCCTTCGGTGGTACCAACATCATCAGTGTCCTCCGAAATCGATTGGTAAGAAGTTACCGAGTTAAGGACAGTATCGTCTGTAAACTCAACGATGCCACCATCGGTCTCTGTAGACGGCTGGTCGGGTTCCTTTAGTGAATATGTAATGGATACATTTTTCTTGTCCTTCAAGAACTCGATCGAGGAGCTCAGGACGTACCATGTCCCGAGCAACGGGATCGTGCTTGATATTTCTGGACAATTGGCCGGGGGAGCAGCAGTCGCAGCACCGGCAGCAGTAGTAGGCGACGATGAGATCCTGGATGGAAGCCGAAGGTGGATTTCGTTGGGCATGTTTTTTTCTTTTCTTTTTTGATTAGCGTAGCTCAGTCGAACATAAGGGACAACTAATTTAACTGCAGAGTGAGGGTGGCAAGTATAGTTCACTCTGAGGTTGCAATGGATAGTCTTGGTAATCTCTCCAGAGCCCGTCCTTGATATAAGCTTGCCCCGAAGAGTAGGGTACCGTGGGTCCCCTTCTGTGTGTGTGAGAGAGAGAACGTTTGAGATTGTTACAAGTTTTTTTTTGGGTGTTTTTGGTGGAACGAAAAAATACTAGACGGAGCTAAGTTTACCCGGCCCGGACAAGCGACTCGCGTGGGCGACCTCAAGAACCTCAACTTCGAACAAGTTACAACAAGCTCATCTTGATCAACTCCGATCAGCTCTGATAGACGGCTGGTGCTTTTGTTAGAGACGATCTTGAGGCCGATCTTTGAAGCTGGAAGTGACACGGCTGGTTCGGCTCGCGCCTAAACACATCGATCCACTTTGATCTAGCTTATTTTTATCTCTTATCAAAAACATAAGAGCTGACAGACACATGAGAGAGCACACGGATAACTCTTGGGAGCTGAAATGGCTGGAATGGTGGTCAAGGATAGTTTCGCAAGGTACTCTTCCTTGGTACCGGTCTCTATCAGGACGTTCTCCATCCATATACATGCTCTCCTGTGAACGGGGAACAGCCATGGAGAGTCATGCAACTGGAATCACAACTCTCGGGGTTATTTTATGGGCTCTTAAGATTGCGTGAACCTTTCCCCCCAAGGATACGAGAGCTCTTGTGCTATGTAAAGTCCCAGAATATGGTTCATGCACCGGAATAACCGCAAAATCTTGCGGTCAGTTGAAATGGAATGCTCCTATTGGTCCCCAAGCCGTATTTGTGCCTTGGGGTCGATTGCCTAATATCTTAGCACCAAGAATCGCGAACAAGGGGCATATTTTTATTCTCCATCTTCACCCCTGACGATAGTCCTTGACGCTCTAATTTCAGATAACAACGTTTGATAGAGCAGATATTCCAATATTAGTCATGTGTTTCGGCTTTTTCCACTGGCCAAGCATACGGAGTTGCTCCTGAAACTATCAACTTTTCGGTCACTCACTCGACACAGCCATATTCCCGAAGAATCCTGGGAAACCTTCAATTTAGTAGCCTTTCGATAGAGGGCACAACATCGTGGCAGCTTTACGGAGTATACGCTACCATCACTTTGACGCATATACGCGCAGTAGTATCGTGTGCGCTGTCTAAACCCCGTGGGGTCGTCAGTTATTAACGGCAGTCCTTATTCAAGAGCGCAGTACTATGCGGAGACCAAAAGATGTCGTCTGACTCGTTGGTGAAACTCTTGGTGGTGCTTGGTATCCCCTGCGGAGATATCAATCATTCAGCAAAATGATACCTATAACATCATCAAGTTTCTTTTCTTTCTTTTTTTAGGAGGGCCGAGGTATCTCAAACCCAGCTATGGCCAGCTCTTGACCTCTGTACCATGCCGCATCTTGCCGTAATATTGATCTCTTATTTCTGTTTCAACGTGTGGAACTCGCTTTCAAGGTATATCCCGACGACCCTATGGCAATCTACTTCTACTATGGTACCTGTCAGCCTTGGAAGGGATGAGGGCTGAAATAGCCACCGCCAAACATGTTCTCTGCTCGAGTTGAGGTATGGTAGAGAGCTAAGTGGAATATAAATTTGGCCCTCTGCCCACCAGCTCAATACCCCTTGGTCTCTTTTCTGCATCAGAAAACACAGACATTCCACTCCTTTAACAACTTTTCTCTTACATTCCTTTATATTCATCATAATGGTCTGCCTCAAGACTCTGTCCGTGTTTCTTGCAGCATTTGCTGCCGCCGATGCTCGTGCGGTCTTCAAGACTCAGAGCAGCAACAAGGCGGATATCATTCCTGACTCCTACATTGTGGTCATGAAAAATGGCGTCTCCCACGATGACTTCAAGGCCCACGTCTCCTCTGTCTCACAGATCCATAGCAACAACAAGGCCAAGCGAGGCACCAACACCAATGGTATGCAGCGCGAGTTCGATATTATGAACTGGAGAGGTTATCACGGTCACTTCGACCCAGACACCCTTGATGAGATTCTCAATGACTCCAAGGTTTGTTTCATACCTCCAATCAGTTTCTGTACGTTTGGAAGAATCTAATAATATCAATAGGTTGACTACGTTGAACACGATCAAATTGTCAGAATCTCGGGCCTTGTCACCCAGCGTAGTGCTCCCAGCTGGGGTCTTGGACGTGTTTCTCACCGTCAGGCCGGAATCCGTGACTACGTTTTCGATGACTCCGCTGGCCGTGGTGTCACCATCTATGGTGTCGATACCGGTATTGATATCAACCACCAAGACTTCCGAGGACGTGCTCGATGGGGTACCAATACTGCTGACCGTGACAACGCTGACCGCCACGGTCACGGAACCCACACTGCTTCTACCTTCGCTGGGACTACCTACGGTATTGCTAAGAACGCCAACATTGTTGCCGTTAAGGTCCTTGGCTCCGATGGCTCCGGCAGCACCAGCGGTATCATTGCTGGTATCAACTTCTGTGTCCAGGATGCTCAGTCCCGTGGAATCCTTGGAAAGGCTGCTATGAACTTGTCTCTCGGTGGTGGCTTCAGCCAGGCCAACAACGACGCTGTTACTCGTGCTCAGAACGCTGGTATTTTCGTTGCCGTTGCCGCTGGAAATGACAACGTAAGACTCACCTCAAATCCAAATACCTCATTACATCATTTACTAATTATTATTCCGCTTTATAGAAAGATGCTCGTAACTACTCTCCTGCCTCTGCACCAGCCGTCTGCACTGTTGCCTCCTCCACTGTCAACGACAGCAAGTCCTCCTTCTCTAACTACGGTTCAATTGGTAAGTAAAGTCATGATATCTGCTTTCCCAGTGCAAGAATGAAATACTAATATCATTTAAGTTGACATCTACGCTCCTGGCTCCGACATCATCGCTGCCCGTCCAGGCGGCGGTAGCACCACCATGTCCGGTACCTCCATGGCCTCTCCCCACGTCGCTGGTATGGGTGCCTACATGATCGGAATGGGAATCGACCCCCGCCAGGTCTGCGACCGCCTCAAGCAGATCTCCCTCCCGGCTATCCGCAGCCCAGGTCCCAGCACCACCAACCGCCTTCTCTACAACGGCAGTGGCCAATAGGTGATCGATTTTCTATAATGCCCCCTCACCTTGAACTCGACGTTCGGTCTTTACTTTCCCAGTACATTTTTAACCTCGCCGCATCAACTGGTTGAGTGCCGGGCTTGAACTTATCAAAACTCTGCACATATTACTATTTTCTTTCTCAGTGCAATCATTTTTATGTTATTATTCTTTACCACTTATTAGTTTATATATAGCGAATCGAATAATGCTTCTTCGCTCTTTGAATATTTTATCTTGACTGTCTTGATTTCACATTCGGGTATTTCGTATTCTGGTTCTGTCATTATCTTAGCTTCCACGAAAGCAGTTCTTGAATATGAAGCTTCCTCCCCGTTTGTACCTCGACCCACATCACAAACTTTTCAGTTCTCTGCCCCAGTGATCTCGTATTCCCTTATGCATGGACGTTGGCTGCCTCGCGGCTAGCTAAGGACTTTGCTAAGTGGAGCTCGCTTGAGCTTGTGTAAGAGAGTTGCAAGTTTGAGGTACAAAATGTGTATCCACTGATATATAGTGATTATGTATAACTTCACAAAAATAACTTACAATTCAGAACATAGAAATCTAGAAAGACACATACTCCATTCCACCACCTATTGGCTGAAAGAAAATATAATCTATTTTCTAAGGTAAAAGCGAATTCAAACCAGAACCAAGAGACGTAGGAATTCATGTAAGTCAATATCTTGTGTCTCGTTTATCCTCGTTTACCCCCTTTTTCTTCTCCTGAGAGATTGTGATTGGGCGGGGGTTTCTAGTGTTGAGGGGATGAATAGTTCTGCAAGAATAGAGATAATACTTCACTTGTAATACGTACATAAAAGTACATGAAGGATTTCAAAGCAGCATTGGATGTCGTTTTCACGATGTCTTTGGCTTCGCGTTGGATCCATTCTGAACTTCTTCCTTTCGGTCGAGTGTGACATGTGTCACATAAAGGACCCTCTCCGCGTATTTCAAGAGTTCGTCGATAACCACGACTGGCGCACTGATAGCCAAAACAGCCTTCCACTCAAGCCAGTTGAGCGGCAAAATGTTGAACAGGCTTTGCAGGAAAGGGATATATAAGATGGCGAAATGGAGAGACATGGAGAGCATGATGGCGTAGACGAGCATCATGTTGTTCCATAGAGGGAAAGTAACCAGAGATTCGCTGGAAGATAGGGCATTCATGGCGTTTAACATCTCAATCACAACAAGGATGGAGAGAGAAATTGTGGAAGCAGACTTTGATATATCATTGCTGAACATTTCACAGCCAATCTCAGAGAACTCGCTGGAGCATTTGTGGAAGTGGGACTGCGTAGAAAACAAATCAGTTTCAGATCGAACTTGGGGTAGAACGGTGTCCGTATGAAAATATGTTCTTACCAATTGCCAGAAGGAGATTTGAGGGCCCTCTGGGTTGAACATGAAGTACCACGCGTAACCAAATACTGTTGCGGCACCAACATAAATACCAATAACCATGTAGCGGAAGAACAGCCAACCTCCAACAAGGGGTTCATCTCGTTTGCGAGGTGGGCGTCTCATGACGTCATGATCTGCTGGGTTAAACGACAAGGCTGTTGCAGGAAGACCATCGGTAACCAAGTTGACCCACAGGAGCTGGACAGGTACCAAAGCTTCAGGCATGCCGAGGGCAGCAGTTAGGAAAATGGACACAACCTCTCCGATATTTGACGAGATCAGATAGCGAATAAACTGTTGGGTGTTGCTGTAAATAGACCTTCCTTCCTCAATGGCAACTTCAATAGTGGCGAAGTTATCATCTGCGAGGACCATATCAGCCGCAAGTTTAGCAACGTCGGTTCCAGAGCCCATGGCAACGCCAATATCCGACTTCTTCAGTGCAGGAGCGTCATTGACTCCATCTCCAGTCATAGCCACGACATGTCCGATTGACTGTAAAAGGTCAACGAGCTTTGACTTATGAGTTGGTTCGGTACGAGAGAATAGCAGGCCATTTTTGGCTGCTTCAAGCTTTCCTTGCTCGCTCAGTTCGTCAAATTCTCTCCCAGTGAAACTCTTGCCGCGGAGGTTTTCATCTTTACCAAAGATTCCAATTTGTCGGCAAATTGACTCAGCAGTATGCTGGTTGTCACCGGTGATAACGACGACTCGGATTCCTGCTTCACGGCACTTTTCGATGGACGGACGGACCTCTGGGCGTGGAGGGTCTAGCATGGCGACAAGACCGATCAAAGTCATGTTCCGTTCCAAGTTCTCGTATTCAGCCGACGTCTGAGCGTTGTGTAGCAAGGGGGTTTCTGGAACATTAACAATGTTTGCGATGGCAATTATGCGAAGCCCTTGATCACCGTAGCCCGCCACTTCTTGTTGGATCAGTGAAACATGTTGCTTTGTGAGAGCAACTTTCTCTCCGTTTGATCCAATAATAGCGTGAGAGCACCGTTCAAGAATGGTTTCTGGAGCGCCCTTGACAAGCAGTTTCTGGCTTCTTCCTTTTCCAGCCAAGACGGACATACTCTTACGGTCGCGACAGAATTCGTATGTCGCTTGGATTGGTGATCGAGTTTCATAGTGCTTACTAGCGGCATGAAGACGCTCGGCGGGAGGTAGAGTCCTAATTTTGGCGTTGACTGCGGCGTTGTCAGTTCCAATTTTCTCAGCCAACACCCTGAGAGCGCCTTCGGTGGGCTCGCCGATATTGCTAAAAGTGCCAGTCTTAGCATCATACGCTAGCTCGGCTTCGTTGCAAAGAGCCATGACTTCGGTCATTTGGTAGATGGTGGCAGATGAAGCAGCCAAGTCCTTGAGCACGTTTCCATGCTGTTTTAGGTTGCCTTCGGGAGAAAAGGTGGTGCCTTCAACCTCAATCTCTTCAAGACCGTTTCCGCCTTCATTCAAATAAACAATACGAGCGACACTCATCTTATTGGTGGTAAGGGTTCCGGTTTTATCAGAACAGATAACACTGCAGCTTCCAAGGGTCTCAACGGAGGGCAGAGATCGCACGACGGCATTTTTTGCTGCCATTTTTCTTGTTCCCAGGGCAAGACAGGTAGTGATGACGACCGCGAGGCCTTCTGGAATGGCCGCCACGCCCAGGGAAACAGCTATTTTGAGATAGTAAATGGCTCCCTTGGTCCAGCCTCCATGGCTTGGATCACCAAAATGCTCGATGTTTATGAGCCAGACAAGGATGCAAATAACCGTGATAACCTTAGCCAATGCGTCACCGAAGTTGTTCAGCTTTTGCTTCAATGGAGTAGGTTCAGAGATTTGTGCAGTGATACTTTCATGGATATCACCAATTGCGGTGTTGCTACCGGTAAGCACCACAATAGCTGTAGCGTGGCCAGTAACAACAGTAGTGCCAGAGAAAACCAGGTTAACCTGATCTTGTTTCACAGCCTGGGGGTCCTTGATCGCAGTTGTGGTCTTGGAAACGCTTTGACTTTCACCAGTTAAGATGGCCTGGTCAACCCGGAAGCTGTTGCTCTGGATAGCGAGTAGCCTGCAATCGGCTGGGATGCGGTCGCCCACGGCTACCGAGATAATATCACCGGGCACAAGCTCTTCAGCCTTGATACGGTGAAGTGCTCCATCTCTGATGACCTTGGCTTCGTTTGCTGAATATTCTTGAAGAGCAGCAATGGCCTTTTCAGCACTGCTTTCTTGAGACACGCCAACGATCGCATTGAGGATAAGAATCGTAAGGATCTAGCAAAAATTAATACCCGAACTGAACGGTTGGATTAATTCTCTATAAGTACTTACGACTATGGGGTCCACGAATGCAGTCCATCCTTCACTGTCTTCAAACAGTGCCAACACAAAGGATATCACGGCGGATCCTAACAAGATAATGACGAGCTGATCTTTGAATTGTTCCAACACAAGTTGCCACAACGGGGTTGGCGGTTCCTCCTCGAGAGCTACGTAAAAACGACGAGTTAGTGAGAAATCCCAGAAGGAATACACTTGGTCCAAGTAGCAGCTACACACCATTAGAACCATATTTCTCCCTGTGCTTGACCACCTGAGCCTCCGGCAAGCCCTGGTCCTCCTTCACTCCAAAATGCGCGAGCACCTCCTGCGGAGTGGAAAGGAACGAACGCTCCATGGTACTCTATCTTTCTTCAAGCTCTGCGCTAGGCGCAAGGAGAGAGGAAAAGAAGAAGAAAAGAGACAGAATTCCAATCTGTACCCGTGTCCTCAAGGAATTTTCAAGCTGACAAATCGAGCTGTTTTATGTGACGGAAGGGAAAAAAGGTAAAATCAGCCACTCAATTCGACTTTTGTGTCCGTCCCATGAGCAGCGATAACGAGGATTCAGCGTCTGAAGGTATGTGGGTTGAGCCCGGGGCTCTGCTGCGGTACGTGGAGAGAGGACTTTGCAGCTGACCGCGAGATCTTCCCCGCAAAAAGAGAAGAGATATATTATCGATATAGGGTGGGGAGGTGTTTCGCAGCTGACAAACGAGTAGAACAGCAACGCAACAGCCAGTCTATTGCCAATTACTCTTCGCAGTGAAGCCAGAGTAGGAGAAGAAGAGAGGATGCAAGAAAGCGAAGATGTAGAATTTACTCTTTTTCGCTGCTTTAAAATGCCGTTTTTTCTGCTAAGCTCGAACCAACGTGGTCTTTTCGGGCGCCGGAAGAACATAATACCGGAGATCATCTAGCCTAAAGAGGACTAGTCTATACTTTATCACGTAAGATGTCATGTGATACTCCACGTGGGTTTCAGGTGACCTTGAGCCGCATGTTATGTAAGCAGATCATCCTCGTTCTTATTCTGAGTTCATATAAACACAAAGTATTTGCATGCACACTATGTAATCCCCTGAAGGCTTTCCATGTCCATGAGAGCCTCTCACGCCCTATCGACTTTGATATAGGAGGTCTTGCTAGTGCAACATTGTTGACTGCTGCGTTATTGTTCAACCTAACTTCTAACGGCTGCACTGCAACACATGCTGTCTAACGGTGTCGCGCAGTTCTTAGAGGTAACATGGATGGCTCCGTTGCACATATCAAGAACGTTTGGAAACTCGGCCCCTTAGCCATAAATCGAATTCCGTTCTCAACCTGCATGGCCTTTCCTGTCAGCAGCACCCCTTGACAGCTCCACGCCTTGTTTTCATAACATTCTTTAAAATCATTTCAATTGCTAACCAGCAGTATTCATCAAAATGGCTTGTACTATGATGCAATTCGATGCTGCCACCATCGAGAAAAGGGCTACTGCAGCCGCTTTTTACCACCGCCAACTCTTTGCTGAACCACCTATAGCATCACGCAATGAGGTAGATCTTGAAGGGAAAACCGCCATCATCACCGGATCAAACACTGGCCTGGGATTTGAGTGTGCCCGACAACTTCTAGATCTGGGTTTAAGCAAGCTCATAGTCGCCGTTCGTGACGAGGTCAAGGGTCAGGATGCCAGAATAAAGCTGCTTTCTGGGAGAAATGCCGAGAACCATACCATCGAGGTTTGGAAGCTGGATCTCTTATGCTACAATTCGATAATGTCCTTCGTGGGACGAGCCAAAGGGCTTGGGCGACTGGACTACGTTGTCAACAATGCTGGCCTTGCCAAGTTATCGTTTGAGATAAACAAGAGTACCGGACATGAAGAGATTGTGCAAGTCAACTACCTGTCCCTTGCATTGCTTACAATCCTTCTACTACCAGTGCTCAAAGACAAGAACTCGGTTCAGCAACCCGGACGTTTGGTCAACGTATCGTCTGATACTCCTTCTTGGGCTAAATTTAAGGAAAAGCATTCAATCCCTCTACTACCTGCCTTTGACAAGGAAGACAACTTTGATCCGCACGATCGTTACTCAACTTCTAAGCTACTTGGTCAGCTGTTCCTGGTAGAGCTAACCAGACGAATACCTCCATCTGTTGCTATCATCAATGCTCCTAATCCAGGCCTGTGTAAAACTAGCCTAACCAGGGACTATAACGGCAGCTTCCGTGGGTTTATATTTGGTGTATTCAGGCTCATGTTTGCTCGCACTGCTGCAGTTGGCGCCCGCTCGCTCACTGACGCACTCGTTAAACATGGCCTGGAGTCTCACGGGCAGTATCTGGAAGATGGGAAGATACAGCCGTAAGCTTAACACTTATACTCGAGATGATAAGTTGCTAATTGACTCCTCGGACAGAATGGCACCTATGGTCTACACGCGCCAGGGCAAGGAGGTTGCCGAACTGTTATGGCAGGAGACTATTGATGAGTTGTCATTTGTAAATGCATCTAGTATTATTAAAGACCTAAGGAGCGTTTAGTCCCCCGTGGCATGAATGTAAGCCTCCACAAAGTGAATGGTGCGGTGACTGGTTTACTTATCTACATATTAACTAGTAAAAGTACTCTGCTAATAGTAATGTTACACTCCCAGGCGCATCTACTAGTATATATACCTTAGTTATATCATTTCCCCTTGGGAAGAGGGCATGATAAAATAAGCAGTGTTCCAGAACCACCAAATTAAACCCCACTAATAGTGGGCTATTGTCAAATCTACCATTTGGCCAAAAAGACGAGCTTGAACTGAAGAGAGATTCCTCATATGTATACTGACAGCTATTTAAGCTTCCAGTGGCCCGAACTTACCCAGGTTTAACTAGTTGAGTGCTAAAATTGACGGCTATAACTCTATTCGGGCATTATCAAGAATTGATAAAGAGATCCTATTCTATTTGAGGATGACCCAAGTATCCTGCGCCAGATAAGTATATAAAGATAAGAAAGGATGGTATTATCTAGAGTATATCTATCCCGAAGGTTACTTTCGCACTATACTGGTTATCAAAGGTTCCATTAAGATGATAACATGACTAAAGCATTTATCTCGTCCGGTAATAGCCCAGAGTGGCTGCCATAACTCACATGAAATATACTATATGAGAGCAACTTGCACCAGACCATGCAACCAGGTGTAGTGATCTAATGTGCTCGTATCTTGAAAGCTGCCCTTTTATATGAACCTGGTATCCTTCCCTTCAAAACTATGACTATGAGATCTCACCTCTGTACAGCATTATCCGAGCCGCTTGCAGTAAGATACGATGTATTTAGACCTGCTACACCTAATCTGTATATCTAGGTCAAGTTAGCTGTAGGGAAAAAATACTTTATGGAGAGCTCTACAAGCTGAACCTACATATTGAGCGGCATCACCATTAGGCTAAAGTAATTTTTGGATATTCTAGTCTTTGGCCAACGGATCTAGAGGGCCGAGAATCACCGGATATCAAACGGATAGAGGTATAAACATGGTATGGTATACTTATACTTATGTATAAATGCAAGGTCAAGGGGAGAGCCCGAGCATGAAAATAGTTAAATCTATAGGCTCCCCTTGACATCTTAAACCATCGACAGCGTCATTGTTGGGTATTGTAGAACGAAGTCTTTGAAAGTCCTTGAGTAAAGTTAGTAATCCGCTCCAGGCGTATATAGATGGTGCCTTTCTCTTGTAGAATGTTTAGAGAGTATATAGTAATACTGAGAGTCGTTTGCAAGTAATAATTCGACAGCATTGAGGAGTTGACTCACTCGAAGGGTCAATATGCTACTGTTTGCTTAGAGAAGCAGGCCTATACAAGTATAATCTAGGTATCGGCAGTGACGTATCTAATACGCAAGTCAGCCCTGCTGTGCTTTTAACTGCAGGCAGCGAGTCAACACATGTAGACCGACTTAATCTGATATGGCCTTTTGTTATGTCATGTTAATGTTATTTTATGTGATGCATAAGCTGAGCAAAGGCACAAATCTCCGAAGACAAGCAGGGCAAGACGGATAGACGGAATGGCAAATGTGTAGAGGGGTATGGGGGGTGAAGAGAGGGCGAGAAAAATAAACAACAGAGGATTCCGATCTGTCCAGACATAAGGTCTTCTCCAAGTGCTTTAAAAACTCCGCCGATCCAGCAGAAGATACAACGACCCTTGAGATAAAATGAAAGGAAAAGAAGGGGAACTCGGAATTTGGAATTGGAATTTGGGAATAATGTAATAAAAGAAAATGAGCATAGGATAGAACACAGAGTAAGGCGAGACATGGATGGCTAGGCTAGGCTGGATAGTTGAATGACCGGGGGGTACATATATGGCCCTTGCGGGGTTAAACAGTCCATCGTCCAGTTTTCAGCTATAGAGCATGGTGGGTAACAGACATATTTGGACAGGTAATATGATAATCTGTGGTCTTCAACATCAAAAGGGCATTTTTGGATTTTTTTTGGGTTATCATTTTTTTTATGTTTCTGCCTTTGCCGTAGCCTTAAGATCCTAACCATGAATTCCCGTCTAGGACTCAGCAACAGGTTCTTCCTTCTTGACCTCAGTAGTATCGGGGGTTGGCTCCTCAGACTTGACAGCTGTAGCATCGGCCGCGGCGGCCTCTTCAGTCTTCTTCTCTTCGGTAGCACCTTCAGCGGAGGCTTGTTGACCCTGGGTCATGTGTGATTCCGGCTCACCACCCTCGGATGAGGTCCAGAGAGTCAAGTTGTCACGCAGAAGCTGCATGATAAGGGTGCTGTCACGGTAGGACTCTTCAGAGAGAGACTCAAGCTCAGCAATGGCATCATCGAAGGCTTGTTTGGCAAGGTGGCAGGCACGGTCTGGAGAGTTGAGGATTTCGTAGTAGAAGACAGAGAAGTTGAGGGCGAGACCGAGGCGGATTGGGTGGGTGGAGGTTAGTTCAGTTTGGGCAACATCGGTGGCGTTCTAGACATATTAGTTGGGGTAATGGTGGGAAAAAAGAGGAGTGAGACAAGATAACATACCTTGTAAGCATCGTGGGCAGCGGTGACTGCGTTCTTGCGCTTGTTCCCAGAGGCGAACTCGGCGAGGTAACGGTGGTAGTCGCCCTTCCTACAATAAGGTATCAGCGGTGCATGTCCCTTTTTGCGTGTACAAGGCTCCAGTGTAGATATACATCTTGTGGTAGAAGACCTTGGATTCTCCAGACTCGGCCTTGGGGATGAGAGACTGGTCCAAGACATCGAGGACATCTTGGCAGACACGCTCAAGCTCAGCCTGGATCTTCTGCCGATACTCGCTGATGGCCTGGACGTGCTTCTCAGAGCCCTTGGATTCTTCCTTCTGTTCGATGGACGAGATGATGCGCCACGAGGCACGACGGGTTCCAACGACGTTCTTGTACGCGACAGAGAGAAGGTTGCGCTCATCAACTGTGAGTTCACCACCGATCTATAACGTGGCAAGGGGTTAGTTTGACGGGCCCATGCCGATTTCATGCAAGTTAACATACGCTGGCAACTTCCTACAGAAGATTGTTAGTAACCTGGAGATCTTGACGAACGCTTGATGATAGCATATCTTACCTTCATGTACGTGACCATCTCTACGGAGCAAGGAAAAAAACAACAGAAGAAAACAATCAGCCATCATCCAAACAGGGGCCTTCAGCAGAGGAAAGCGAGTGAAGAGAAGACATCCTCCACATTCACAGACGAGGTCTTACCATCGTAACGCTCGGCCTGCTCACAGAGCCTCGCAAGGAAGGTTTTGCTATATCCCAAGTCAGTCAGGGCACGTAAAGAAAAGGAGGCCAGGAGCCCGTCAAGAGTCCGTCTTTACCTTTCACGCTGTAAAACCGAATTAGAACGTCAGTCCAGCTGCTTCCAAACAGAATAAAACCAGAGAAATAGTATCAAACAGTCCCGTCTGTTCTGCTCTGCGTCCTTGCAAGACGGCGCGAAGAACTGCGGGAGGGGTAAAAACGTACCTCAGATGTCATATTGGGCAGTAGATTTCAAAGTAGTCGAGAAGAGGGAAAAGGAAGAAGAAAGACAGTCTCAGTATTTAGCACTTGGAGGCAAGTCGACTCTGAGTCTGGTTGAGAGAGCGAGTTGTGTGTGTTTGTGTGTTGATGTTTGTTGTTTTTTGGTGTTAACGTTGAGAGAAGAAGAGGAAGAAGAAGAAGAAGATGGTGGAGATGAAGATGTGTGGGAAAAAAAAAATGACGATGGTCAAACTTGCCCTGTTTATCGCGGCGCTCTTCAGGCACAGTGAAAGAGAAACCAACAACGTCAAAGACGAAGAAGAGAAGACGAAGGAGAAGAAGAAGAAGACGTTGCTATTTATCTTCTTTTTCTTCTTCTTTGATCTGGCTGCTTCTGCCTTGTGTGTTAGCGAGTGACCTCAGCGCTAACTGTGACAGCCAACGGTGGCAGAGAGCCTTGAGGCAATCTCCCTTACGCGCCGGGATGATGGAGATTCTTTCTCTTATCCTTCTTCAGTTATTTAAGATGCCGGTGATGTTGCCTCTGTTGCTTCTGTCGCCTCTACTGACACTTTTACTTGCATAGTCTACTGGTGTATAACTATTATACCGGATATACAGACACAAAGATGAGGGCCTCGAGTCAGCCTGTCCCATGGTCTGCCTGGCCTTGACCCTCGGTGACTCTGCTGTTTGCCTATGAAACACCAGGGCCGCCTGATACTATGGGCTGATGTGCTGTGACTGATGCTATATATATCCTCACTCTGTGCCGCAATCCCCCTCAACCACGGCAGCTGCTTTGATGACAGCCATACACAGCCTCTCTCTTCTCTCCCTTGACTGTCACCATGCAAGGCAGAGCCTCAAGCATGAAGTCTTCTTCTTTATCTTCTTCTCTTTGCTCTTGTTCCCTTTTCACTTCTTCTTCTCCTTTTCGATACTCGAGTCATGTGACAAACACAGCCTCATCGAGTGAAGAAAAAGAGAGACAAACGTACGATTGGGATTTTAATACAGTATGAAAAGTTCGAGAAGAAGTAAAGTGCCGTGGTATCTCCATGGCCAGCTCTGTTATGGGAAAAATAGGCTGAGGAAATCCCTTGTAGCAGCCAAGTTGATATACTACCAGGATACGTAGTTACCTGATAAAACAGGTCTCCGTACAAGTGTATATAATTATTAGAAGGATATAAGATCCAGACAACCAGGCATCTAGTTTGTGCGTCAGCATGTCGTACATGTGTGACTTTGTAAGGCCCTTGAATACTTGCTCTCAGCCCCTGATTATCAGGAGGTAGAGTCAGGGTAAAAAACATTCATACAACTATTCGAACAGCTCTATAGACAGGCCCAAGAAGAAAGTGAAAAAAAGAAGAAATAAAACGAAATCTAGTAACCTAACAAAAACAAACCTAGTATGCTAAGAAATAACTAAGTAGGCTGTTCTCCGTCTCTCAATCTGGGCGTCTGCTTGCTTGCTCGCTCGACTGCAATATTCTAAAACTTTTTGATGGAAAGAGTAGGAAAGATAGGAAACCGGCGTTTCTTTTGGGTGAAAGCCAAGATGGAGGGCATGCATGGGAAGTATGGATGGAAAAAAGGGGGAAATAGGATAGGGATTATTAGAATGGGCACTAATTTCGGGGGTATGAAGGGATATATCAGGTCAGACGTGGAAGGAAGGCGAATCACATAAAGTCGTCATCTCCTAGGTCATCAGCGACGTCATCATAAGCCGTAAGGTCTGCTCGATTGTTGCCAGCCCGCGAAGCAACTAGGCTGGTCTTGGTCTTTGCAGCCTTGGTCTTCTTCCCGCTCTTATCAGCGGCCTTCTCTTCTTTGAGCTTCTCGTTGCTGGCGGCGGTCATTGCACTAGCAATCTTCTTGATCTCCTGGCTGGGAAGTTCCTTGACTAACTGTTTGGTAAACTCTTGCAGCCACAGGGTATATGCTGGCTTCTTGGACTGGGCCGTCAACAGCGGCACGAGGGTGTTGGTGAGGGCTGTGAACTGTGGTTTTGTGGTTGGCTTGAAGAGAGGAATGGAGGCTAGATCTATAGACTTGGTGGGGTCGTTGGCGTCTGATATCACGCTCTTGGTGGGCGCGGTGCGGTTGCGTGTGCGGGCGAGGTCGATGTCTCCGAACAAGTCTTCAGCGTGCTTCAGGTCTGCTTCCTGCTCAGTCCTACGTAGCTTCTCGCGCTTAGCGACCAGATCTTCTTCGGAGTCGGTCTCTTCCTCTTCCTCCTCTTCTTGCGCCCGTTACCGTGCGACGCCCTGGTGTTCGGCTATCCTTTGCGAGCGGGATTTCTTGCTGGCTAACGATTCAGCTTCAGCTTTGGCTTTGGCAGCAGCGACTTTTTTGGCCTTTTAGCGCTATACCTCGCTGTCCTCAGCGGCCTACCAGTCATCGAGAACCTGTTTCCGTCACCTGTCAGCACAAGATCGCACAGGATAATAATCACCTCAGGTCAACCCACATCGTCACTATCCTCTTCATCATCAAACTTGCGACGCTGCGCTGCTACGAGTGGCGGCGACGACGGAGGTGTGCTCTGCTCTTCATCTTCTAGAAAATAGAAAAAGAAACGATGTCAGCCCCTGTCAGTTCGCCAAAAATTTGTGTCCCCATCCGGTGCTTCTCTCGCTTGCTTCCTCTCACCGCTCTTCTGGCAAGGTCCCCTCGGTTCATCGTCATCTCGTACGTGGTTCATGTATGATGATGTGATTTCCAACGCATATGCGGCGATCTCACAACACGGACGAACCCCAGTAACTAAAAAAAACCCCCATGGCAGAAGCAAGCGAGGGAACAGGCGAGCGCTCAGGAACAGGTACAATATATATATAATATATGCTTACCCCACTTTGACGGCGCCATGATTGCTGCTCTTTCAGGGCTTGTTTTTTTCGTCTGCTATGTATACGATATCACTTCTTTTTCTTCGTTCTTGGGTGTTTTGGACGCTGGACGCTGCTGGCTGGTTGCCTATCGTCTTCGAGGCGTTTTGGCGGGGAAGTCGATTATCTCGGGCAGACTGGAAGCTGGCGTAGCGGGTTTATATGGGCGAGTATCGAAGACGTTCCTTGAAGAGAGGGCAGAGAGAGACGGAGGAATATTTAGTCGAACCTCGAAATATTGTTGTCTTTTTATCTGTGTGTGAAGAAGTTCGTCTTTTTTCTTTTCCTGCTTTTTTCTGCCTTTTTTGTCGTTTTTCTGCCCAACGAAACGTCATTGGCGGGGGAGAATCACATGATATTTGTCATCCCGATCAAGGCTGCTTTTTTTTTTCTCTACTGATGAAGCGAAGAAGAGTAAACAGTTATTTTGTTCATTTCTCTAGTACACGACGTTATGCATGAGTGCTTGTTATTTACGCCCCTCGGGTTCGTCACTTCATTTGTTTTTTTTTTTACCTTGTCAGGTATGTAGCGCTACTCGTGTCTTGACAGGTTTAGATGTTGATGGCAGAGCGGAACTTCTCGCCAGCATAGACGGCGTTGTCGCCGAGCTCCTCCTCGATTCTGAGGATCTGGTTGAGTTTAGCGAGGCGCTCAGATCGGGCAGGGGCACCGGTCTTGATCTGGCCGGAGCGAAGACCGACGACGATGTCAGCAATGGTGACGTCTTCAGTCTCGCCAGAGCGGTGGGAGACCATGACACCCCAGTCGGCAGCATAGGAGTCCTTGGCGGCCTGGATGGACTCGGTCAGGGTACCGATCTGGTTGACCTTGAGGAGAAGGGCATTGCAGGACTTGAGCTCGATGGCCTTCTTGATGCGGAGAGGGTTGGTGACGGTCAAGTCATCACTGACAACAATCATTCATTAGTTGGCCATGACTCTTTCAGGAGAACAGAAGATACATACCCAACGATCTGGAAGTCAGAGGTCTTGAAGAAGTAGCTCCAGGCCTCCCAGTCATCCTCGGCGAAGGGATCCTCGATGCTGACGATGGGGTACTTGGAGGCGAGCGACTTGTACAGGTCGGCGAGCTGCTCGTAGGTGAGCCACTTGCTCTGGTCGGAATTGGGGTTCTTGAAGTCGAGATCGTACTTCTTGGCGTCGGCCTTGTAGAACTCGCTGGATGCAACGTCGAGGGCAATCTTGACCTTGCCGGTGTATCCGGCTTGCTCGATGGCCTCGGTGATCAGGTCAAGGGCCTCCTCGGGGGTCTGAATATCAGGAGCAACACCACCCTCGTCACCGACGTTACCGGCAGACTGGCCGTACTTGGTCTTGGCCAGAGTCTTGAGCTTGTGGTAGACCTCAGAACCCTGGCGGAGAGCCTCGGAGAAAGATGGGGCAGCACTACCACGGTAAGCATCTTTCCCCCTTCATTGGGACATGTCAGGTGAAGCGTACCTTGGGACAATCATGAACTCCTGGAAGGCAAGACGGCCACCGGCGTGGGATCCGCCGTTGAGGACGTTCTGGAATGGAACAGGAAGCACGTATGGCTTCTTGGTGCCGGCAAGGTCGGAGACGTGAGCGTACAGTGGGACGCCCTTCTCAGCAGCACCAGCCTTGGCAATGGCCAAACTGACACCGAGGATGGCATTGGCACCGAGCTTGGACTTGTTGGCAGTGCCGTCGAGCTTGTTCAGGAACTCGTCGACCTTGGACTGGTCCTTGACATCGATGTTCTCCTTTATGAGGGCCGGTCCAATGACCTCAGTGACGTTCTGGACGGCCTTGGTGACACCTACACGGTGTTAGCCATGCTGTGCCATCTTTTTTTTTTCTCCCTGTCACCACAAAATTCGACTCGTATCAGGCTTACCCTTTCCAAGCCACTTGGACTTGTCTCCATCGCGGAGCTCGGTGGCTTCGTGCTGACCTGGAAGCTTCGTCAGTACTTAAAGGGGTCTATTGCAGCAAACCAGGAGAGAAGCAGTACAGCAGTCATCGATGATACGAACCGGTGGAAGCTCCAGATGGGACGATGGCGCGGTGAAGGCCAGTCTCGGTGACAACGTCGACCTCTACGGTTGGGTTACCGCGAGAGTCATAGACGGAACGAGCGTGGATCTTGGTAATGGCCATGTCTGCGGTGTCGATAGTTTTAGTTCAGTTGTAAACGGATGGGTTGAAGATGAAGAGATGACAGGAAGATAACAGGGTATGGCTGGTGTTCCAGGTGGGTTTATATATCTTGTCCTGCCGGGATGCCGGAGGTTGTTGCTGGTGAACGGGTTGGGCGGCGGTGGTGGTGGTGGGGGAGGGGCAGGACGAGAGACAGCGAGACCTTGCTAGCTATGCACATAAGCCAGTCTTTGACACTTACTTGCTGTTTGCTTGCGTTCTTTTATTATGTGTTTTGTCTCGGCTGCCAGACTGGCTCAATTGCAGTGTTGGCTGTGGGTTTCTTTTTCCCTTTTCCTTGCTTTTCGTCTTTCTTCGAACTTCTTCTTCTTTCAAAAATGCGGGATGTTTTTCCCTTCTTTCTTGGCGGAAGTAAACAAGGACAGGTCACGTGGTAAGTTACCCTTTCCCCTTTTAGGAAGCCCGGATCCTCCCGTGGCCTTCGCGCTTTTCCCGAAACATCCCGCTATCACGTGATGGATGAGTAAGCAGTTGCCTTTACACAGCGAGGGACGAACCAGTTTGTGCATCGTAGTATTCGACTATCGCCACAGTGAAGGGTCAAACCAAAAATGGGCCTCTCTACCCTTTATCGGTGTGTGTTAGCTGCTGCGTGAATTATAAGAGTCCATCGTAGCCAGGTCGGTCCATTGATAACGCTGAAAGTGGTACTCCAAGACATGTACCCTCTTATGCCTCATGGGCTTTTACACTGCGAATTGCTATTCACCGCCTAGGGCTGCGATGGCCCCGTATCTAAGTTGCTATCCCACCATCAACCGATGCCTAGCTAGCCACACCATCCACTGTTCATTTTACTTCTCAGCACCGAAGAATTTTAACAAGCATACGTGGAGCTCCTCCAGCTACAAGAGGTAATTTGGATTTAACTGTTTGTCGACTGTTTTTGCCTCATATGTTTTAGTTATCGAACAAGTTGAAAGTCTTACAGGGCTAGAAAAATCGAACAGCACGATGAGGATACGTTTACCCTCCAGCACGATGCAATGGCTTTTTATACGGCTGAACGAATCAAAGTTTCTGAAGAACCTGTGCAAATGCTTGAATAAATTATACTCTGAGCTTAAAAAATCTAGTTAGACGCTTCATAAGGTTAGATTCTATCGGACCTTTTCTTCTCTGAAAGACTCTGGGCTTAAAAAACAAAAGCCAACGTGTGTTGGCTGATAGCAGGCCTACCTGGTATACTCCGTCCATGGTCAAAGATAAGGAATGCGATTGCGGAGCAAGGCTTCCAATACGAGCTGAAGCCATGCATACATATCTACCACGATGTATGGCCTCCTCCCCTTTCCCAGCGAACTGGGAGTTGCTGGGATCAGAGTTGGTTCCGGATGTTCATCCAACATTCCTACTCGTTAGCTCGAGTGGACGTTGCGTTGTGGCTGTGTAGTCCCGGCTCGGACTACCTAAAGGGGCTCGAGGTATGTGTTAGCATCCCAAGATCCATGCAATCCTATGCAATTTCCACGATCAAGCGCCACGGCAAGACGTTCAAACACTGGGCCGTGCGTGCTGGAAGGTGTGTGTCAAGTTTTAGCGGGTTCCACATGGCTAGCTTAGCAGCGAATAGCCACAGGGCTAATATAAAAAAAAACACCCAAGGCGCGTGAAAGGAGTTGTTTGTATGAGGCATTTATCACCAGAGCTAAGCTCGCGATATAAAACCTCGTCGGGACAGATGTGTGCACAGCGTTGCCATTCTCGGGATTCGTCAGTGCTGGTAACCATAGAGGATGAAGCCCGACTGCTCGTGAAATAGAAATTACTCCCCGTGCTTATCCTCAATTAGGCGATCGTATATGCCTCCCTTCTGCCAACTGCGAAGCGAGAAGAGGGGATGTTGGCTTGCCGTCATATATGGTAGAAATTTATTTTTTCTTTCCTTTTCGCACAAGCAAGTTCAGCTCTTGTAGGTTGCTGAATGTCACGGGCTGTAGGTATGAAGGAGTATGTATAAATACGGTGAGGGTTGGCCATGGGAATTGGGCAAGCATCAAGCCCATCTCAAACTCCCTTCAAAGCCCGCATTGAATACTTATCCAAAGACCGATTCAGAAATCAACCTGCTCTCAGACCCTTCGGTTGTCTGTAATATCTCCTTTCAAAATAAAATGCCCCCCCAAGATGATGCACCGGCTGGTGATGATAAAGAGTCAGATGATGTAGAAAAGGGGAATGGTGGGCAGGCCCATTCGGAGGCAAAAAACACTCCTGAAGGACCCAAACATATCACCTTCCAGCAGCCAAAGGGAGACGATGAGCGTCCTAACCGCCGTACGTCTGGAGAGCGTGAACGTCGCAGGTCACGCTCTAGAAGTCGTCACTCCTTCAGCAGCGCTCGCGGAGGTACGGGAGGCAACCCTCTTACCGGCATCCCTATCGAGTTCCGTACGCTGTCCATCCAAATCAGCGAATCTGGCAATGTCACCACGGAGCTGTCCAAGGGAGACTCCAGCCGCACAAGCGCCCACAACGATAAGGAATATTTCGAGAAGCTTGATTTCCACCTTCTCCCTCGGGAGCGGCTTTGCCAACAGTTCAATGTCTCGTCTGAACAAGGTCTCAGCGTCGAAGCTGCAAGCGCTCGCCTCCAGCGAGATGGCAAGAATACTATCCCTCGCCGTCGCCCCAACTACCTCCGCAAGATCCTAGGTTATATCTTTGGCGATTTCTGCTCTGTCCTATGGGTGGGTGTGGTGATCTTCTTCATTTGCTGGAAGCCCCTTAGCAACCCGCCATCTCCAGCAAATCTAGGAATGGCAATTCTCGTTCTCATCGTCATCTTTTTGCAAGCTGGCTTCTCAGCCTTCCAAGACTGGTCTACCGGCCGGGTGATGAATTCTATCCTCGACCTTCTACCTTCTGAGGCCCAAGTCGTTCGCGATGGCAACATCATCCGAGTTCCAGCTACTGAGCTTGTCGCCGGAGACATAGTACACATCTCATCCGGCAACAAAGTACCAGCGGATATGAGATTGATTTCAAGCTCTGGTGACGTTCGTTTCGATCGGTCAGTTCTTACCGGAGAGTCAGACGAGGTCGAAGGCGCCCTCGATGCAACCGAACACAACTTTCTAGAAACACGTAACATTGCTTTCATGGGTACTGGCGTTACGAATGGTCGTGCTGTGGGAATTGTTGTCTTGACTGGCGGTCGCTCGCTCATGGGCCGTATAGCCATGGTCACAACCAATGTCAAAGAAAAGCCAACATTAATTCAACAAGAAATTACTCGATTTGTTCGCATTATCGTGTGTCTGACTTGTGTCCTCGCTGCGTTGCTACTGTTCAGCTGGGTTGGTTGGATCAGAATTAAACATGCCGCGTTTATGGATGTCGTTGCAATGCTGAACAATGTCCTCGGGTGTGTCGTTGCCTTCATACCTGAGGGTATGCCTGTTGGAGTTGCCCTCACAATGATGATGATTGCCAGTCGCATGAAATCTGCCAACATCTTGCCTAAAGGCCTATCCACAGTTGAGACCCTCGGCTGCGTTAACGTCCTCTGCTCTGACAAAACTGGTACATTGACACAGAACTTGATGACCGTTAAGTCAATTGGCCTCGTGGATAAAGAATATACCACCGACGAATTCAAAAATGACATTAAGGAGGGTAAACGTGGCAGTGCCCTTACAGAATTCCACCGTGGCTCCATCCTTTGCAATGATGCTTTTTTTGAACCTACCACCCTCAACCAGCCCCTTGACGAAAGAGCCATCAATGGCAATGCAACAGACTGCGCTATCCTGCGCGTAGCCGAAGCTGCGTCTGTGTCTAAGCACGTTGTTTCTGAAAACGATAGGGTCTTCCAAATCCCTTTTAACTCACAGAGCAAGTGGATGCTCACGATGCATAAACCACAAGGTACAAGCAACCCATCTAGCTATGAAGTTTTTGTCAAAGGAGCACCGGATGTCCTCCTCCCAATGTGTACTTCGTATTGGTCAGCAAAGGAAAACAGAGTTATGCGACTCAATGAAGCAGCAAAACGACAGCTTTCAGCATTCCAAGAGAAACTTTCCCGGAAAGCTGAAAGAGTTATTCTCCTCTGCCAGCGTCGGTATGCCCCACAAGCCCCCCTTGGCTCCAACTACTTTGGCGATGAGATCAAGGTGAACTGCATTAAAGATCTAACGGTCATTGGTCTGTACGGCATCATTGACCCCCCACGTCCAGAAGCGAGGTCAACGGTTGCTTCCTGTCGTCGTGCTGGCATCCGCTTCTTCATGGTTACAGGAGACTTCGGGTTGACAGCCGCCGCAATTGCACGCGACATTGGTATTTTCTCCGGAACTGCCGAACCCGATCGCATTCGTGGGTTTGAGACTCAAGATACTTCTTCTGCTATGAAGAAGGGTAACTCTCAGTTGGATGCCGCGTTCTCTTCTAAGAGCTTGCTGGTCGAAGGCCCTGAAATCTCGTCTCTGACCCAGGATGACTGGGACAAAATCTGTCAGTACGAGGAAATCGTCTTTGCTCGAACCACCCCTGAGCAGAAGCTCCGCATTGTTGAAGAGCTTAAAGCCCGTGATAACGTCGTTGCTGTCACTGGTGACGGGGTAAATGACGCTCCTGCCCTACGAGCTGCAGATGTTGGAATTGCAGTCGTCTCTGGAAGTGATGTTGCAATCGAAGCCGCCGATCTAGTGTTGATGGACAAGTTTGACTCCATCGTCCAGGCTGTCCGATTGGGTCGTCTCGTATTCCAGAATCTTCAAAAGCTTATCAGCTATCTCCTCCCTGCTGGAAGTTGGTCAGAAATATGGCCAGTGCTCATGAACCAGTTTATCGGTGTCCCGCTTCCGCTCAGTTCCTTCTTGATGATCATAATTTGCGTGTTCACTGATCTATTCCTCTCACTATCCCTGATAATGGAAAAGGAGGAGTTTGACCTTCTCAGTCTCCCCCCACGTAACCACAAGAAAGACCACTTGATCAATCTCAAGATATATACCCAGTCATATTTATTCATCGGTGTGATGGAAACCGTTTGCGCCCACTCGATGTTCTTCTTGTATATGTACCGCAAGGCTGGTATCCCATTCCACTCCCTCGTTTTTGCCTATGAAAAATACACGGACGGATTCTATGGCTATACAAAGGCCGAGCTCACAAACTTTAACAATGTCGGGCAATGTGTGTACTTCGTCACCCTGGTGGTTCTGCAATGGGGGAACATCTTGTCCATCCGAAACAAGCGGCTTTCCATTCTGCAGGCAGACCCTATCCGAAAGCAACGCCGGAACCCGTGGCTTGCAGGTGCGGTTTTGGTTTCACTGGCAATCGCAGTCTTTGTTACTCAAACGCCTGGTATCAATAAGCTCTTTAACACAGCTCCAGTGCCTATTGAGCACTGGTTGTTGCCAATTCCGCTGGCGGTCGGTATCCTCTGTATGGATGAGTTTAGGAAACTGCTCGTGCGGTTATTCCCAAGGGGCCCCATTGCTAGGATTGCCTGGTAACTTTTTACCCGGTTTGGTAGGGCTGGCTGGCCGGTAACACTCAGCGTTATAGGCGGGATGATTGATTTATTGTTCAAGAAGATGAAATTTGATGAAGATGTAGGCAGCAGTCTCCTCTACCAGATATAGCATGTTTACACATAACTATATACATAGCAGGATGTAGATCTAAATTTTCAAGTCGGAAATACCATTCGCATTCAATGTCACGGAGCAGGTTCCCAAGGAGCAGCTGGTAGTTATTTCAAATCCCGTCCATGTGCCAATAGATAACTGTCAAAATGGTATATGGATAATTTTGAGGTTTATAAACGTTCAAACTTGAAATATAATTTCCTTGTCGGGCGAAAACGGAATTACATGCCAAGCATTAACCACGTGACAAAGGTTAGTGTATATTAGTCACCGGCGATGTTTGTTTTGTTTGACTCGATTACATAATATGTGATGAAGCTTGTTGGCGCCTTTTTTTGGAGGTTGAAGCCAAAAGCGAGCAACAAGACGATAGCACGCAAACAGGAGGATTGAAGCTATCTTATTAGCACCGTGATCTCTCTTTTCGCCTGGGCTGATCTTTGGCTAGCTCCTAACTTCTCTCAACCCCATTTCCTAACCCTTTGCCAAACCAAGACGACGCTCCCCAGCCGGTAGAACCTATAAACATGGACGGTTCCGGCGACCCAGAGCGCCAACAAGCCTTGGAGGATTACAAGAAGAGTCTACTAGAGTCACGAGAATGGGAAGCGAAACTGAAGAACCTCCGACTGGACATAAAGGGTCTACAGAAGGAATTCGATGTTACGGAGGATAACATCAAAGCTCTCCAAAGTGTGGGCCAGATCATCGGCGAGGTCTTGAAGCAGCTTGATGAAGAGAGATGTACGTTCGACTTTTAGCTTGAGATAAAAAAGCTCTCTATCCCTACCTTCTACCTTGGCCTTTATGCTGATATCCGTCCCCTAGTCATCGTGAAAGCCTCTTCCGGTCCTAGATATGTCGTTGGTTGCCGGTCGAAGGTGGACAAGGCCAAGCTCAAACAGGGAACTCGAGTAGCTCTCGACATGACGACTCTTACTATCATGCGAATGCTTCCCCGCGAAGTCGATCCACTCGTTTACAACATGTCTCTGGAAGACCCCGGGCAAGTCAGTTTCAGCGGTATCGGCGGTCTAAACGATCAGATCCGAGAGTTAAGAGAGGTCATCGAGCTCCCGCTCAAGAACCCAGAGTTGTTCATGCGTGTGGGTATAAAACCACCCAAGGGTGTGCTATTGTACGGACCCCCGGGAACCGGGAAGACACTGCTTGCGCGAGCCGTTGCCAGCTCGTTAGATACTAATTTCTTGAAGGGTATGTGCACACCCCCCTCCTATAATCTTAGCATAGATTGTTAACATGTCCGTGGACAGTTGTATCATCTGCTATCGTTGATAAGTACATCGGTGAATCTGCTCGTCTTATCCGTGAAATGTTCGGCTATGCTAAAGAACACGAGCCGTGCATCATCTTTATGGACGAAATTGACGCTATTGGTGGCCGAAGATTTTCTGAAGGAACTTCCGCTGATCGAGAAATTCAGCGAACGCTTATGGAACTTCTCAACCAGCTAGACGGATTCGACTATCTGGGAAAGACGAAAATTATCATGGCTACCAATCGGCCGGATACTCTCGATCCAGCTCTTCTACGTGCAGGCCGATTAGATAGAAAGATTGAGATTCCATTGCCAAACGAAGTAGGCCGACTGGAGGTTCTCAAGATCCATGCCAGCGGTGTGTCGATGGAAGGGGAGATTGATTTCGAGACGATTGTGAAGATGAGTGATGGTTTGAACGGAGCTGATTTGAGAAATGTAGTGACCGAAGCGTAAGTCTTGCTCCCTTGAATGATTTTACTCAGCAAAGTATCTCTAACCCTGTTTTAGTGGTCTATTTGCTATCAAGGATTACAGAGATGCCATCAACCAAGACGACTTTAACAAGGCTGTTCGGAAAGTAGCAGAGTCAAAGAAACTCGAAGGAAAGCTGGAGTATCAAAAACTATAGAGTAGATATATCCATGTTATACCATCAAAGCGTTTCTTGCTTCTTGAGCGATTGATATGGTTCTCCTCTGCTATGTAAATCACATCATAATTACTCTTCCTCCATTGAATATCTATACCTCATCGTCCGTCTGCCTTTGCCGCTTATGTGTTTATATAATAATAACATAGAATTGCCGTATGCCGAGGCTGCAAACAGCGCAAACAGAGTTCTTTCAAATATGCCACATCTATCAAATTGTGAATCGCAGAAGATAGTAACATATTGATCCAAGCATGAGTATATATATAGCCAGTAGACCTTGAAACAACTCATACGCTGACTGTTTGTCCATTCCCAGACCAATGATAGCTCAATCTCCGCTCCTTTGCTCCGAGACCCATCCGAATGAGTTCCGTGTGACGCCCGCCGAGCATATCCAACGGTTTTAAGAACACGGGATAAAAAAAATCAAAATCAAAACCAGAGGGAGACAAGGGAAAGTCTGTGGTTAAATGGCCTTCCAAGTTCCCAACCGGGTGCCGGTCTTCAACTCTGCTCAGCGCGAAATAGAGGATGGCTACTGGCGAGCCGCCACAACCAACAGCCACTTCGCCAAACAGTCTGGCCTCCAGCTCACAGAGAGGATAGGGAATTTCATAACACCTTCGCGAGAGCTACCGATGTATAAAGACAAGCCATATTATCAGTCACGAGGGCGGCACCCCGGTGGGCGGAAGCGGAAGAAAGCTTTGTGGGTTGCGATATGTGTTGGTTTTTTGGTTGGTTTGTGGTGGTTTTTGGGTGGGAGATCAGGACATGCAGGCATTGTGAGGCCTATAGAGATGAAGGGTGGAGAATTGTGGAAATGGATACAGGAATTTGAGAAAGGGGTTGTTGCTGGCAAAGGGAAAAGCAACATGATAAACTGGGAAGAAAGGAAACAGAGAGTTAAAGATGCATTCCTCGTCAGCTGGGAAGGATATGAACAAGATGCATGGGGTGAGTCCTTATACATTTCTATGAGTTTGCACCTTTGATAAAGTGATATTATATTCAGCAATGGCTGACCCATGCACACAGGAAAGGATGTTTATCAGCCTCTGGCTAGAACGGGAACGAATATGGTTGAGGGCGGAATGGGCTGGATAATCGTTGATACCCTTGACACATTGATGCTCATGAATCTCACGACACAGGTGCAAAATGCTCGGAAATGGATACAGACGTCTCTCCACTACCAGCAGGACCAAAACGTAAACACGTTTGAAACCACTATTCGGATGCTGGGGGGCCTCTTGTCTGCCCATTATATCTCAAAAACATACCCAGACCTTGCTCCACTTCAAGAAGATGACGACGGTGCTCCTGGTGATGACTTGTATATCGAGAAAGCAACGGGGCTTGCGGAGCGATTGCTGGGCGCGTTTGATTCACCCTCTGGTATCCCATTCGCAAGTTTGAATCTCAATTCGTCACAGGGCATACCGTCGCACACGGATAACGGGGCGTCCTCAACCGCAGAAGCCGGGAGTCTGCAGCTCGAATTCAAATATTTAGCTAAACTGACAGGAGAAGCACATTACTGGGAGAAGGTGGAGAAGGTCATGCAAATCATTGATGGGAACCAGATGAGGGATGGGCTATTGCCAATATTTATCATGGCTGATACTGGCAAATTTATGGGCGAGAACATCCGGCTAGGCAGTCGGGGAGATTCCTATTATGGTAAGTTCTCGTCTAATAGTCATGACACTGAATGGAGCTAAACTATCTCAGAGTATCTCATTAAGCAATTTTTACAAACGTCTGGTGAAGAGCCAATCTACGAGAATATGTGGAACCAAGCACTCGCAGGCATCCGCAAACACCTCATTGCCTATACGAAACACGCTTCCTTAACATTTGTAGGAGAGCGTCCTAGTGGGCTTGACGAAAGCCTAGTGCCAAAGATGGACCATTTGGTGTGCTTTTTGCCTGGCACAATAGCTCTTGGAGCTACCGGGGGACTGTCTCTTTCCAAGGCTCGGAAATCTCCCGGCTGGAACCGTCAAAAAGAGGATGAAATCATCCTTGCTAAAGAACTGGTCAAGACATGCTGGGCTACATATCTTGCTACCGAAACAGGTCTAGCTCCTGAAATCGCCTATTTTGAAGTAGATAAACCTCCAAGGATGATGGATGACGTTTTTGGAGGGCCAAAGGGCGAGCCTGAAAATGGAAAAGGCAAGGAAGAAACAGGAAAGGCCAAGAACGAAGGTATACACATCGTATCCAAGCCACTTGAGCCACTTGACGACAAAGACAGTGCGTGGAGAAAGGACGTTATCATCAAGCCGGCAGATCGACACAACCTCCAGCGGCCTGAGGCTGTTGAATCCCTCTTTTACTTGTACCGCATCACAGAAGACGAAATGTACCGTGAGTGGGGCTGGGAAATGTTCAAAAGCTTTATCAAACACACTGCTGTCATTGAAGAGGAGGGAATCAATAACCAGGACCATGATGGGTCACCAGAACCGCCTGCGTCCAATGATAACGGGCAATCATCAAGCTCATATATCAGAGCCTTTACGTCCCTATCCAATGCTGACACAATCCCTCCGGGCAAGATAGATAACATGGAAAGCTTCTGGCTAGCGGAGACATTGAAATATTTCTATCTCTTATTTTCGGATAAGGATTTCATTCCACTTACAGAAACAGTGTTCAATACGGAGGCACATATCTTCCCTAGATTCAAGATGGGGAAGCTGTTTAAAACGGGGTGGAAGAGGAAGACTGAGTGGAAAGGAGAATAATCTCACCAAGAGTGAGGAGGGTTGGTATTACATATATTTAGTTTCTATACCCAGCATGTTTGTGTCATATTCTCGTTTGTAATTTTAGGATCAATGTATTGCGAAGCGTTTGCATTTTTCGTTTAACTAATATACTATAAACACAACAATTTGTTTATACTCATTGAATTCTCAAGAAGACCCTAAACAGTACCCTATGGACGCTCCCTCTCGACGGCTTTGGCAACTAGTTTCTTATACCCCTCCAGCCCAGCCTCCATCTCGCCAACAGTCAAAGCCTCGTTCTTACCATGGGCAACGAAAATGGTTCCGGGTCCATAGAGATATCTTTTTACGTTGTCACCATAAATTTTCCAGTGAGGCACGTCTGTTCCGTAGTTGACAGTGGTGACGTTGAAACCATCGACATCTGAATCTAGATCGATGACACCATATGCCTCTAAGCCGAAAATGATCTCGATATCTCCCTTTGGACGTTCATGGCCGTTGGAGAGAACAACAGTGGCATCATTTCTATTCTTTGTAGCTACATTGCGAATAGCACGGAAAATGATATCCTTTGCATCCTCGGGGTCACCGGCTGCAAGGCGTACGGCGACCTTCGCAACAGCCTCCTCTGCGACAACGTTTGAAGCAACACCACCAGACATGAAGCCGATGTTTAACGTGGTACGGCCATACTTCTCGCTGGAAGGTAGCCCCCCCTGTGACACTGGGATGTCACCCAATCGATCAACCTCCGCTAGAATGGGTATGATCTCGGACACTGCACTACGGCCTAGCCAGGGGTATCCAGAGTGAGCAGGCTTGCCGTGAACACGGAGAGTGAAAGAGACCATGCCCTTATGGCCAGCCACCAGGGCGCCTTCAGTGGGTTCACCGAAGATGATGGTATGATAGGTTCCAGAGTTGAGGCGGGAGTTTGAGAATGTCGACATGCCTTTGCCACCAACTTCTTCACTGACGACAAAAAGAAGGCCAATTGGGATGTCTGGGTGTTTCTCCAGATGGTCCATGGCAGCTATGACTTGGCAAGCTACAGAGGCTTTATCGTCAACAGTTCCACGGCCAGATATGAGAATATCATCACGCTTCAAAGATGTGGATGCCGGGTGGCTGAGAGAGTAGGGGATGAATGGTGGGACAGTGTCGATGTGGCTTGTCAGGATGATTCCGGGGGAAGCATTGTTTCCGGGGTAAGCAAATATGTTAAAACGGCGGGGTGAGCGAATTGTTTTCCCAGTATCGTCGTCAAAGTCAACGTATTGCATCTCGACTGTAAAGTTCTTGGAATCCAAGTAGTCTATGAGAAACTCTCCCACAGCTTGCTCATTGTCGGAGATCGACTTGATCTCAACGAGCGAGCGATGCAGGGATAGCAGCTCAGAACTGGCGATAACTTCATTCATCTCTGACTTTTGGATCATAACATTGTCGCTGCCACCGTCGGCGCTGTCGGTGCTATCAAAGCTGCCACCAAGATCAAGACGAGTCTGATCAGCCAGTGACCTGACACTGGCGAGAGAGCTCACCAGTAGCGCCAAAAGATAAGTCTTCTGCATCTTTGTTACTTTCTCTTTCTGTCGTCCTTGTGCCTGGGCCTAATTGGTACTGTAGAGTGAATGCGGAGATGTTGATTATCTGGGGATGGATAGCTTAAATAAATGTGTCGGCCGGGGTTCCAGTTAGTTAACAAGTTGATGGTCGGTTTTGAAACGGCCAACAGCAAATGATAACAAATGATAACCAATACGAGCCATGGATATGGCTGGTTCTCTGTCTTCACTCGGCTCTCCGCTTTCTGCTCGGGATTATGGCCGATCAATCTCGGTCAGGGGTTAAATGTATCCTCGATATCCACAGCAGTTTCTATCCAAGATATCGAACCTACTATAGTAGACAGCCAAAGTGTCACAGAACCAAGAAAAAGATCCAAAGAATGAGTTGATTAGATGATTACTAGATAGAAAGTGGTATAAAAAAAGTAATATGTAGACAAACAATCACCCCCGAAACCAAAACCCAAGAAAAAAATCGCAAAGCAATAGATCAACCAAGACGTTAATAGTGACTACCTAAATGTAGGGGGAATAAATATAGGTTCGGATGAAAAAAGAAATAATGGAAAAAGGGCAAGTCATAAGTCATCATCATCGATCTGGGGAAATGGGAATAGGCATCTCCAATTGAAGAAGAAAAGGCGGAAGAAAGGATTGGTAAGGTGAAGAAGGGTGGTGAACTGCCGTGTTATATCCTCCACCTACCCTGTCGCGCACAAAACTCGATCAACAATTTCTCCAAGTCTCGCAGCTTGTATGGTTTTGTCATGTACCCTTCCATGCCAACCTTCGTAGCTCGTCGTAGCGCTTCGTCGGTAACGTCGGCGCTGACGGCGAGAACTGTAGGGCCCGGGGGAGGGACGTTGGCAGGATTGTACTTTACCATTCGCTCGCGGTATGAAGAGACGAGAGAGAATATCCGTTCTGTGGCTTCGTAGCCATCCATGTCAGGCATCCATAAGTCCATGAGAATTACATCGATAAATTTAGATTCGGTAGAAAGGGCTGGAGAAGGAGATCGTGAAGGGGAAGTTGAGAATTGGCAATGGGATGGGGACGGTGGAGGGGATTGAGAAGGCGAAGGGGATGTGGATTGGAGCTGGGACTGGGGTTGGGGCTGGGGGATCGCTGAGGGTGGAAGAGAGATGGTTCTTGGTGAGGCGTCAGGAGTGCTACCGACAGCATACCGCGATGCGTTACCCTCTAGTACTTCCTTTACTACCCTTACAGCATCGCGGCCATCAAATGCCTGATAGACGTCTTTGTAGCCTAGTTTCTCAAGCATTGTGACTAGAATTTTTCGATTGATCAGGTTGTCCTCTGCAACCATAAAGGTGAGTGGGTGGCGTTCGGCGAGGGTTTGGCGGCCATTGAGGTATGGACTGCGAGGGTAAGGTGAAGAAATGGTTGGCATTGGGGTTGGAATGATAGGGGCGGATAACGAGACTGGAAGAGGCGGACGGTGTATGGGAGACTGGACTACATCAACGGTTTGGGTTTGTGCTTGTATTTGTGGATCGGGGGTAGCAGGCCGAAATGGAGCTGATGTGGATATCTCTGTTGACGTCGTTGCGGCTTCTCGATGCTCGGCCTGGCATGTCTGGTTTTCCAGTTGTCCCTGCCTTTTATCATCGTTGGTTTCTCCGCCAGTATTGGTACATGTATGAGCATAGGCTTTGGGCGTACTCGGCCTACTAAGCACATCGTTTGGTACCATGGGCAAGCGAATTTCAAACTCCGATCCCTGGAGCTCACCAGATGTTGACGAGCGGACGCATATCAGGTCACCACCGAGTTTTCTTGACAGCCCCTTGGCGACCAAAAGGCCTAGCCCAAGCCCTTCTTTGCTGCGAGTAGTCGATCCATCCTCCCGTGCAAAAGCTTTGAATAAATTTGGTAGGAACCCTTCTGGAATACCTGTACCCGTATCTGTGACATTGATAACCACATATCGAGCGGTATGGTTAAGCCTGACTGTGATGTTTATGGTCCCTGATTCAGTGAATTTAAGGGCGTTCAGAAAAACGCAAGAAACAAGTTTGGCAAGGTCTTTTTCGTCTACGTATAGTGTCTCAGGGACGCAGTGGTCAACAGACCAGGAAATCTGCTTGGTTGATGCGGTGCCATTGGAAGAACGGGAGCGGATTACTATTCGTTCGCCAGTGTCGGTAGGTATCGTAGTGGTGGAGTCGGGGCGGCCACCGACATGCAAAGACTCATTAATCACTAGATGAAGCAGCTCTCTGATCTTGGTATAATGCAGAACCATAGGCGGGAAGACGGAGACAGGACGGGTTACTCTGGATAAAGACCGGGTGTGTTTGCGAGGACGTGATGGTTGATCCGTATACTCATCCCTATGCTCATCAGGGCTATCGCCATCACTATCTGGAGGGGCTACAGCGTCTATGAAAGCGTCCTGGATATCTCCCGTAGCTGGTGTTGAATGCACGATCTTGTCACTCTCCTCTACAACGCTCCTGACTTCTGCAGTCCGCGACCGCTCGCGGCGGGGAGATTTAACAGACCGGGGTGGTGGGCGGTTAGGGGAAGATCCACGAGAAGAGTCAGCGGCATGAGGTCGTTTACGATTGACAGAGATGTCGATTCCTGCACCGAATATGGGCCGTAACTCATTCGAAGGATTAATGGAAAATTGGCGTGAAATGCAAGGGGGTTCGTCGGTAAGGGAGTTTTCGAGGGTATCAGGAACTTGCATGTTAAGATCATAGGCGTGGACGATATTGTCTGCGGCCTCGATGGCACGACGAGCAGAATCTATATATGTCGTTAACCTAGTTCACTGAATGAAGCTAAGTAAAGAGGTTCGTGTTTTACCTTGGACCATCTCTATGTCCCCCCTGAGACTCTCAAATGTCTTGACCACGCCTGCAGTCAAATCTCTGTCCCCATCTGATGCTCTCTGAATAGTATCGGCAACCGTACCGTGCATCATATCCAGCATACCAACAACGCCATGCATGGGCGTGCGCAGCTCATGCGACATACTACGCGCATAGAGCTTGAGTGTTGGCTGGCCTGCAGCCGGTTTATAAGGAGTGGGACGACGATTAGAAGATGGAGAGCGGCACCGGGATCGCTCCCTTTCTCGCACTCTTTCTCTTTCTATCTCCATTCGACGTTCATTCTCTTGTACTTGCCTATCCTCGAGCTGGCGTAGCATCGCGCTCTCGTCCATACGCTGCAGTATCATATCCTCTAACGAATGTAATATCATCTCAAGGTATGCCCAGGAAACATTCCTCTTCTCCAGACCGACACTTGTCCACATTAGTCCTACACGGGCGACAGGGATGCGGGCGTCAAACAGCGGGACTGCCAGGCAAGCTGCCATAGGAAAAGGGAAGCGAGCCATGCCAGACTCTCCAACAATCGAAACGAGGTCATCTGCCACGAGGAAGGATTTATGAATATCTCTAGCCACGATGTTGTGAGGGAGGTCCCAAGACCATGGTTTGTAGTTCCGATGTATGATCTCGTCTGAGCCGTTATTGTAGTAGATGATGGGGGCAAGGTGAGAGGCCGGCTGATCTGTTGCATCCTCGGTGCTACCATCAGGTAACTCCTCTACCACAAAACCACACTGAGCATTACATATACTCGTCAGTTCCTTCATGAGGTCCCTCCAAAATGTATCATCACCGGTATCGCGAAGGTCGGCTTTCAACGCTACCAGGCGCTCAATGGCATTACTTTGGCCAGTCTCGAATTGCCGATACATGAGGTTTGCGGCAAGCTTCTCCTGAGCGCTGACGGTGAACCGTTCGAAGTCAACGGCGTTGTAAGAGCTGGAGGAGCTCTCCTTGCCGTTGGTGGTAGAGGCCATGCTGGGGTTGGAGGCCTCTGCGAGGGCTATATTGAAGCACTACCAGGGCATGGATGGTCCGATGTCTATATTATAATCAGTATTCATCCGGGCACGCTGGGTTATGAAGGGGGCACGTTTACCACGCGAGCAGCGAGGGTCGATGGCGCTCCGTTTGGTGCCAGGCGTGGATTTGCTGATTGTCGATGCGTAAAGTTGATAAGTGTAAGATGTCTTGGCTGCGGGAGAGCACTAAGCAGGAGAGAAATAAAAAAGACAACAAGAAACAACGGTACGGAGTATACAGATGGAAATGAAAAAAAAAAAAAGAAAGGCGATAAGACGAGAGAAGAGAAACAGAGTAATTCCCCCGTACTTCTTGCACAAGAAAAAGGAAGAAAAAAGGACGCTAGGTGCATCTAGAGCAAGCCACCAAGCTCGGGATCGTGATGCATCTTGTTACTGGTCATATTCCACATCGTTAGCAATGTCCCCCCTGTTCCAACGGGTGCAGGCAGATATCCGACATGCAGTTACTCTGTGCCGCTGGTGATGCAGCAGCCCGTGTAGAGCCATCACGCCAGAAACACGTTTGCTTCTTCGCCTCTGAATTACTCCCGAATAACTTGATGCATCTTGTTGTTGGATAGAGCACACTCCCACTTGCCGGTGTGGAGAATCCCTTCCTCGAGTCAAAGCATCAGTTTCATCAGCACGCTAATATGTGCTTCTGTTGCTGATCTTGTAGCTGATAGTGTGTCAAGAATACAGGTACAGGGAATATCGACTTTCCATCTGGAGCAGTTGAACGGTCACGCATAAACGGGCCTAGACAGACCGGTGGTCCGTAGATCGCTTTATTTTCGGTTCTCCCCATCTCCCCTTCGTTTTTCGTTGCTGCAATTGCTGATGCAGCGGAAGATTTTTCTTATGTGAGATGCAATGTGATGTCGGTAGATCGGCAGGGATTTGAAAAATGGACAGCAGCAATAAGACTAGGCTGGTGGTGCTGATACTGGTGTGTACGGAGGCTAGTATTAAGCTGTTGTATCTATAGTCTATTGCCGCGTCTTCAGATCTCATGTCCACAAAAGGTCTCAATAGTCGGCGAGTAGTTTATACTAGGGACTTTTAGGTGAGCCGAACCCAGAGTTCCTGGCTGGGAAAGCGCCGAAAGGCGCGATTCTGAAGGGCTTGCGGCCACCCTTACTAGCCAGCTAGAGGCTCAATTACTGGAGCCTATGCGCCAGAACAGGGCCTAAGTTCTCTACTATCATTTCTGGCCCTCGTTCGCCATAACTGCTTAGTTTCCAGTAAAGGGGGAGGGTAAGAGGCATTTTATGCCTGGATGAATAGTTAGCAATAGAGGATGAATAAATTAATGTATTATGTACTAACGGTCGGATATACATACCACATACTATGTACGCATCCTGTGGTAAGTACGTCGTATTCGTACTCTGAGGAGTTGACAAATTGACGCGTTTGCCGGATGCAGAAGACATCTCACACGTATATTGTAAAGCCTGAATGTGCTTTTTTTAATTATTTCGATGCATTGCTTGAGTTTGCCAACCATTTTCAACTTGACCAGAGTGTCTTCTTGCATTCCACTTCTGACAAGATTGAGGCCCTTCTCGCTTTCTGTCCTACAGGAAATTCGGGCTGAAATGAAAGCCACCAATCCAGAGCATGTTTCCGGACCAATGCGGACAGAAACCCATATAGGTGCACTTGCGATATTCTCCATTACTCAGGCTCAAAGAGGCCCGAGCCTCAATCCACGGCCGAATTGCGAAAGTAAGCGCAGAAATGACCAAGCTAGAGTTTAGCTTTAGAGGTGAGGCGCCGTAGTGCTCTATCACTGTGAAGCTATGGTGCTGAATCGCGAACGGCTATTCGAATGTCAATGCCTTCAGGTGAGTGGCTGTGGAGCAATTGAGTAGCGACCTGCGTCAACGGGGCTTGCTACTCGCAAGCAAAGTACATAGTAGGCGTAAACAAATGGCATACTCAACACAACTGTTACAAATTGTTTTGGTTCACACTGGGCGATTGAATGTGTTTTTCAGCCGCCTCACTCGGACAGTAACAAGGGCTTGATATAGTTCATGATATCATAGCGTATAGGGATTTTCGTAATGTCTGCATATGACATTCAAAAATCCCTATCCAGTAGCTTGTAGGTAAACGAACTGCATGGTCGATCCCAAACAATGCGTGGTATGCAGACGAGAAGAGTTGCTGTTGGCAACTTTTCAAGTTTGATAAATGGAAAAGAAGGAGGAAAAAGGAAGTCGATAAAAGGTTTATGACATAATCTCAGATGACTAATTAACTTAGCCCTAAGCCCTAAGCCCTTCTTCCAAAATAGGCTAGCGTACTTCAGGCGAAAGTTCCCCCCAAAAAAAAGAGACACCGAAAAAAGTGTTTTGCGAGTTGAACATCGTCGACATCGAAAATATCGCCAACTTCTCACGTCCGCCGCTACCGTCGACATCACCGATCGAGATGGCGAACGAACGCTCCGGAATCGCCTCTGGCTTGAACAAGGGCCGCGTACGTTTCTCCCCGTGACAATGAAGGAGATGAAGATGGGTGTGGCCTATTTAGAAAGATTTGGCTAAGACTTGTTGCGATTTATAGAAAACCACCGCCATTGAGAGACGTGCCCGTATCTCCAGAACCAAGGGTTCCCTCTCCCGTCGCACCGCCTTCGTCCGTGAAATCGTCAAGGAGGTCTCTGGACTCGCCCCATATGAGCGCCGTGTCATTGAATTGTTGAGGAACTCCCAGGATAAGCGTGCCAGAAAGCTCGCTAAGAAGAGAGTAAGGCACTCCGACCAAATTACATTATACAGAATGGCCGAGACAATGACGGCGCTGAGTGATTGGTTTTGATATCGGAGGATAAGCTAACATGTCTTTTAAAACAGCTCGGTACTCTCGGTCGCGCCAAGCGGAAGGTCGACGATATGCAGAAGGTCATCGCTGAGTCGAGGAGAGCTGGTCACTAAACAACGAAATAATGTCAAATATTTCTCAGTTCCGAATAATACCAACCCGCCCTTCTTGAAACAAATAAAATTTCCAGAAAAAAACAAAAACAAAATCTAAATGGAAACGACACTCCGTCGCTATTTGTTTGAATGTGCTCTTATTTTCATCCTTTTTTTAATGCAGATGAGCCAGCTGGTCAATGGCCGGGCCGCACGGTCGTCTACATGCATGTTTGCCTGGGAATGCAATGCAGTTATGGACTTGGCGAGATGCAGGATGGAATGGGAATATGATGGCAAGGGAAACGGAACATGGCAATCACTGGAGTTTTCATGGTTACGACCTGGAAAGATTTCAAAAGATGAAAGTAATTACAAATTTTCAACTTGTCTATGTATGGGATTATGGTTCCCCAATCCATGCCCTTGTTTGAATCTTTAAAAACGTCTATATTCCGTATATGCAAACCGCTTGCTCTTGCTTATCAACATTAATGGCCTGAACTCCCAAAAAGAATGTGAGAAAGCCCCAACAGTAGTCGTACGTCGTATCATATATCATATATCATATCACTCCAACGTGTTGCAAGGGATTGGCTATTTCTTGCCGGGTAATTTCAGCCATTTTGGGATTCCGCCTTTTTTCTTCGACGCGTCAGAGGAGCTGGGCTGCATCTTTTTGACATGAGACTTGTCCTCTACCTTGTCGTCGTCTTCGGTTATATCATTTACCTGTAGCTTCCCGGCTGCCTGCCGCAATTCAGGTCTGAGAACAGATCCACCCGCACTACGCGCAGAGAGAGCTGCATTTTGTTCCCAAACAAAGTTAACCAACACTCTTCCACTCATCTTGAGCCCGCGAATGAGGGTTTTGTCTTCGCTCTCTGGGAGCTGGACCTGCACATGCGAAGCACCGATTGTAACAGCAGGGAAGTAGAAAAGGGAAAATTTTTGATCCACCAGAGGGGCATCCAGGCAGCTCCTTGCAAACGCGTACAGGGACTGTGCCGTATCCTCCTTTGTGAATTTGGAGACTGCCTGGCTTTGGTCTGGGAAGCGGATTTTAACCTCAATCTCGTTTACCTTTGACAGCTTTTCTTGCGCTACAGCCTCCTGAGCGGCAAGCTCCACATCACCCGCTAAACGATTAGGGCGGCCGGCTGCGTTCAGTCTCTTTTGGTGGGATTGAGCATGTTCGACGGTAGGTACGTAATCTTTCTCATTATACGGCGTTTGGGCGGAATGAGGGGTCGAATTGGATGGAGGCGCAAACACAGTCACTGGTCTTGAAGATATGGTTATCGACTTAGGGTTTGATTGATCCTCGGTCTCCTGTATCTGTTGCTTTTGCACTTGTTCTTCTGGGATCCCATCCTGAGATGTTTGTTCATTTGCCATTTCCGCGTCCACGCCCATGTTGGACTGAACAGCCACACTCTGACCCGTCCCTAACGCTTCTGCAGATGTCGATGTTTCCGTTGTTGGAGTATCAACAGCCGAAGGCAGCGTTCCACTGGACTCGGCCATATTTTGGTCACCATCCACAGATTTGAAATAAGCATCAATTTCAAGCATGGCCTCTTCTAGAGCTTGGTCAGTCCTTCGGAAGCTTAGCCTTACCAAGGCGCTTCCGTTATTCAGTCCAAGTTGACTAAGAGTCTTCTGTAGTTCTGTAAAGGAAGATAGCTCTTTGCCCATAATGTTAAGCACTGGAGCTTCGTAAAATAATCTCCCAGAGCCCGACTCGCCCTCCTGCACCTGTGGAGCACCTCTTGCCGTCAGGTTGAACTTTCTCATACTTCCAGCCACTCCAGCTTCAAACTTCCGCAGTACTAGCCATAGGGTGGTGTTACTTGGGAATTTATCCATTAGTCGGCCATTGGGAACCCCCTGTGATTCTGATTCGGGTAGTTGGAGGGCAATAGATATGACGGTTGGTGATTTAGAGAGCTGTACAAGTTCTAACTTAGCCCCGGAACTCAAGCCTGAAAGCCGGAACGATAGAGACAGATCAACCGTCTTCTTCTGGTGCCTATGGCTCACAAAACACCCAGTCAGCTTGTTTTAATACCAAAGTAAGAAGATTCAAGCCCTGTCGCCTCTAGAAACCGCGTCTCACTCACTTTATACCGTACTGAGCGGGGTTGATGTTGAACTTGGAGCAAGCTTCGCTGAGGACATCACTCATATGCTTCGTAGGCGTTACTTTAATAAGTGTCCTACGCGCACTGGCGTCAAGCACGATGACATGAGCAGCCATCCTGTAGGATATCACAGGGCTATACTGTCTTCTATGTAGAGGTATCTAGATATTACCTATCCTTGTTTGTTAGCTGAGTATGCGTAAACTACAACAACACAAGCCTCACCAGTCTGTTATACACTTGACTTATATCCGTATGGGAAAAAAGAAAACCATCAAGAGTACTCAGAGATGTCGACTGTTTCAATCTCCCTCACTATCTGTCTTTCTGCTCGTCGTGGTTTTCTGATGGTCCCTCTCAACACTGGAAGCGCAGGCAGCGGCGAATCGTCATCCCGATGGTCCAAGCTCCTCCCATACGACTGTTTGGATCGTGGGAGCTCAGCAACAAAACCACATCCACGAGCACGACCACCATTACAACACACGCAGCGGTTAAAGAGCTCATCGATCCTTGTCTGTTATTTAGATCCCGAACGAGCTACTCTGCCGCTTTTATCATGGTGAGTTTCTCCTTCAAAGTCGGTTCTTGTGCTGTAAAAACTAACTCTTCCCCAGAGTTCACCATTCGACATCAGTACGAGATATTCCTCTTTCCCCCCCTATAATGCATTGCCAGATAGCTGGTTGATCCGGTACTAATAGCTACGCACCATTAGATGGCGGTGCCTGTGTGGCTATGGTTGGCAAAGACTGCGTCGCGATAGCCTGTGACCTCCGACTTGGCCTCCAGGCTCTCACCGTCTCCAATGAGTTCCCCAAGATCTTCAACTATGCTCCGTCCACATATCTAGGTCTTACAGGCCTAGCCACAGACGTCAACACCGTATCCCAGCTGCTACGCTACAAAGTCAACCTCTACCGTCTTCGAGAGGAGCGAAACATCTCTCCTCAGACGCTCGCTAACTTGGTTAGCTCGAGCCTGTACGAGAAGCGATTCGGTCCGTTCTTCGTCAGCCCAGTACTCGCAGGAATAAATCACACCACTGGAAAGCCCTTTGTGTGTGGGTTTGACAGCATTGGATGCATTGATTTTGCGAAGAACTTCATTGTCAGCGGCACTGCGAGTGACCAGCTGTATGGTACTTGTGAATCGCTATGGGAGCCTGATCTTGTATGTTGATGCTAATTACACTCACATTTCAAGTCTTTGGCTCTGTTAAATGATTGGTTCACTAACCGCTTACGAACAGGAACCTGAGGACCTTTTCGAGACCATCTCACAAGCACTATTGAACGCGGTCGACCGCGATGCTCTCTCCGGCTGGGGTGCATACGTGTACATTATTGAGAAGGACAAGGTTACGAAACGGAAGCTGAAGGGACGACAAGATTAGAAACCAGAGGTTGGTTGAGGGCTTTATGCCTTATTGAGACTTCTTCTGTTCTACCGAGTAAACGGCGTTGCGGGCTTAATAAAGCAGGAGATACTTTTATTTTAGCTCTTATAACGCTTAAGAATTGGTCGTTAGGTAAAATAACGTGCAATGCATCACATCATACAAAGCGATGAGGTTATGGTTTGGGGTTGAAGATGCTCCTGCCTACGGACAGCCATGTAGACAGAGCTTGTATCATCGTATTGTAGAGCAGATCGAGATAACACCGTCAAGAGCATTTTCCCAGCTCTCCATCAATGAACCACAGAATAACTCAAGGGATGCAGAGTCTATGAGCCCCTCGATCTCAACATCAAGCGACCGACTACCTTCAGAATCCGCCGTTCCATCCTGGCCACTAGGCCTCAAGCTGACAATATCAACAAGATGGCCCAGCATTCCAGAACTAGAGATTCGTGTTTTCAGCCCTTGAGATTGAACTTTAACCTCGCTTGAAACAGATTTTATGCGATCTCTGAGGGCATCCAGCTTGCTTTTAGCGTCCCCAGAGGTGAATAGTTTATTTTTGATTATGAATGAGGCGAAAAGGGAGATGGCCATTAACGTCTCGAGCAGCAATATGGTGTCGTGTAGGTATATCCATGATGGAGCAGGAGACGGGGGAGTAGAATTAGGGGTTAAGTCTATAGTCCCATTGGTCTTAAAGCCTGGAGTCATCAAGTCCTTCAGCCTTTCTTCAAGGTACATATCAACTTTTGAAAGAATATTGTCGACTGTGGTGGAATCAAACGGTAGTTTTTCTGTAAATATTGATAGTCCCTTCAGTAGAAGAAGATGAATCTTTGTGTTCTCCCTCTCTGCCTGTGTGAGTTCGTTAGATGCGGAGTCAAGGTCCAAATCAATATACGAAGAAAACTGCGGCTTCGAGGTTTTAGATGGGGTTTTTGTTAGGAAGCTGAACAGGGCATCTGTGGCAGCCATAGCATTAACCGCTTGAGTCTATGGCCAAAATTAGTAAATATGGAAGCATATCTAGTGAAGTTGAATTCGGCTTACTTTTTGTAGAGGCCCCAACCTAACATACTCTTCAAACGCTGGTTTCCCACGAGGCTCGCAATTCATTAAACCCCCAAAGCTACGCTTGTCGGAAAGAGAGCTTTGATTCAAGACTAGACCCAGAGTCAGTATTTTACGCATAATATAAGTTATTAGACTTGAACGACAGATCTCACCAATCTTATCATACTGGCTTGTAGACGGACCACCAACGAGCCGTTGTATACGCCGCATTTCCAAAGCCCACATTTTCCTACATAGACTATTTTTCAAGTCGTTCCGGAGCTCAATACTCCCTTCCACATTGATATAGCTACCATGTTCCAACCCCGTCGACTGAGAATAAGTAGTTGCACCCTCAGCGTTTCGGTAAAACGTCAATGCCTGCCTGAGGCCCATTTGTGGGTCATAATCTTTTCTGTCGAGGTCTATTGACGGGGGTGCTGTTTGGGGATGAATTGTTGCAAGTCGGGTAAAGAGATTATGCGCAACTGTCTCGTACTGTATTTGTTTGACCGAGAGTTTAGAGAACCTCCTTAGGGCGAGTGATCCTGCACCCAAAAGTAGGTATATCCGAACTAGCAGTAGTAGAGCTTCATAATTGTGTGGCGATTTAAGCAACAAATGTTCAAGAATCCCAGCTGCCTGCACCAGGACATGGCCTACCACCGATCCGGACGTGGCTCCATGTAGGCGCACCAAAGCCATAGCAGCCAACAAGCAGAGGTCATCGGTTGGCTCTGCCTCGATAGTCGATGGTGTATTGCCGGCATCAGCTCTTCCAGCTTTTCTGAAGTCGTGTAAACAGCGGCAGACGAAATCTTCAACGTTTGAGATCGCAACCTTGGTATTGTCGAAGTTAAGCCTGAAAGAATATTCCAGTTTGTATGCATTGATTCGAGGAATTGCACTAGACTTTAGGAGGTCTTAGCAAAGCCTAGAGTTATAAAGTTCCAAATCTGTATTTGTATTCTTACCTTATTGCCCTCTTCTACAATTTTTGATACTTCACTCTCAAATATCTGATATAAGCTCGTATCTAAATTGTTCAGGTACCTTTGCAAGTCATTAAAACAGTATATCTTTCGTTGATTGCGCTTGAAATATTGAATGCACTCGGAAAGCACCTCCTGGGGGGTAGATTTCCCTGTTCCCACCCCCTGAAGTTTCAGCTCAAGGCTTGCTAGCTGTGCATTTCTTGATGTCGGGCGCCTTTCAATATACGTTGAAATGAGCTCTGCAGCCTCTTGGAAGATGCTTTGGAAAGTTAGTAAACGGCTATGGGTGAAAATACAGAGCTGGACTTACTCTTGTTTCTCCAACTTTCTCGTTGCAAGGAGGAGTAAATTCCACACCTTCCAATCATCCCTCTCCTCGACCTTAGAGTCTGGTTTTGAATCCGCTGTCACGCTGTCATCAAGCGTCAATAATTCTTTCGTAAAAGATACCGCCTGGTTCCACAGGCCGCTTTTCTCAATGGCTGATAGTTTGTTTGTGACAAACAGCCATTCATTCTGAGCGATGCGTGATGTAACACCCAAATGTTTGCTGTTGAGTATTTCCACAAGTTCGTCATTGCGAGACTGGTTCTCGTATATTTTAATAAGCAAGAACAGCTCCTCCGCTGTTTGAATGGCGCGGGGTATACTCAATAAATCTTTCTGTAGTTTTTTAAATAATACTTTATGAGTCGTGGGGGCTACCTCATATCTAACAGGGGATAATACTACATACCGGGTCTGTTGGGACACTTCCAGCAGCCTTCGATATCATGCGGTAGGCAAGAGTCCCAAATAATTTTTGATCAGTCTCTGAGCTTTCTTTATCCCGTGCAATCAAATAGCACATGAAGATGGCCCAGAAGTAATATTTTCTTGTTTTGGGGAAGTTGTTTTGGAGACTCATTGCCGCCTAATGAGAGTAAGCGTCTAATAACCTTCCGCCGGGGAGGCAAGCTGAGAATTCAGATCAAGCATCCCAACTCGAACCGACGCACCTTTTGAGCTGTCTTCCAGTCCCCGCCGTCAGACGCAATGCGGAACCACCTCAATTGGATCTCCAGATCTTGCGGTTTTACTTTGGCAGCATTTTGCCATAAAGCTCGAGCTGTGTCCTCATGCCCTCCTATCTCATCCAGTGTATTGTGTAGTATGTTCAGAGCTTCGAGGTCGGAGACAGGTGGGGATGAGCTACACAACTGCAGGGTTTCGGCGATACCACGCTGGCGATGCGCCTCGTCGGCATGGCTGAAGAGAATATTTGCTTTCCAGGCCTAGTAAGATTATATAGTCAGCAACTGCTATCAAATGGTATAAGAGAATTCCTCGAGGAAACGCAGGCTATGACCGGTGGGGGAAGCATATATTTACCTACCTTTAAAAAGGACGAGTCCTCGCCTTTCTTGAGCCGTTTCTCACACAGTTGTAATGCCTGTTTCAGATTCTGTCCATCAATAGCATCTTGTATCTGTTTGTTCCTTCGCTCAATTACAGCGTTAGAGGCCATGGTGACGCGGGTGGAAGACGCAGGGTAGTAAAATTACTTTAGCACGGCGTTGCGCTTGTGGATTGTTTAAATTTGGGTGGAGCTAAGAAAGTAACCAAATAACTTCTTCACCAGCATAAAATTTATAGATAATATAATTGGTGCTTTGAATGAAGCTTAGTGATTCTATTAGTGCATATTCAATTGCCTTTTCCTGGCCTCTTATACTCGTGTTAGTATTTAATTATGGAGAGATGGTTGTCTGAATTCTTCTCAACTCATGGAGGAGGTAACTAGTTCACGTAGTCTGCGGTATTAACAACACATCCGGGCGGCCAGGTAATTCGTGGTAGGCATTTATACCTAGTATATGAGCAACATTGCCCTAAGACACATGTATACCAGAGCCAGTAGCAGTCGATGTTACTGCTACATATATACGTAATAGAGACGAACTAGTCTTGCAATCCTCTATAACGCCTTAATATGCGATATAAAATTCAAACGCGCCGAACATCATGCACAGCTGCGATCAAAATAGCCCATGTTCAATCACTGTAATCCTAAACCCTCGCAGGCCCACAAAAAACACTTGAAATATCGTACATATAAGGACAGATCATGTTCTGCCCTCTAGGTATAGCAAAGCTATGGCCTTTACTGAAGGAACATCATTATTGGAAATTCGATGGCAAAGAGAGGCCGCTTTGTAGACTTTGCGTCCTTAGCTGGCGCTGCCTTTTGACTTTTTCTGATTTAACTGTTGAAATTTAGTAGGTTGAAAAAATTGTTAGTAGCTTTCATGTTGGTATATGCTATAAATGAGATAGAGAGTAATGGTGTAAATTGGGAGAAAATGGGATAGATTTCCAGCAGGCCGAAGGGAAAGGTATAATAAAGCTTACCCAGGCTTTCTTGCAATCACGGTATGCTCTATATTCGCTCAATATCAGCAGTAGTTCACGGATTGGAGCAAATTCAAGAAATGCATCTCACGCACTGGAAATAATCCGTACACATATCTCTATCTCCGTTGTTTCGTCGCATGCATTTGATACTTCGGTCAGCGAACTCCTGGCATGGATCCATGTATTCACTGGCCGATTTACTACTCCCCAGAAATACAGAGTTAGTAAGATAAAACTAATACATCAAGCCATCTCAAATGCGAGAATTTTTGTTGAGAATTTTGCTTTGTAAATAGCAGTCTCTGTTCTGGACCTCAATGGGCTGAAGGAACGACTTGACTTCTATTGAGGGTATCTCGGTTGAGTAAGATTGAAGGAATGGATAACATTGGCCATTAAAACTGACGAACTAGAAAGATGATTGTACAAACAACGGGAAGGGGACATATAATTCAAAAGTACATACTTCCTGAACCTGGGCTCGGCTTTGTTAAAGATATTTTGTGAATCGGTCTGCTTGTCCGCGGAGCTCATGATGGGTCAAATCACACAGTTTAGCAGTAAAACAACTCTCTGAACGATCGATAGCTATTCTCCTTAGATTGCTGTTGTTGGCGTTGGAAATGTCAAGATAGAAATGATGTTAAGATTGAAGATTATGAAAAATTGAAGGTCTTGGCGAGATGGCTAAACACAAATTCAGGTCTCCTCCTTAAGTGACCTATGTTTCCCTTAAGTTTTGGAATCTATATCTCTCTGTATGTATTTTCTAGTATTGAGAACTACTTTACTTAATTACAGGGTAAAAGAAGAGCATGTTAGTTGTGCTTCCTGGGTGTTCGAGGATGTTGAAAAAATATTACCCAATTAGGAGATAACTCCGGCTTCATCCATGGCCCAAGTAGTAATAACATCTTCCACACATTTGCCGATCTCCCCGTCTACCTATTTCGGCACAGTTTAAGCTCCAGGTGTAAAGCTTAAAGTTAAAAAGTCATATGTGAGTAGGAAAGAAAGGACGTAGAGCTCGCTAGGTGTGAGAGCTTGATTTGGCTCGTAAAGAGTGGGAAAAAAAAGTGATATCTTGCAGGGATCCATCATAGGACATACTATGTAAAACATGCGATGCGGTGCGGCAGCTGCATGGGCAAGGGGGACTTAAATGTTTTGCAACAGCTCTTCCTCGGTAACCTGGTAACATTTTGTGACGAAAAAAGAAAAGCGAGAGGTTGGCAAGATTGCATGATGGCTGTTCTAGATGGGTGCCTTGGTTACTTTGTCCAACACCTGAGGGTCGCAATGCGTCGCATAACTAAATCTTTTGGTTGGACGAGCGCATCCCAAGTAACCCTGACTTACTTCTTGTGAATACAAAAGCAAAGTGAAGACATGATATTCCCCTCCCAGTAGTTATGTATTTAGATAATATCGGAGCCATGCACTCCGGAAACCGTTGACCCAACGACTACTATATAAAGGTGGGATGGCAGGTAGATAAATCGGCTATCCTGACTGATGATGCTTGATAGTAATGTGCTGTAACAATCCCTGCTCGTGGTTTTGATTAATCCCGCCCACTTCTTGGAGAAAGGCGAATGGCATATCTGGCCCAAGGCGTATACTGAGAATTAGCTAGCTCAATCTAGGTCATATGACACGTCGGTGAAAAGCATGGCCGTGCTAGAGCGAAATATCACCCATCCCACCACATACACGCTGAGACGGCCGGATTTCAAGCGAGAGACTGACGCTATGTATAGGCCTCACCACCTGGGTTTCCATGAAACCGAATATCGGTCCGGTTTGGCGAGGAGGGGAGTGAAGGAGAAAAAAAAAGCGTGAAGCTAGCGAGCTAGCGGTCTCATTTTGTCGCGGGATAGGGCTAGACTGGTAGAAGGTTCGGCATATAGCTAAACAAAGCAGCTAAATGCCCAAGTGTACGTCCCCGAGAACGGGGCCACCAAACGATTTCCTATTTAAGTCAAAAAGTCCATACCTCTGCATCTGCAGGGAGACATATTAACCCCACTCGCATAAAAAGTTGTAGTAACGAGAGTACTGGCCATTGTGCTTCAAAATTCCCCTTTCTTCTGCAGTAGTGCATGGCCAATAGCTAGGCCAGCGTTGTTCTATTCATCATATGCTCCACACCAAAATAAGATTTTGGTAGCTTTATGTAGTTGGAAACTTCAACGGGTATCACACTAATAGCCGCCATATTAATGGCTCCGAGCTCCCTTCTGACACGTCGCATTTTTTGTCCTTTTCGAGAGAGGAGATGAAGCACGTAAGGTCACTTGTCTATCGAATCAGTAAAATATCAACTTCACCATTTCCAAGACGGTACTTGAGCTCGAGACGATGTTGCGGTCCATAAGGGATAAGCTATGCGTTTCAAAAAGCAGTTGCAAAAAGGGAGGAATGTATAATCACGAGGTCGGTAAAGGATTTTGTTATCAAGCCTGAACAATCCTACATCCCGTATTTCACCCGCGAAGGGGCTCTTGTCAAGTCTGGTGATCGTAGTCTAGACTATTCCATCACGGAATAGCACTTCTAACTTTCGGTAAGTAGAAGAAAAGGGAGCGAGATATGACCCATGATCTTCAAGACGGAACGAGCCCAATGGATAGACAAGAGTCGAAATCGTATATGCAAAGGGGTACCATGTTATTGCATTGTCATTTCAACAGTTTTAGTGAGGGGAGCTCGGTAGTTCGTTAGGTAACTGTGGGATGTACGTCGGGTACCACTGTGCATATGCCCACCTACACATGAATTTGATAAATATATCATCGGAGAATGGGGGAAACATGTTTCACTCCTTTTGAATGGTATGGCTGTACTAGGGCAAGGGTGTGTTCATGCGCTCCACACCTTTCAATCATGGTGGTAGCCCAGCCAGTCCCGGTGCATCTATGGCAGTGATGCATAGACCGCTCTCATTGAAAACACGTCAATAGACCTGAAAAAAAATTAGGGCTAGCGGGTATTGGGCAACTTGTCCAGGGTAATACAGTAGAATTAGCCCGTTGTTAGGCGGGTAAAATGGGTATGATGGTAGTGTGGACTCATTGACTCTGGAATATAAATATCTCCTTGTCCCTCAGCATATCCAGGTTATCTTCTGCCCCGAGGATATCTAAACCATTGTTTTATAGCATTGTGCGCAGAAGTGCTAACAATTGTGTGCCCATATCTCCATAGGTCGGGCTACTACTGAACCTGACCTCATTCCCCTTTGTGTTGTATATTTGGATCCACCGTCGAGGTCTTCATTCTTGCTGTGATTGCTGCCTTTATTATATAGAGTGAGTGATTTCATCTAAGAGGCCGCAGCAGTGGCGAGACAATGTATCAATACCGTCTTGTTGGAGTGTCAGATCCTGGACTCCCACTAAAGATGTTCAATTTCCATTTGTTGTATCCGCTGCTAGATTAAGCCACGGCTGCCCAGCCAGAAAGAGATAAAAAGATGCATACGTTCTCCTGTGTCGTGGAATGTGGGGAGATACTCACAATAATAGTATAATGGCAGTTCCAGATACCACCATCCCCCCTGGCCTTCCCGATACCTCCTTTCTATCTTCTCCCCATTTCCCAGAAAAGCGTGGCAAGGTGACGCCTCTCATAAACAATGGCTATATGACAGAGCAGCGTGAAAGGTTTCAGTTCGATCCAATGAGACATATTCGGTTTACTCCCCCTTCAAAAGTGCATTCCATGCAGGAACTGGGTTATGACGATAATGCCGGAATATCTCCAATTGGGGTTTCTGAACCGTTTCCGCTATTCTCCGCTGAGGCAATTCGCTGCATGAGAGCAGAAGTGTTGAGCAAAGAGGTATGGAGTGAGTACCAGTTTTCGAGTAATCTGGCCATGTGCCAACTACGAGGATTTGCCCCGAAGTAAGTTGTCAATGTCATCATTCCATTTAATAGAGGGTCGCTAATCCCCTTAAGGTATGCGCCATTTGTGTATGATGCATGGAAAAACTCGGAGACCCTGGCTATTGTGTCAAAGATTGCAGGAATAGACCTGGTTACAGCCATGGATTGGGAAATCGGACACATCAATATATCTGTTCAAACAGAAGAGGAGAAGAACAATGCTCTGGCGGAAGTTGTGAACGGAACGGCAGGCACACATGAGGATGATATTGCGCCCATTGTCGACTGGCACACGGACAGTTATCCGTTCGTTTGCGTGACAATGCTGAGCGATTGTACTGAGATGATAGGTGGAGAAACAGCATTGCGCACAGGTGATGGGAGCGTTGTGAAAGTTAGAGGACCACAAATGGTACGCTAGCATATCTGATATATACACAGGCAGGCCACCGCTGACAAGCCGTGTTTTAGGGGTGTGCCGTTGTGCTTCAAGGTAGGTACATCGAACATCGAGCTCTGCGAGCTCTAGGCACGACGGAGCGCATCACGATGGTTACATCATTTCGCCCCCGCTGCCCAAGTCTGAAAGACGACACTGTTTTGACAACCGTGAGGCCCATCTCCGACCTCTCTGAGCTGTACTTTCAGTTCAGCGAGTATCGGCTAGAGATGCTCGAGGAAAGAATTCGTCACCAGCTCAAGGAAGCTCGTGATGCAAGATACGCAGGCAGACCCTTCAATACGCAAAAGTTGAAATCATTCCTTGCAGTCCAGGTCGAATTTCTAACCCATATGAATAGAGAGATTGTTGAAAATGATAAGGTGCAAAAGGGCATCGCTGACGACAGCCACCTGCGATCAGAGGATCTGAAGGAGCGTTCAAGAAAACTGGGACGCACTACAGCTGTGTAAAGGTCAACAGTTGCTTTAGGGCTTTGCCGGTACAATGGGATTCTGATGCTCCGGCATGTCTGTCCAGGAATGACGAGCTAGATATACTTTTCTCGTTACGTTGCTTCCAACCGTATCGTTGTTCGTGTTTTCCGTGAATTAATTTGGGGTTTGTTGCGTTTGGATATTTTAGCAGTCTGCTTTTTAGGGGAATATGCAGGAAATAATAAGTAGTAGTCGTCTCTCTTTAATGCCAGGTACTTGTTGCTTATGGGAATGCCGCTTTACTGTCGCTTCTGGGCTGTGCTGTATTTTCTGTTTGAATCCAAAGGAAGCGGGTTATGATCCAGAGAAGGTCGCTGATGGCTCTTTATAATCCCATAGCTGGCCAACACCGAAAATTGACCATGGGGAAAGATAAGAATAGCAGAATTAAGAATAGTCATGGTATCAATTTAGGGTAGAAAGCTGAATGATAATAAGTAGAGTACGAATCAATGTTTGTTGTAGCACATTTGGTATTCTTTTTGATTATATTTCTGCATTTCCCCCCATCCCTGCGGGGTAAAGCAGCGGTAAAAACGGCTGTCTCCATCGATCATGAGGCATGTCTAGAAGTAAAAGGAGCCCATGTCTATGGATATCTGCGAGTGATGGCATTTGGAAGTATCCATCACCATAAAGGACAAGAAGATATAGTTTCCTATTGAGTATCAGTATCATCTTTCACTATAGGAGGTTGAATAAAACTCGTTCCATCCTCTTCGTTCCGGCTGTTTCGTAGGTTGAACATGTCTTAAGCTGAGGTAAATGGAACGAATATACATTTCTAAGAACATCTATCAGCCGTGATATCCTCGTCCACAGCTATATATATCAGCGTCAAGCCCCAGCTTCAACTCTCTCTCGTCGATCGATGTTGAGCTGAAGATGAAGTTTAGTCCTTTTTTCGCCCATTAAAAGGTAAGACACACCATCACGTGATAACCACCTCTAAAAAAAGAGTGAAAGCTTGAACGCGCCGTTCGACTTTCCGCTACACGCGATTGTCCTTACCGTGAGCTTCATCCGCTTTATTTCTTTGCTGTTGACTAGCTCTCGGGATCCTCACTTTACCCTGCTATCAGTGGAGTGTTTTACCTCAGTGTCTAGTGATACTGCGTCTTCTTTGAAGGCTTGCTCTTCTCATCAGCCAAAGCCAGCTGCCAGCTGTGTTCCGCCGATCCGCCAGCTCTCCAGGATTTCTGCTTGAATCATGACGATGCCTGCCAACAGATCAAAGAGAAGACGCTCAGATGACGTCGACTATAGTAGTAACCATCCCTCTGCGCCCTCAGTCTCAGTGGCCAGTGAGAAGAAGGAAACAGAGTCTTCAGGGGTGAGTTTTGCGGCTGACCTTAACCCCGCCTCTTTGCGATGATTCGACACTGACAACTTTTATAGCTGCTAGAAACTCTCCAGCGCCATATTGATGACCTACGGAACCATATATATTGCGGTGTGTGTATCAAGCCGTTGTACGAGCCGTACACATTACCCTGTGGACATACGTTCTGCTACAGCGTATGTCATACCATATTTTCGAGGGTTAATAGATTGGCTGCTAACTAGTTTACAGTGCCTTGTTCAATGGTTCACCAGCCAGGGGCAGTCAAAAACTTGTCCTGACTGTAGGTCGCCGGTCAAATCAATCCCCGCCCCCGCGTACCTGGTAGGTCCATACAGACCCAAAAAGAAATGAAAGGAATTTCGTGAAGAGGGAAATACTAATTATTGTATTCATGCTCTAGGTTCGCAACATTGTCCATATGTTCATTGGCCGATCCGAGTTGACAGACGCAAACGAAACTACGCATGAACATTTAGCTAATCAGGTTGCGGAGACCGAGAGAGTAGAGAAAGATAAAAAGAACACCGACCCCAAAACCGGCGGCCTGTTCCAGGGATGTTTTAACAAAATCAAGGCTCCAATCCGCGACAATGATGAAGGCGTTACTCGGTGTCCAGGGTGCTTTTGGGAACTGGAAGATGGCGAGTGCATGCACTGTGGATACACCATGTCCGACTCTGACCAAGGCCTTGACTATGATGATGATCTTGATGATATCGAAGAACTCGAAAATATATTGGCAGATAACATGACGGAAGAAGAAGACGATGATGATGACGACAATTTCGTCTTAGGGGATGATCGTTACGGCCAGTTCGGATTCAACTACCATAGTGATCAACCTTTCATGGATACTTTTGGCGGTGATGAGTCGATGGGCGATGATTCAATAGACGGAAGTTCGTCGGAAGAAGCTTCGGCGGAGGAAGATACAATGGACGAGGAATCGAACGATTCCGCGGATGACTCGGAAAGTTCTCACTCAACGGTACACCGTGCTTCGAATGGCCGCGGTAGTTCTGTTGCTGAGGCTGAAACGTCTTCAGCTCAAGGGATATTATCCAGTGACCGCACCGAGGCGGATTCAGACGAGGATCCAATTAGGCGACCTTCACGGAGGAGGAATGCTCGCTCACATCAGCTCCACCAACAGATAGATCTTTCTGTTCAGATGAACGGGGTTCGGATGCACCTCCGAGGCCAAAATGGAGCCGTAGCCAGAAGCGGAACTGACCCCCTAAATGCCCTGGTTATTAATGATTCCTCCCCACCTCGACCAGCTACAAGACCCCGGCGCGCTTCTCCAGGGCACCAATAGAGGTCGCAAGAGCCAGATATCCATATTCCTTTCATCATTTCTTTCACAGCATTATTTTAATACCTTTCTTCGTCCTCCATGGTATCCACCCGCACTTGGGCGCAAACCATGGTCTTTTAAGCGGACAAACACATCAACGATACCATATCCCCCTTTTACCCTATTTTTGGCATAACAAGGGCTCCATACTCGCATATGAGCTGTTCTCTTGGGCTGTCAGCGCGAATTCTGGTTTATCCATTCTAGCTTGGAATTCTTTTCAATATTTTTCTATGAATTTTACCCCTTTAGCATTTTGTCTTGCACTCCATCATTGTTTTTCTCACGCAATGCTCTGTTGTGCTCTAAAACACATTAAGCGTGGCGTTCGAGCATTTACATCCTCAATTTTTTGTTTTGCTAGGCTTTTCTTTAGAAGGTATGGGTTGTAATATAGTATACTATTCGGCGCGAAATGAAGTAAACTATTACAAGTTACGGCTCTCATTTGCTTCCTGTTGACGTAAAAAGTGGCTACTAGAGATGAGAGCGCAGGGCCAATATAATACTTTTAAGCATTTGTATTGGAGCAGTACATACAACCAATACATATCTCCACTAATCCCCAGCTGTTCCTTTCCTGCTTTGATATATGTTTTCGTCAAGGAAGTAATCTCAGTTTGAAAAAGGCACTTCAAATACAACAGCGCCGTTTCTACCTCCCACCTCATCACATCCAACATTCTTCGAATCATTAGAATCAAATACTTTCCAGCGCCCAAGACGATGTTCCTTGCCCAATGCAGCTACTATACAAAGACCCTTGACATCCGTTCCGTGAGATTTCGCGTTGGATGATTTTTTATTATTCATTGTAGAAAGAGAAGGATGGCCAGGTTTCGTAGACTCAATACCCCGTCGTTCATAAACAGATATTCCATTCACAATACCCCTGAGTGGAGGTGAGGTATGAGATCGGTTGTCTTCGTCGGTATCCGCGTACATTGCATCTGAAGGGGGGTGGGATGTGCCGTTAGAGAGGGTCAAGTCCTTTGGTACTTCCTTTCCACCAATGCAACCAAGTGGGCGAAGCCGGCGCTTGTCTTCAGAGACCTCCCATGCGCGAATCCACCCGTCCCAGCTACCGCTTAGCACGATGTCTGTACCTGGTACTGTGGCTAACGCTGTTATCCAGCGAGGGGTTTGGCGAACGTTTGCGGTTTTTGCCGCTTGCGAGTTAACGTCGGCTTCAGATGAGAGCTTTTCAGGGGGAGGGAGAGGATCTAGGCCGTGTGCTTCGTAAATCGTATGGAGAGGTTTCTTTTTGTGAATGGACCATAGTGATATTGCGCCAGAATCTGAGCCAGTGACAAAATGTGTCGGTGGCATGGCGGCCACACAGTCTGTCGAGTTTGGGGAATATTGGCAGGTTTTAGACATGCCTCCAGCGCGGAATACCAGCTGTGTTTCATCGATGACCTTCCATAGCCTTGCTGTGCGGTCTCTCGAGCCAACGCTGACACATTGGTCAGTTATCATAGAAGCGACTCCTAAAACATGATCTTGGTGACCAAATAGCGTTTCAACATAGGCGTGTGCATCGGGGCTAAGGGACCAGGTTTTGATGGTTCGGTCAAATGAGGCAGAAAACAGCTGTTCACCAGAGCTCGATGAGGATATACGCTGAGTAAAGGCTAAACCGCTGACAGAATCGCGATGGTGTGTAAATGTTTTCAAGGGGGTAAGAGATTGAGCATCCCAGATGATTAATCGGTTGTCAGCACCTCCAGTCGCAATGAATTGGCCGGATGGCGAGACTGCAACAGCCAGTATTTCACTGACATGTCCTTGTTTCTCCCCACCATCTCTTGTTGGCCGTAGCCCGCGCGCCCATCTAATCTTTTTTGGCTTTTTCCGCAGTGGTCGATTAGGTCGAGAGTCTTCCCCATTCTGTAAGGAGGAAGTAGTTGGAAGAGGAGTAGATAGCTCCCATTTTATCAGCGTCCTATCCTTTGACACGGTATAGATAAACGGGTAGTGTAAGGCGACGGCGGTGGTAGTATTTGTGTCCGCGCGGAAATATGAATGAGAAGCAGTTGAGAGTGAGAGTGTCGAGGCCACAAGCCTGTATGCCCGTCCTTTCGATTCATCCTATACCCGTTCAATTAGTTCTCGTGCTTTATATCACAGTAAAATGCATTTGTAGAATTGCACCACATACCACGTCCTCCTTCAATCTCTCCGCGATCAAGTCACGATCAATATCTGCAGCGTCAAATCCAACCTCGTCAACCTCCTCCCTGACATGATGCAAATATTGTTCTGCCAATATCAATCTTCGCTCTGCCGCGGTTTCGTCTTCGTCTGATCCTGAGAGTGATTCGTCGTCCGAGCCAGCTACAGCCTCAGACCCCTCATCTCCTTCAGATTCACTCCCCGATATCGATTCATCTCTGTCTCTTTGCCGCCGGGATTTATCACCAGTCTGAGGTGCGCCTTTGCTCGTAACGCCTCGTTTCTTAGCTACCGGAGCTCCTACTCGATCTTCCCTTTTGCGCTTTCGCTGGGAAGCAGGGAGCGTAAAAAAAGAGGACATGGTCGTAAAGGTACCGAGTAATTCTAAAATACGCTCTAATACCCGTCCCTAAGATTTATCGTCCGGCCATGGTAAATCGCAAAACGGTGCCTCACGCTACCAAATATTTTATTTTATTTTTGTCCTGAAGTTTTTTTTTTTTTTTTTTTAGTTGACGGTTGGCGGAGCTCCGGAAAAAGGTTGAGCCTAAAACGAATGACTAAGCAGGCAGGCCGCAAGCTTCCAACGCGGCTTGAAAGAAGAGCAGCTTCGACAACAAACAACATATACAGCACAGCAAGGAAAAGGAACCAAGATCCATACTAATATTAGAGCTTCCAGTGTTTTGTATTGTCGTTACAGAAGCTATACTACTATCAACATGTGAGTTCACTCGTGCTCGGCCGGTCCTGGATGTTTGTTAGTAACATGGTTGTAGGGAGGTACTTCTTGGTATTACGGGGAAGGACTTCACGCTCATTGCAGCATCGAAGGCCGCTATGAGGGGGGCTACAATCTTAAAGGCAGCAGATGACAAGACACGACAGCTAAACAAGCACACGCTCATGGCATTTTCCGGTGAGGCTGGAGATACAGGTACTGTGACCGCCGGTTTACTCGCCCTAGAGACCACAAGCCCACTGACGCACAACTTATATAGTTCAATTCGCCGAATTTATACAAGCAAACACCCAATTATACTCCATGCGAAACCAAACCGAGCTCGGCCCCTCCGCAGTTGCCCACTTCGTACGTGGAGAGCTGGCGAGAAGCCTTCGATCAAGAAGCCCATACACAGTCAACCTGCTCCTTGGCGGCGTGGACCCCATTACAGAGAAGCCCAGTCTGTACTGGCTGGATTACCTAGCGTCGCTGGCACAGGTTCCATATGCCGCCCATGGCTATGCTCAGTAGGCTACCTCGTGGTTTATGTAGAGAAGAGAGCATAGCTAAATTTATCTTGCCAGGTACTACTGCTTATCCATCCTTGATAAGCACCACCACCCTGATATCTCATATGAACAAGGCTTGAAACTCCTTGAGATGTGCTCAGACGAGCTAAAGCGACGATTACCCATCGATTTCAAAGGGGTATGTTCTGAACTATCTACAATCTCCACACTAATACTGATATCTTCTTTTTCTCACCTTAGGTTTTGGTCAAGGTTGTGACCAAAGATGGAATCAAAGATGTTGATTTTGAAGAAGCGAATAGCAGACAAGTTCGAAGTGCTTAGAAAGACCCGGGTGGTCGTTCTGTCATTGTAATTCATGTCTAGGCCGGTTATTGAATTGGGATCCAATAATTCTCTGTACTTGCTGTAGGACTATTATATCTAATGCAACACAGACGATATGCTAGTAGATCTCCAGATTTTTGCGATATAAAGTGGTCTATCCACTGCATGGCAGTAGAAGTTTACATTCGTTCCCGGTTGGACCATCCTTTTTGTCATATGAAACCCGTGGGCAGATATATTGAATACAGGTGTATATACAAAATCTAGTCTAGAGGGTACAAAAGGTAAAGGGAAAGCGCATGGCGGTTCCTATCCCATGGTAATATAAAACATACATTCTCACAACTCACCCAAGAGTGCCTGGACAAAGGTGTTGCAGTTGTTGTCGTCCACGCTATAGACTGGATGATCCTTTTCGTAGTCCTTGGCTATTTCAGATAGAAGATATGATTAGCGTTTTATTCGAAGCAGCGTTAAAATCTACTCACCTTTCTTGTTTATAGCCTCAGCCTTCTTCTTAGTAGTAGTTTTCACAAACTCGATATCTCTTCTCTTGCTAGTGTCCCAGTTGGTTTTACGGAATTTGATGTCTTTGTTCTCCTTTTTGATAGTATCGTAAACCTGGCCGTCGAAGTCGCGTTTTGTTGTCTTGTGCTTTTTTCTGCCAGATTCCTTGATGGTCACTTTGCCGACAATAAACCCAATATGGTAGAAACCAAGCTCTCTCTGCAGTTCCTGAAGCTCAGCTGGGGTTTCGTTGTCGATTTCATCTCTCAATGGCCATTTAGCTGTGAGAACGTAGTACTTGTCGTCCTCAAGCTCACCACCGTAAGCTCTGGCCAACGCCGTGTACGTGTCACTGTCTTCGGTATCTCGTTTGACAAGCTCAGTTGAAAAATGCTTTGATACAGAGTCTGCCTCGTAACCAGAAATAAGGCTATAGTCGACCTCATTTTTTGCGATAGGAGTTGCATTGGTCCCAATAGAGGCAGCAGCAAGAAGAACCGAAAAAATGGTAGAGAACTTCATAGTAGGAAGGCTTAGTTGGAGTTGGTATTGATGATGAGTTGAGTTGGATGTTATAGCTGCATATTGGGCGTCTGGGAAGACAGCTTTTATATATTACTTTGTTGGTATCTCTTGAATCAACATGCTCTTCATTGAAGACTTAATGAGTTTCACTGATCATCATATTGCATCCTACAGCCATGAGGTAGAAGATAAGACGGAACAAAAGGGAAAAGGGGTAGTCATGGCTAAGAGCAAACGAGAGATCGATATTGCTGACCGGTCGACCCTTAGACTACACGATAACATATTGCGTAGTCGTTTCGGAGATTTCAACTAGAGAAATTTGGAGGATGCGGCGATTTCGAGGTCAAGCGTACGTGTAAACTCCATGTTTTGCCGGGGACAAGTATTATAGACTGTAGATAAATAAGGGGTTAGGAAAGCGGAACATTATTAAATGCGAAACATGGAGGCAGAAGGCTGTTGATCTGACTTCAATGCTGCCTTAGTACTTCATATTTATTTCGATAACTAGTTAGCCTGGCCTTTGAAAAGATCTGTTTCCCACTTGATACCCTAGTTATAGGCTCTCCTAGCAAATAGCCGAGAAAGATGTGGCCCAAAAGTGATATTGAACAGCTGGATCGATGGGTCATTGACGGGTGTATGACACCTGAGCGCATTCTAAAGAGACTTACCGAACAACATGGCCATTGTGGCCTAAGAGAGAGCGAATATATCAGACTCCAAAAGTTTTTTGACTCTCACTGCGTCCAAGAGGCTGGCACCGCACATCTTGATAGAGACACCTTTGTTTCATTCCTCAAGACCTCCAGCCATGTCCCCTCACTTTTCGACGAAGCTGGGGATATACTCTATTCCAGTGTGCTATATCTCTCTAGATATCCATTTCGGTTGAGCACCTCGCAAACGATGACTCTTGAAGAGTTTGCTAGAGCACTTGTCTGGGCCCTCATAGATGCTCCATTCGATGAACTACGAGCCAGACCCCTTTACGCAGAAGGGAATCTCTGCCGTGGGAGAACATGGGCCGATCATAGGAGGACCATTTTCCAGAGTCTAGCAACCTCTCGCGACGGAACGATGCTTCCATATGATGATCAGGAGTGGAAGAAGAAAGCCAAAGAGAGAGCCCACCAGTTTAACAAATTCGATCAATCCCGGCTAGAGTTTGCCGCCACAAATAGTGATGAACATGGCGATGAGATGTACCACGACGTTTTAGATATCCTCTTCTCATCTCAAATTGAAATCCACCCGGGGTTTGCACCAGTTTGCCGTGACAGCTTCCGCCCTTTAGCAAAGGAGCTACATGGAAACCATACTCATCTTCACCACCTCACTATTCCGCAAAAGCGTTTCCATACTTTTGTCAAACTTCTCATCGTTTATCACTTTGGCCCCGATAACAAGGTTAAAGCAGACGAAATGTCGGATTTAGATCGGGTTTCACATTGTATTATGAAGGCTTTTACTCGACATTCACATATTGGGATTACTTGGCCAGCGTTTGACGAGGCAGCCTTCAAAGTTACGGTAAGGGTCGCTCTAATGAATCGATCTTTATTTTATTTATCTTTCCCCCTTTTTTTCGTTTAACGTGTATGAGCGTTGCTAAATTTAATTCTAGCCCTGGCTTCTAGATGGGTACTACCGTATTCTAAGCAGCTTTTTTGGCAAACCAGGTCCTGGAGAACGTCTTGGTTTCAACCTCGAAGATACCCCTATATCCCTACGCAACCCTACAAATATTCTCACATTCCCAGTCATGGGGCAGCTTGGTATAATGTTTTCCAGATCTTCTTACTGCTTCTATAATCTCTGTCGCTTCCGGTACTATAAACCACATATCAACGAAATCGACATATCAACCGTTACCAGAGATATCAGCACAATTCCGGGAAGCGCTTTCTTTCTAGTCTCCGGCAAAAACAAGAAGACTGGGGATGTTTCCGTGTTCGGGTCTTATATTGCTGTTCCGTCTAAAGATGGCGATGGGATCCAATCAACAGAGGAAGAAAAGGCAGTACACTGGCAAGACTCTTGTTTGTTCGAGTTAAGCCCTGTACATGATATATATTCAGGGAACCGTGGATCACCCGGCTGGAAAATTGTCGAAGATAGCCTATGGTTTGGGAACAGAGAAAATGGCTTCGCTCTAGAGCTAAGCAGTGGGCTTCGCAGTGCGGCCGTCTTCCACAATGTAGATGGAAAACAGCAACCCGTCTACAATGCATCGAAATGGAGGGGGAATTGGCAACTAGAATTTGAGATCGAAGAGATTGAACTGTGGTTTGATGAGGATTAATCTTTGAAAAGCACAGTTCTCACTTGGTTAAATAGCTATAGTTACCAGTTCTAAATATATTGATATGATTAGAGCATTTAGCTTGCCAATTTCTGGCTATTCCAAATCGGTAACTGTAAAACCTGCTATTATAACTACTATAACTGTTATATCCCTTCGGTTTGAGACTTGACGTAGATAAATTTTTATCTTCTGAAATCTCAACTTTTTCTCAGTTGCGTCCTTTCTGGCATGTTTGCACTGTTTGCAGTTACTCGGAAAGCTTCCAAAAGCTTCAACTTGGAGAAATAAAATAACAAAACTGACGAGAACAACGAGATATCCTCGCATCACGCCTACGGAATTCCTGAATGATGGCGAAAAGACCAGCTGAAGATTCGCCGTGTGAGCCCATTGAAGTGGAGTCGCCCGCTTCAAAACGGCCTAAAATTTATTCGACGGAAGAGCTAACAGAAACGACCAACCATGTGCGAAGCCTTACAGATCGAACAGAGCAAAGGTGGGATGGAAATGGGCAAAGTGGAAACGGCGTATCAGCTACGGCCGAGCAAGTAGAGAAAGAAGCCGAGGACACAACAGCGGACGCATCAGACTGGGAAGAGGAGGAGAACCGCCATCAGACCATACGACAGAATGCACCCCTGGAAGGCTACGACGACTTATACCTCGACACAATACAGAGAGCTGCTCTTGACTTTGATTTTGAGAAGCTATGCTCTGTATCACTATCGAATATCAATGTCTACGCCTGTCTAGTATGCGGCAAATACTATCAAGGACGTGGACCTAAATCGCACGCTTATTTTCATGCGCTTGAAGTCGAACACCATGTTTTCATTAACATGGAGACAAAGAAGGTCTATGTACTACCGGAAGGATATGAGGTTAAGAATAAGAGCTTGGATGATATCAAATATGTGGTTGATCCTCACTTCTCTAAGGAAGAAGTGGCAAAGTTGGATAAGGCGGTTATAGATGCCTTTGATTTGTCAGGCAAACGTTACAGACCCGGTGAGTAATCCGAAATGCAATTGTACATTTGGGTTACTTTTATAAAAATATATCACTAACAGGTTTGGCGTATCAGGTTTTGTTGGAATGAATAATATCAAGTCTAACGACTACCTCAACGTGGTGGTTCAGCTGCTTGCTCACGTCCGCCCCATTCGGAACTTCTTTCTACTCCATGATTTTCCGGCTCTAAACACTCCTCAGCTCCCTCTCAGGTTTGGCATGCTAGTGCGCAAACTCTGGAACCCTAGAGCATTCAAAGCGCACGTTTCTCCCCACGAGCTCCTCCAAGAGGTTGCCATTCGATCTTCAAAGCGATTTACCCTAACGAAACAGTCAGATCCAATCGAGTTTCTCTCTTGGTTCCTAAACAACCTCCATTTAACTCTAGGCGGCTCCAAAAAACAATCCTCAAAGCCTAGTAGCGTGATCCAATCTGCCTTTCATGGCAAGCTTCGTATTGAAAGCCAAGCTATTACGGCTAGGTCGGATAGCGCGAATGCTCGCCTCGTCTTTTCAGAATCAAGCACCACAACTTCTCAAATTAACCCATTCCTAATTCTCACACTGGATCTTCCCCCTACTCCCCTATTCCAGTCCTCAAACAAGGACTCCATCATTCCTCAAGTGCCTCTTACCACGCTTCTAAACAAATATAACGGTATCACCGCTTCTGAGAAACTTGCCCATCGGGTGCGGCACAGGCTGCTGCATCCTCTGCCGCCTTACCTTCTGTTTCATATCAAACGCTTTAGCAAAAATAAATTTGTCGCTGAGCGAAACCCGACTATTGTCACCTTCCCATCACCACACGGGCTTGACATGTCACCATACGTTGAACCTGACCCATCTATATTGCCGCCAGGAGAACCTATTATTTACGACCTGGTGGCAAACGTTATCTTAGATGCTGCGGTGAACATCCCAGGCGGACCCGAAAATGCTGCTAACAGCGCAGAGACGAGCAAGGAACTATCTGAGACAGGGCCGTCTGCCTCTAGTACAACAACACCAGGAGCAGCAGCAGGTAACCATAAGGTCTCATGGCTGATCCAACTACATGATAAAGCCATGGCTGCAGAGAATGCGCAACAGCAACAGCAGAAGGGGCCGGAATGGCTAGAGGCCCAGGACTTATGGGTTAAACGTACAGAGAGCGAAACCTTATTCACACGTGAGGGATACTTAATGGTTTGGGAAAGGAGGAAAATGAAGCCTCCTGGAAATAAATGAGGTCTGTCCTAAAATGTATTATGTATAGCTGTGAATTTCCTCGCATTGACCTTGCTTATCAACTCTCTGTAAGATATGAGAAACAAATGGTCCTCCTGGCTCAAGATTTGGAAGGATATACTTGGCGATTAGAAATTATCTACAGCTGGCCCCATTGGAATTTTATTCGGCCCAGCATAACAGCAGCACCAGCTCCTAATCCCCAGATTCCTGCACTGATAGCGGTCTCGAATCCAGCAATTAGTATCATCTTCCCAATGTAGGAGAACATATCCATTGCGTTACCGCCTCCTAACCAGGCACCCAAAGGCCGCACGTTAGAACGAAGCCCAACTAGAGTTGTTGTAGCCCCAACTGGGAGAATCATTGCTGTAGATTGGGCAGACAGAAATGTAGATGCTAGACTTCGTAGGTAGAGAGACTCGAGAGGATAAAACAAAGTGGAAGTAATGATCCAGGATAAGTGTGAGGAAAATGTATCAACAGGGTGTGAAGAAAGAATGGTAACACGATGGTCCCAATCTTCCCCAGGTTGTTGTCCAGAACAATCGAGAAGAGGCTGCCTTTGAGAAGTAGTACCATTAGCTATTTGTTCGCTAGAGCTGCTACTTATGTTGTCTTGGGCGGCATTTGGGCCACTGGAATTAATTCCCCCAGCTTGCCATATTGCGTCCGACTCTTGTTGCGGAATATGCACATTAGGGCCTATGCCGTTTTGTGCAATTTCGTCAGAAGTTGTATGGCCCTGTTGATAGTTCAAACCGGTGGGGTCCCCATCTGAGGGGTGACCTGGGCTAGTGAGTAGAGCGTCCAATAATTCAGATGCAGCACGATCTATGGCGCTGCTTTGGGACTCAGTTCTATGAACAACACCATTGGGAATGGATACATTTGCGTTCAAAGCCTGGTTTTCGGCTTCCGCATCTGTATGGCTTTGCAACAGCTCTAGGTGCATAGTAATCACATCGGAATTTTGATGGATAAGTGATGCCCTAACACGGGGAGAAGATGGTGGGGATGATTCTGGAGAGGGGGATGGAGAGAACAGAGTATTTGTCCGAGAAGCAGGAGCAGGAGCAGTAATGGCCGCAGGTGTTGTGGGTTGAAGTGGCACGTTATGGTGATTTGGTATTGGCAGGCGTGTATCATTACCAGGTGGTAAAGAAGCTTGTATATCTGGGAAATATCCTTCTGGCATTTGCAGTGGTGATTGCGCAAATCGATTCTCTTCGTCCGCAAGAATTTGGCCAAGCTCATTACTGTCATCCGTCTGTGATGGGTGAGAGTGCAACGGGACTGGATGGCCAGTTGATACGTGCATCGTTGCTCGCTCATCTCCATATATTGGTGTTGGCCCTGTTTCTACTTCTGGAGCATCATGATTATTTCCCGGGTTCACCGTCCTAAGGCCAAGGTCACGCTGTAACTGCTCGACACGCCTTTGAACAGATTCGTATCTTTCTAGCCACGGGGCTTCTCCAGGAATTGACCCAAGTTCCGTAATTGGTTGACAGCCCACAAGTTGGAGAAGCCAATTTTTGAAGGTTATCAATTCATACTTTATTTCCTGGGCTAAGGTAAAGTGGCTTCTTTTTATTTCTTCCTCTGATCTCTTTCCCAGTGATGGAACAGTCCACTCAATAAGCTCATTCTCTACAGCAACTCGTAGGGAAAGCTTATCGGGGCGATCAGGTTTGGGAAGACGTCGCCGAAGAATTCTGTAGATTCTAGCCTCAACCACCGGACGTATGTTGGTGTATAAGTTAAATAGCACGAACGGTGAAGTAATTAGAGAAATACCATATAGTCCAATGGAATGGACAGATAACTCTGAAGGGAAAGGGGGTAATTGTATCAACGAGTTTTGAGTAAAAGGAATGAAAGAATATGGAGAGGGTATCGAAAATGCGGGTAATAGATGAAGTGACTGCAGAAGCGAGAACATGTACCCTTGTCCAAGAATGATTATAACGGCAGAGTTGGCTCTAGATAGAGTCAGTATATCGGTAAGTAAATGCTAAATTAAGGAAGGGTATGTACCCAAATGTTAAGGCAGTAAATAAGCCGCGAGTAAACTTTTTGTACCATTTTGCGTCCAGAAGGGAGGAAACGGTTGAGTGGAGGGAATCTAAAGCCGACTCTAAGAGATGTGACCGGCAGACGGACAACAAAAATGACATCGTCCAAACTGGAAGCCCAGCTAGATAGAATCCGGCGAAGCCAACTCTATGGCGCTCTCGTAAAATGATATCAGTTAAAGAAACGGAGGTGTAATTTTTAAAGGTCTGCATGTGATATGTGTTAGTGCTTTAACAACGGATTAGCAGAGAGAACAAAGAAGTTACCTGAATTCGGCAAGCCAGTGATTTCGTCCACCAAGATGCTCCAAACATAATAAGTTGATCAAGGGCCGCTAGTGCCAAGCCGAATCATTCTCTTCCGCCAGTGAGGCGATCTTGTCTTGCTCCCTCATGCTGGCCGAGTTTAATTCCTCGCCACTAACAACGATTCCCATGGTTGATAAAACATCATTCTTAGCCTTCCGAAGCTGTCTAGCCTCTGCCTTTGAATGCCGGTTGACAGGATGACCCCGTGCATCATACTCTTGGATATATCCGTCAGCGTTCGCATTTGCTAGGTGTCGATTGGGCTGAGGTATAGCCGCTCCATCTACAATAAGCTCTGGTGCCTCGTAAGGGGACCGGCCCTAATCAAGTGTTAGTTATATAGTCCAAGTATTATACAGGCCATGCATCTATGAAATGTAACGGGGCTGTCTGTCAGGGGGTATCTGGGGATTTTAACATCCTGAACAAAGCAATATCATCTGGGCTAGCACATGATACATGCATATTCGTATAGTGTATAGAAATAATAAGAATAATAAAGAATATCCATGCATCAGAACACATATTTCGTGGACATACCAGTGCGAGCGAGTTCAGGTATGCGCGTCTCCCCATATCAACTATTATCAATAGATGCTAGACTGGTGAGGCATTTCGAGAGCGCTATCATTTAAGTGAGATATATTTTTCAATCACTTCTCGTTGATCCCCAAAACCGCCTACAGATATTTAGTCATTTAGGTTGTTGTTGTGATACTCATGACAGTTGCTGCAGTTTGACGTTATGAAAAATTGGCGCTTATCGCGGCTAACAAACGTGGAAGGACCCACTTTTTCCCTAATCTTTCAATAAAATTTTAAGCTCATTATTTTTTTGCGACTTCACCGAACAAAAAGTATTTGACCTTGATTTGTGAAGATTGTTATCGGGATCCTTGAATTGAGTGGTTGGCCTCATGGTTCTTTAATTTTATCGGTTCCGCAATATTTGTTGACCTTTGCGCGAACTTCTGTCGAAGCATGTCTAAAATCGCTGTGAAGACCACCTTCGAGGTGCACAAGACTATACAGCCAATATACACCGGTGGAAGTGTCTCGCTTGATGCCAGTGGCTGTCTGCTGGCAACGTGTATAGGTGAAGATGTCTTAGTAATTGATTTAGAAACAGGCGAGAGGTTGGCGCAGGTTGAAGGTGTATGTAATTCCTAGAATTATTCTTTGGAGCTATCGCTAACATAGACCTTAAAGGACGGAGAACTTATCACTAGTATATCAAGTACGTATGGCCCCTATTTCTTGCATCTTAACTTTTTCTTTGGACCAGACTAATCCAGCTACTAGTATCCCCGGATGGAACCCACCTTGCTCTCTGCTCGAGATCTCTCTCCATGCGAATATATACTCTTGAGCCTTCTGAGGACTCCGACGGTTCTATGAAAGCAGAACTGCTTCGATCACTTAAGCCACATACAACGCCTGTTGTCACAACGACAATTGACCCTACAAGCTCTCTTCTTGCGACAGGTAGCGCCGATGGCTCAATAAAAATATGGGATCTCAGAAGGGGATACGCAACGCACACATTCCATGGTCACGGAGGTGTGATATCAGCCTTGTGTTTCTTTGAGATTGCATTTGCGAAACTCAATGAGAAACCAAAACCTAAGTTCAAAAATATACAGAACAATGCGGATGAACTGACTGATTCCATGGCATCTGGTTTTCGCTTAGCATCTGGCAGTGAGGACGGAAAAATCCGAATTTGGGGTCTGCACAAGCGAAAGTCAGTTGCGTCCCTGGACTCACATGTATCGGTGGTACGTAGTCTATCCTTCTCGAAATCGGAAAATACGCTGCTATCCGCAAGCAGAGATAAAACGGTCATTGTCTGGGATGCGGGAACATGGGGCTGCAAAAGGATAATACCTGTTCTCGAAAGCGTTGAAGCGGCAGGGTTTATATCCGATGGTCCATTATGCTACACTGGTGGCGAGAACGGACGATTAAGAATATGGCATTCGAACAGGGGAAGTGAAGTCACACAAGATCAGACTATGGGTACTGAACAGGAGAGCGTTGTCACAATTGAGTATTCCCACGGAATGCCATTCATACTTACTGTTCACGTCGACCAGTCTCTGAAACTTCATTCTCTTGAACCTTTGACTCCATTTATGCAAGGGACCAAAATTGAGCCTCTTCCGATCACACGACAAATTGCGGGTAACGACGATGAAGTTATCGATATAGCTTGTATTGGCCGAGATAGGTCTTTGCTCGCCCTAGCCACCAACTCAGAATATATAAGGATTATTCGTGCCCAATCTATGAACGGGTCTGAGGGGCCACACAACCACTTTGGAGCCGACGTCGCTCGGCTAGAGGGCCATGACGAAATTATAATATGTCTTGACGTCGATTGGTCTGGAAATTGGCTGGTAACAGGAGCTAAAGATAATAGCGCGCGATTATGGAGGATAGACCCAGTCACCTCATCCTTCACTTGCTTTGCAACTTTCACTGGTCATGCCGAATCTCTGGGAGCGATTGCTTTCCCTCGATCACCCCCCCCTGCAGGTACTCCTGCGTTTGAAGATCCACTCAACCATCCACCTCCTTTTTTCCTTACCGGCTCCCAAGACCGAACTATTAAGAGGTGGGATACGTCCAAGCTCGGTGTAACAGCATCAAAGCCACATACTCCCAAGGCACTCTATACTAGGAAAGCTCACGAGAAAGATATAAATGCACTTGATGTGAACTATTCATCAACTTTATTCGCATCTGCTTCCCAAGACCGTACGGCTAAGATATGGTCTGTGGAGGATGGCTCAGTTACCGGGGTCCTTCGTGGGCACAAGAGAGGAATATGGTCAATTCGATTTGCTCCCAAGGATACTCCTGTTTCTACCACTACCCCTGGGGCAACTAGCAGGGGAATCATTGCTACAGGATCCGGTGATAAAACTATCAAATTATGGAGTCTTTCTGACTACAGCTGCCTTTTAACATTCGAGGGTCATTCTAATAGCGTATTGAAAGTGCTATGGCTTCCACCTCCACGCATCTCGCAATCGGATGAGGACATATCTTCTCGAGGAGCTGCACAAACTAGCCCACTCGTCGCCTCTGCTGGCGCTGATGGGCTGGTGAAGATATGGTCGCCAGTTACTGGCGAGGTCGAAACGACACTAGATAACCATACTGACCGTGTGTGGGCGTTAGCAACTCCATGTGCACCATCCTCTACTACAACTAATCAGACAAATTCACCAGATGGCAGTCTTGAGTTTTCCTTGATATCTGGTGCTGCCGATTCTGTAGTGACTTTCTGGAAGGACACAACATCTAGCACCTTGTCTGCTGCTGTAATAGCAAGTTCCGAGCGAATTGAGCAAGACCAGCAGCTTCAGAACTACATTCACGCTGGTGCTTACCGCGAGGCAATAACCCTTGCTCTTCGCTTAAATCATCCAGGCAGACTGCTATCCATTTTTACGAGTGCCATCGATGCGAATGATGATACAGCTGAGAGGGACCCTGATAACTTGACTGGGAACTCTGACATCGATGCAGTTCTCAAATCATTAGACCACGAACTATTATACATTCTTCTAATTCGCCTTCGAGACTGGAATACGAATGCCCGAACTGCACGAGTTTCACAGCGCATACTGTATGCGCTTTTCAGATCATATCCGTCGTCTACATTTACTGAACTTGCTGGCCGAAAAAACGCCTTACCAGATGATGGCAAATCAGGAAAATCTGCTGCTATGACAGACATATTAGAAGCATTAGCGGCATATACGGAAAGGCACTATAGGAGAATTGAAGAGCTTATTGATGAAAGCTATCTAGTGGAGTGGGTACTTGATGAGATGGACGGAGGAGTTGGAAATGCCGTTCCAGCACTTAATGGGATGGATGTAGAGGATGTCATTATGGTCTGATCTCGAAGAAAGTATTCTCATATTTTTGTGCGGGAGTTGGCTTAAAAAAGTCCGTGATATATGGGATTACACCTGGAGTTTTATACAGCTATTGGAGTTTATTTGGTAACACGTATATCATGATCCAAGGCGTGGTTAATTTATCTGTTGGCACATATTCTACAAGCAAAAGCAATATCTGTTACCCCAGGAGCATCGTACAGGGCGAACATATAGGGCGTTTTACTATCTTCTGCTCCTTTTGTAATCCCTCCGTCTGTCTCGATCCCTATCTCGATCCCTGTCTCCGTCTCTGTCACGATCGTAGCCTCTACTTCGCTCCTCTTCTCTGTCCCTACCACGTCTTGATTCACAATCTCGATCTCGGTCCCTATCCCTATTCCTATTCCGTTCGTGATGACGACGGCTACCGCTCCTAGCCTTTTCTCTGTCACTATCATGGTCCGGTCTGTCGTCAGGGTATCTCTTGCGATTCCTATCTCGATCTTTGTCCTTGTCCCTATATCGATCCTCCGGAGAGCTGTCTTTGATTCGACGGCGAGGATCTCGAGATGGCCGGCCATCTTCATCATAATTCCGTCGTCTCTTACGGTCACAATCGCTATCTGTATCCCGACCACGACGATCCCGTCTCTCTCTCCAGTCATCCTGACTATTCTTCTCCTTTGTCTTTTCGGACAGCTCCTTAAATTCCTCTTCGGTAATTATCTCTCCGGTCTTCTTGCTCTTCATCAGCACAGGTGTATATAAGCCTTCACCTTCGTTCTTTGCTTTTCGCATCGCTGCCTTCCCCCAGGCACCCAATTCAACCTCTGCATCTCCTCCTTTCCCAGAGATGTCTTTTGCGCCGACGCCAAGGTATCCTGCCCTTCTCTCAGGAACACGGGGCGTGATAGGGGTATTCCCGTAGTTTCCTCTACCGACAGGCTGGCCCTCTTTCCATCCCATACCGCGTAGTAATGCTGCTCCAAACTCTTCAACTGGCACTGCATTATAGGCACTTAAGCTCGCAGGGGCAGGACGCGACTCTATATCTCGACGAAACGACTTGGTTTCATCGTAGGCGGAAGAAGAGTTCCTATCTTTGGGCCGAGTAGTGATGACGAGGTCTGAACGTTTGGATTCTGCCTGTTCACCTTTACTCTCGCGGATGAGGGCCTGCAAAGCAACCTCGTCCTGCGATAGTGGCTTCATTTCTGCCTCCTCAGTCATCGATACTTCAACAGGTGAACTTCCGTTCTTCTCCAGATCCCCTGATGTCGCGGAGTTGTTTACCGCCTCTGCATGAGGCTCCGCATAGCTCAAACCAAATTTCACCTCCGGTGCATCGACCTCTGCTGTCGCATCGGTGGTTCCATTTGCCTCTCTTCGCCTCTGAGCCTGTACTTCGGCAGGTAGCAAACTTCGTCGTGCATTCTGAGTCCGCGCCTGTAGCTTGTCTCTCCACTTGTTTCGTGTCTCGATCTTGATAGTCAAGGGCTCCTTTTCTGTTTTTATTCGTTTATTGCTAACTATCGCGCCGCCAGCCTGATGGTCGAATCCAGTGACTTCTTCAGATATCGGACCTGCCTCATCTTCACTAGCTGAATCATGGTCACCGAATTTCCGGGTTCTGCTAGAGAGGGCTTTTGTTCCAAATGCTGCTGGTTTCTGGGACGAAGCGGTGGGCGTCGAACGGCGAGAAGAGTCGGTTGAAAGCGCGATCGAGAACGATTTTGGTTTTGAACCACCTTCTGAGCTTCCAGGAAGCATAACGGATCCTGCAATAAGGTATACCAGCTTCTTAACCCTTCGATATAAGCCCCGATGTCGAGTTGAAGAGAAGACATTAATTCAAGCTCTTTTTATGACGCTAACAACCTCGAGGCTACAAGAGTCACGTGCATAGCAAGAAGACGCTTATATAGTTGGCAATGTATAAAACGAGCTCTAATACACCAACTAGTTAGTTATATATTGGAGACCCAGCTTATAACTACGGAGTACAAATCCTTGAATGTTTAACAATGAACCCATCTCGTGAAAACGAGATTCATAAAGATACAAGAATATATATATATAGCAGCGTAACTTTGGCCGTCTTGTCTCGTAGTTTGACTGAAACTTCAGTTTGTCTTAAATTATATACTGTTGAAGGCCATGCTCATCAGTTGGTAGGAGTGTTGCTTGAACACTTGGTTGGTAGACATAGCCTGTGACGAGCACCCTATGTGAAGCCTATCCTCTGCTACTCTTCTCCCTTCTCAACCCTTCATCGCGGCACTACCTTAATACGTAAAGCTCGTCTTACCTGCTATCATATTGATGGTATTGCGTCCGAGGAAGTTGGTTGGATTCGTCTTTCGAGACGAACAATATTTTGGTTGAATATCGTCTTTTTATATCATAAAAGAGGTCTTTTGCCAAAGCCTTCTCGCATTAGGCCAAAATGTCGACCATTAGTGGCATGACCGATTCGAGCAGCGAAGACAGCGAGGGAGAGCATATGGATATCAGTAAGTTGGCGAAGCCTTCAGCCGTTTCACAATGGAGCCGATTCAAGAATACTCACGTGCTATTAGAAATCGATCCAAACACATGGAGAGATATCACACGATTGGCTCGACTGTTAAAAATCTCAAAGGAAGAGTATAGAGAGTGGGTTGCTGGCAGCATGTACAAGCCAGCATGGGACGAGTTCCGTGCAGATGCAATCCTGCCTGCAGCTAGAGAAGCGGAAAAGCCAGGGAGCTAGATCCCAAGGAGCCCTGCCTTACAGACAGCCCAGGCAATTATCAAAGCCGGGGAGCAGATGGGGCAACAGAAGTTCAGCAGTCGAGTGCCTGATAAGAGCCGGTGGAAGCCAGAGGACTCATATAGCTACCTGCTATATAGATTGAGGGAAGACAATCTCAACAATGCAGATGGGTTATTCTTTAGAAAGAATGTCAAATTAGACACGGTGGACAAATTACTTTGGCAAGTAATACTCCGAGAGCAATACTGCCTCGCCAAAAGCAGGGTCGAGAAGCCAACTGAAAAGCCAACTGAGAATCCGTCAAAGACTTCAACCGAAGATGAGGATGAAGATGAGAATACTGGCGAGGACGAGAGCGAGAGCGATGAAAACAGCAGTGAGAACGATATCTGGGATGAAGAGGCTCCACAGGATAATTTCCTGATATCGGACGAATGTGAACTTTTACCGGCTGCAAATACCATGGATATGAGCGATCCGTGGTGGGTCTATCAGCAGTGCAATCAAGCAATAGCTGCGTCCTTGCAGGGGCAAACGGCAGCGCCGGAGGCTTCAGACGGCAACGAGGAGGGAGAGGACCTATGGGGTGGCGTCCTATGGGGCGATGACTCGGGCGGGATGTCTAGCTACATGTCACAAAGCAAGGATATCATCGACGCATACACCTGGTCCCAAGAACTCGATGCTGAGAACATGCCTGGGCTCACAGCCGAACCTCAGATTGCCTTGCCAACACCAGAAAAGCAGGCCCAGTTCGCGGAGCGCATGAAGTGGCTAGACAACACTGCATTCCAGAGAGAAAACCACTCGTAGGCATGTAAGAACATCGGCATCAGTAAGAAGACACTCCGCGTGAAGGGGGTGAGGAAGTCTGCCAATCTGAAATGGTGGCATCCCACAGCAGTCAACGCTATATTAGAATTCGACGAGAATCCCCGGCTCACTGGGGCGCTCCTCGCCGATGGCGTTGGGCTCGGGAAAACATGGGTGGCTATAGCACTCTTACTAGTGGTGAGTTCCTCGAAGGCTTCTTTCTGCAGTAACTCATCAACCAATATACGATATCGGACGAAATGACTTGGAGAGAAGAAAGCCAACCGCCACGAAGCTTTAGGCGAAGACGCCCCAGACGCGAGGCGCTAATCGTCGTGCCACCTGCGCTAATCAGCCAATGGGAGGCGGAAATATATCGTGCGACCAATGCGCTTGATGTGTATATGTACTACGGCACCGGGAGAGGCCACGGACAACGAGCTGAGCACATCCAAGGCACTCTCGACCGCAGCCATTATCTCTTTGACGGGTCGAGGAGGCGCTGCTGAGCGGTGATTCTCACGTCTTACCAAACCTTTGCGCGGAAACATCGTCCTATAGCGACGGGGCGCAAGCAGAGTACCGGAGGCGAGAGCACGCAGGCTTCAGGGGACGTGGACCGGCAGTACCAGCTCGGTGGACTTTTCTCGACTGTTATATGGGACGAAGCCCAGGCGCTGAGATATCTCGAAACACAGGTATCGCTTACAGCAAGGTCCCTTGCACCGACATTCAACCTCTGCATTTCGGCAACCCCCATCTTTAATCGAAGGGAAGACTTTGCGGGTTATGTGTCCCTCTTATTTTCAAGAACTGCTCAATAACGAAGTTTGACGAAATAATAGATCCGCTTACTCTTTCCGACGATGATCCAGAAGCCTGGAAACAGCTGTGCCCTGCTCTAATCCTGCGTTATATCCTTGATCCAAGGATTCCTGACACTTTTGCAGGATTCCGCCTCGGTAAGATCTGGAGGCATTGCATGATAAAACGATCGTTCATGTCGGCGATCCCGTTTGGAAGTAACAAGACGATTGGCTCGTCAATCCCCCCGGTAGTGTCCAAAGTCATAAACACTCGCTTGACGAAAGAAGAGAGGCTCACGTATGAGCGAGAGGCACAGCCACTGTTGGCGGAGCTCCTTAGAAGGCTTCCGAATAGGAAAGTGGTGTGGCGGGCGGAGAACTACCGCAAGCTTGTCTTGTTGAGCACCTGGCTTCCGTTTATCCATGTTCATCAAACAGTGATGGCGCCGTCGTTGAGGAGTGCCACCGAGAAGGCATATGAGAAAACGCTGGTGTACAGATGGGCAAAGCTCATCAACAAGAAACTCCCTGAAGCTGAAGTACCGGCCAAGTCCAACTACTCCAAACAGCTCGAGCTCCTCCTTAGAGGAAGCCCGCGGCTGCGTGAGCTTCTTCCGCTAGTATGTGATCGAGTACTCAGAAAAGCTGACAAGGTGACAGTATTTGTTCTCCTGCCTGCACAGGGCGTGTATCTTGCTGCAGCCTTCTATCTAGTTGGCATTGACGCACGCTTCTTACACTCGGGCTTGAAGCAAGAAGAGCGGGAAGAGTTGGTCCGCACCTTTACGGAGGACAGAAAGGGAGTGATGGTGCTGATCCTGACTTATAGAATTGGGTCAACAGGGCTGAACTTGCAACCAATGTGCCATAATTCTATCATCTTTGATAGCCCCCTAGCAACCCTGGCCGCATACAGGCAATTGGCCGTCTACAGAGAGTAGACCAAAGATACATTGTGCTTGTCCACGAGCTTCATGTTGCTAACACTTTTAATACTATGCTTGTCCAGAACAAGCTTAAGAAGGCTATCCCCTCGATGACTGCAGAGCTATCCCAGGAAATCTTCTCAATGTGCGAACAAAACGGCGATATTGATCTAGGGCAGTGGGCAATAGGCCCGGAGGGGGCCTTAGTCAAACGCGGAGAGGACCTCGAAGAAGTGGCTGACCAAGTGTGGCTCTCTGGGGTGCGAGTGATCCAAGAACTCCTACAGCTGATGGACGGTAAGGAATAACTAACTCCGTATCCTGAGAGGCTAATTGCGGCTGGGTTTTGGTCACGTATATAGCCATGACCCGTATCGCGGTCCCTTATGTCTTGGGTTGTTGAGAGCCTTGGACTGGGGTTTGGTCCAGGTGTCAGGGCCTTAACCGGCTCAATAATTGACCGCAGGTATAATGCACGCGTATTCTCTGTTATCACCATTATGGAAATATTTTCTAGGATGATCCTATACCCGATGATGGCGGCTTTTTTTAACATGGGTCTGAATCGAGGTGGACCGTGGCTTGGTATGCCTTTTGATTTCACTGCAGGAGTGGCATTCCTTACTCTTATACCTCTTTCTATCATCACATTCAGCCCTGGGAAAGACTGATTAAAAATTGAAACTAGCACCCAACCCATATACGGTGCTATTCACACACTCTCAATCAATATGCCTTGTATCTCCTCTCCACATCTTTTTGAATAAAGAATCTTTAGATAGTAGGTCTCGCGGGCTCCCCGACTCAACAACCCGCCCTCCGTCTAGTACTATTACATTATCGAAGTCTATAAGCGTGTTTAACCGATGGGCAATGGCAATAATAGTGCACAGATTAAACTCTTCACGAACAATCTTCTGCATCAACTCGTCCGTAGCTTGGTCGACGCTATTGATATTAGCCAACGGTCTCGAAGTAATACTATGCTCGATATAAGCCTTACTTGCTGGTAATTTCATCGAGTAAAACAATCCTTGACTTTCGAAGAATAGCACCTGCAAGGCAAAATAACTGACGCTGGCCATGGCTCAAAGAGTTTGGTTGGATTTCGGAATCGATACCACCTAGAGTGCTTATCACATCATAAAGGAGGACTTTCTTCAGCGCAATAGTAATTTCGGAGTCGGAATATTGGTTATTAGGATCAAGGTTAGAGCGCGTTGTTCCAGGAATAAACACAGGTTCTTGTGGTATCATATTAAAACGGCTGCGAATGATGTTGCGAGGCAGGCTGGTCAAGTCGAGGCCATCCACTGTAACGGAACCACCTTGAACTTCGAGTAGGCGTAATAGGAGCAAAAGGAGAGACGATTTACCGCTGAAATAAAAAACTGTCAGCCGTATCATATAGTTAATCCTTGCGGTTATAGTACCTTCCGCTTCTACCGCAGATACCAATCTTGTGCCCTTCCTCTATGGTTATATTCAAATCGCTAAGGACTGGAGATCCAGGCCGTGACCTATGAAGAGTTAGAGGTGTCAATCAACAAAATGTTTGGAATTTTGGTGTTTTAGGAATCGCTTACTCGTAATAAGCAGTGACGTTGTTGATATAAATCCTGCCACGATGCGGCCAGTCTAATGGAGGTTGGACAACCTCGACAGACTTGTGTTCTGACGGGGTAGATTTGGTAAAATGCTGGATTCTACTAACTGATCCAATGCTAGTCTCTAGAGAGGTCCATGCTATAATAATTGAAGTAAGTATCAGGTTCAAGGATAGCACCTGGGTTAGAGCAACGCCAGTGAGCCCGCCGCTCGCCTTCAGCGTCACCGCTAAAGTGACAACTATGACTGCGATAAAAGCAACAATTACGTCAAGAACAAATGTAAGCCAACGTTGGACCATGTAGAGTAGGTATAATGGCTTCTGGGATTCATCAAGAAGCCTGTGGTTTATCTCCAATGTTTGAGTTGTCCAGCCAAATGCTCTAAGTGTGGATAGTCCATTTAGAGTCTCCAAGAAGTTCGAGTATAAAGGGCTTTTTGCTTCGAGTTCCAACAATCTTAGCTGGCGGGAGGTCCGTAGATAGAAATTTTGCATTGTGTATAACACTGGAAAAATGATTATAAAGGCAAACCCCACCCATGGTGACGAAATGATGATCAATATTACTTGGCCAAGCGCCAGAAATACAGTTAACAGCCAGTTTAATAATGCCATGGGTAACTCAGTATCGACAAGTTGAATATCTTGAGAGAACCGGTTGATAGTGACACCGATATCTGTTGAACCAAAGAATGATAATGGAGCATTTATTACAACAGCGAGGATATCTTTGTGCAAGTTTGAACCGGCTCTGCTGACGAAACGGATGAGGGTATGATATGCCACTCCAAGCAATAGAAAAAGGGCTGAGCTCTGGAGAACTGTGTAGATAGCCCAGTAACCAATATCATCCAGTCTGGCTGGACGAGAAGAACTTGAAGCATCTACCCAAATCCTCAACCAGTAGGTGGGGAAGTTGTATAGAGTAGCATAACAAATTACCAGTGCCAATAAAAGAATCGATGTCCAGGTCCCAGCAGCCCTAAAGTAATAACGGTAGATTCTGAAATTCCCTGGAGGTCGGATTGGCATGTTTTCGTCAGTTTTTTCATTACTGATAAGAGCCCCCACATGATTAATAATTTCTTGATCAGTACGGGAAACGATGTCTTCCTCAACCTCCTTTGAGATGGAAAGGCTACCAATATAGCCGGCTTGCAAACGCAGTGATTGGAAGGCCCCTTGCTGTGCAACTTGGCCGGACTCATTGAGAGCAATAACGTGGTCAACAAAGGGAAGAAACTCAGTAGCATGGGTTGCAAGAATCACCGTGATGCCCCTTTTCTGTGCAAGTCCCCTTGGGCCCATGACCTCCTGAAAGATATGGGCTGCCCCTGTAGAATCGAGTCCACTGAGCACATCATCAAACAGCAGTATCGGTTTTAGAGCATAAAGTGACCTAGCAATTGCAATCTTCTGCTTCTGGCCACCACTCAAGTTTATTCCATCACTGCCGACCATGGTTTCGTTTCCGTGGGACAGAGAGTCAATATCAGCAACGAGTGCACAAGCTTTAACAACCGTATTATACCAATCGGGCTGGAGGGCCGAGAACCCTATGATATTCTGCTGAATTGTCCCATTGGTTAGATGAGGCGTTTGGCAACAGAAACCAATACCCTTTGTGTCGGCAAATACCTCAACTTTGCCTGTTGATGTCGGTGTTTCCCCAAGCAAAGCATGGCAGAGTGTGGACTTCCCACTTGCAACGGGTCCCACAATAAAAGTGCATTGTCCTCGAGGGATAGCAATGTTGATGCCGCGAAGAACATCATGGCCACTTTTCCATCCAAAGAACCCATCTGCCACTTTGACGATAGAATGATTAGGAGTGAATGTCTTTTCACAAGCTGTGTCCCGCAGTTCATCTGATAGGACCGGAAAATGCCTTGTATCAACTCGGGGTTCTGTTGACAAGAACTTATCAATGCGCGAGGATGAGCCGAATGAGGCGAGGAGTGGGGGTAGATCGAGAAGGGTCTGGCTGAGGGATTGAGCCAAAATTAACAACAGCGACAGAGATGTGAATGCTCTAGAGGCATCGAACGGTTGACTATTTCCTTTTGCGCGTAGAATGAATAGCAAGAAAGTGAGGGGTGGTGAAATAAACTGTGGGACATAGCCTAGCCCTGTGGTCCATACTAAAAGCATTCTGAATCGGTTGGCTAGTTTAATCTCTTGCAATCGGATATTTTGAACAACTGAGGATAGTGTCTCAGTCAGTCCTCGCATCTTCAGTGGTTTGATTGACGACAGCATGTTTGAGATGCTTCCAATTCGGAGTTGAGAAATACTTGTCCAGGCTGTCTGATAAGTATCGGATGAACCGCTTGCCCATATGGACAACACAGAGGATAATACCGCAATAACAAGCGGTACTATGAACACTATACCAAGCTGTCTCTCCAAGAGGAAAACTAAGAAGCCAGCTTGAATAGCATTTGCCCAGAACTCGTGAAAGCTCCGTAGACCGAAGATGATCCTTTCGACGTCAATGCTCATTAATGTCACAGCCGCTTTTGGGTCCTCGACGGAATGTGTATTCAATTGTAAGGTTTTCCTGCCAACAGCCGACACTAGACAGCCACGGATCATAGTGAGTACTCGATAGTGGTAATACCAGTAGAATCCGGTGGAGATAGCGATTCCAAGGTATACAAGAGCATATGCACCAATTAATCCATAGCCAATGTCTTCTTCTTTTAAATTTGAGGGCTCAGCTAAGTAGTTTAGAAGCTTGTTTAATAAAATGGGCTGGCAGACGGTTAGCCCTATCAAAATTGATCTTGGGAGAACCACCATTATAATGGGCCACTTTAGAGTTATAGTAAGGGCTCTCATGACAGCATATCTCTGGTGATTCTCGCTGAGTTTTTCCCAGGTGTCCAGGAACGGAGATCCAAGAGAATTAGCATCCATTCCTTGGGCCAAACAGTAAAGGTCTTTCGGAAGCAACGTAAATCTGGCCCCTTTCAATAGCAAGCGGTTAAGCCAGAAAAATACGCAACGGTTAAGTATGCTGCTTGTATCTTCTGGGCCATAAGGGACACAAACGGGTCGTTGGATATATTTTGCCTTCTCCCATGATTCTAGGACCAGAATAAAAGTTTTCATAGCCGTGGATGAAACGGATAACACTGATAAGATTGAATGGGGTGTCATCAAGAACAGTGTACGGGTCCGTGTTGCATCAAAGGCCATGGAAAAGAAAAGATATATAAGAAGAGTGGAAGACGGCCTAATATTTCGTCCGTGCTCAAAATATGAGAGCAACAACAAGATGGTGAAAGTAACGAGTGACAGTGCTGCTGCGGTGATGGACGACCAAGACCTCAGCGTATCATGGACGCTCCAGCTCGCCAATAGCGCTACTTGCAGCATTCCATAAACTAGATAAGCTAATAAAGAGCGTCAGCTAGAGGCGTCAAATATTTCGTATAACTATTACATAAATAGTTACGTGAATATAAATGAAGCGAATTGCGTAGACTGACCGCTAGCCTTAAAAAGTTGGAATTTTCGAGCTAACACCAGTTGAATTTGGCCTTGAAGATAGATAAGTCGTCCAAGGCCGGCAATCAAAAGCAGCAATGACGGAATTATTGATAAGATTGCATTCTCAAACAGTAAAGTAAAGTCCCAACCCCGATAGCAATCATTGGCAATTGGCCCAAAAGAGCTATCCTCACACGTGTCATGCATGACTAGCAATTGTCCTGCGTTTTGGTTTAAGCCTTGAGTGCTCGTAGTACTCCGTTAAAGTGTATGGATATTTGTGTAGAGCGGAGGTGATCCAAGTTGTGTGTAGGCAGAGGTATTAAGTAAGACCTACATCGGCAATTGTCAATGAAGTTTTCCCCGTGGATTGGTGCCGACACGGCACCCGGCGACAGGGTAATTTGATCCGTAAAACAACCTATGCCGCAACTGGTAAATGAATTATGAGAAGTGTCACCTGCAGTGCATTCGATGTTATATGTAACGTCAATTGCCTGACAAGCGAGGATATATGCAGAGTACTCCGTACACAGGGCAGTTCCAAGGTAGAATGCTTGTTTCCTGTACACCCGTTGTTTTAGTGTATTTCAACACATTCCGCTTCTATAGCGGGTTTGTTAAAGCATGTTGCTAACAAAGTGGTAGCGAATAGGAATGATTACCAAAATAGCCAGACAAGGGTGAGACAGACGGGAAAGGAGAATGAAAGCCAGCGGTTTGAGGGGAGGTAACTGCTCATGTATAATGCAGTCAATGAAACGTAATAACATGTTTCCGCATACTTTTTCCGCTAACATATTAACCACGGCTATACAAGGAAACCGGGGTCATTTCAAATACTGGAAGCTGAGGCCTGCTATCTGAAAGCAACAGGATTAGTGTACCTTAGGCGTGCTTTCATTCTTCAAACAAGCTTTAGAGTCAGCCGTCCCATCAGTTAACTAACTAGTTAGAAAGTAACCTAAAGACAATAAATAAAGTAAATGGTAGACGTTTGGTGGGCTTGCATAGTTACCAATTGAGAGCATTAGTTAGGTACAGGTAAAATTACCCTAAGTCCATACAAGGATCGTGCTGTGTCTCCGGTAATTAATGACTGCATATCCTGGTTGTAACAAAGCCTACTATGTACTGCAATGCAGATGCGCATATTAATCCAACGCTACCGTCGCGGCTCGGAGTTGGAGTGCAAAGTTAATTTGTTGGGGCTTGGCTGTGCCGGGAACCCTTAATTCAGTATAGCGCATGTCACGGAACTCTTGTTCCCAAATGCTACTGGTGGTACCGCGCGTCTATAAAGCTTCAGTGAGAATCCAAGAAAGCTTGTTAGAACAATAAGCTAAAGAAGGCACGAACAAACTTACTTTGTATTGCAACTTTGATTCATATTCTCCCGATATACCTACAATTAAGATATTCGAAAATTACCTACCATCATGCCGTTTCTAACGGATGAAAATAACGTGGCCATCGAAGGACACTCAGGAGGCTGGGATTTTGATGCTGGGGGAGAAGAGGACGTTTATGAGCAAATTGCTACATCTCTAACATGTCGACCGGGCAAAGATACAGGATGTATACCCATGTACCCCTATGCAGGAGGCATTGATTAGCCTATCAACCGCGGGTTCTGGAGCCTATATCAAACAAATCGTTTTCTTTGACCAGTGACACAGATATGAAACGATTTCGTTCTGCTGTTGAGAATATGATCTCATCAACGGCTATTTTGCGAACTTGGATAGTTCAATGCGATGGCGTGGGCCTTCTCCAAGCGGTTCTTCAAGAGCTGATTCAGTAGGACCAAGCAAATTCTCTGGAAGACCATCTAGAAAAGGCGATGATGGAAAATTGGGGTAATGGTGATCGCTTGGTGCGTTATACGATTATCAACAGCGAAAACACACCGGGTTGGTTTGTCTGGACCGTTCATCATGCGTTATACGATGGTTGGTCATTTAAGATGATGGCTGAAACGGTCGCAAGCATGTACCTCGGCTGCGATATCGAAAAAGCACTCCAATACAAGGATTTTGTCAAACATATAATGATGAAGAATTCCAATGGAGATAAAGCATATTGGAAGCCAAGCAGGCATGTGGATTTCAGACTCTTTTAGTCGTGCAGCCAGGTGACGAAGGCCATGTCGTGACCAATATTCTAGAGGTATGGAGACGGGTTGGTAATGATGTTGGCCGTTCTTCCTATGCCATTACTATTCAGTGTTTCCTCAATAGGGATTATATTAGAATAACGGCTGCGTTTGATGCCTCGATCCAAGAAACATGGCTGGTGGAGAAAATGCTCGCATACTTTAGCTTTGTAGCACAGGAGCTTGCAAAGACAAATATGTCCCACACAGTGGCACAAATAGTTGCGAAAATACCCCCAGGGAATTGACGACATCTAGGGCTAGAACGCCAGCATCCCAGCATCGACGGAAGAATGTGTACATAACATGGTTTCGGCCATGGTAGAAAAGCAACCACAGTCATTGGCCGTATGTGCAAGGGATTGCACTTTGACTTACGAACAGCTGGACAATACGGCAACCCAAATTGTGATTGTCGTTGACGGGAACCAAGCGCCAGATTTAAGCGCTTAGTGCCAAGACTCGCTTATTACCAAGCGCAGATCCTTCTGATGCGCTCATGGTGCTGCTATTCACCTCTGGAAGCACTGGCTTACCCAAAGGCACGATCATCACGCATTCATCGTTCACAACGGCAATCAACCACCATGGAAAAGTTTTTGGAATTTGCTCTGGCGAGAGGGTCTATGATTTTGCGTCATATAGTTTTGATATTGCATGGTTTAACGCATTGAAATCACTGTCTCACGGAGCATGTCTATGCATCCCATCAGAACACGAAAGGAAAAATGACCTCGAAGGATCGATATTGAGGTCCAAGGCAACCGTTATTTTTATAACGCCATCTGTCGCACGACTATTGAAGGCGCATAATCTCCCTTGCATCAAATGTGTTGCTCTCGGGGGTGAACCTCAAAAACCATGGCAAACCTACCACAACGTGGACTCCATTCCCAGTGTTTGTACATTTCATTAACCATCTTGATGAGGACGCAAAAACAGATTTCTGGCGGCAACAATTCTTCAACTTAAAAGCTGTGCAATTCCCAGCTTTACCGTCCCCCAACTTTCGGTCCAGTCCTGACAATGTCATGCATTATGAAATCCCGGAAATTGTGTGGAGTGGAAGGAGTTTCACACCGTCAACAATGATACGCGCCGTGTGGGCGATTTTGATTGCTCAGTATATGAATGTTCAAGAAGCACTGTTTGGAGTTATTACATCAGGCCGGCAGGCAGCCGTTAGAGATATCAATCACATCATGGGCCCAACAATTGCGACAGTTCCAGTGCGCGTAATGATCAACTGGGAGACCTCCCTCCAAGCTTTTCTATCGCAAATACAAAAACAAGCTACGGAAATGATCTCGTTTGAGCAAACGGGTCTCCAAAATATCCAGCATATCAGCGACGATGTAAGACGCGGATGCCAGTTCCAATCGCTCTTACTAGTTAAATCAGACGTTGAAGTCAAACGAAATCCCGAGTCTTCTCTCTTTTACCAAAGACCCATCTTGAACCTTCACAAAAGTGAAAATGCAACGGTTGATACTTTTTCCACTTACTCCATAGTGCTTGAATGTCAGATAGAGGATCGAGGTCTCGATTTACGTTTGATCTTTGATTTAACCATTATCAAACAGCAGAATATGGAGCGATTGGTCCAGCAGTTCGAGCACCTACTCAGACACGCCTCGTCCTTAGTTTCTCACTTGGAAACAATCACGTTTCATGATATACAAAACATTTGGGAATGGAATAAGATACCTCCGGCTCTCCTCGATAGGTCCTCGATCGCTGATATTTCGCATAACTACTATCGAAGTTACTATAGAGAGTACTGGTGTGTCAAACCGGCTACTCCTAAGGTCTACTGGGTGCTTGATATGAATAAAAATCAGCTTGCAGCCATTGGGGCTGTTGGAGAACTTTGGTTAGAAGTTTCTCCTGTCAACGGGATGTTAATGGCTCAAGTAAAGAACGCCGAAGCGGAGTCTGTGGATGACCCGGTTTGGTTACTCCAGGGGGCCAGCGTAGACCTCCCCGGACGCCAAGGCCGAATTTACAGAACCGGAGACTTGGTGAAGTATAATCAGGATGGTTCACTGTCTTTTATGGGACAGAGAGAAACCCAGGTAGACCGAAAGGATATGCTTATTCCATCACCATCCTGTCCGCAAGAAAATGCGCTGGTCTCAGTCTCACAAAACCTGAGAGTTCCACAAACGCATTTGCAGAAGCAAATTCAATCGTTATGGTCGAGAATTTTTAATATTCCGACAAATAGCATTTCCTTAGATGATCATTTTATGCGCTTTGGTGGTGACTCCGTTAAGACAATGAGGCTCGCTGCCCTTGCTCAGAATGAGGGGATATCTTTATCAGTCGCCAACATCTTACGGCCTCAGGAGGGTCAAAGTGACGCCAGAAGAGCCGAGTGGATGGCGAGGATGGCGAGGACCCAGACCTCAGGCATAGTGTTTTGTGCAGAGGATGCAAGGCTACTGGACGTGAGCCGGACATCTTAATCGATATAATCACTCCATAGTCACCAGGGGGGAGGACGGCGGCATAGCCCATCATATAACTTCTTATATCTAATAAAGATAGCTTGACTCCTTATACTCTTTGGCTTCATAGGGGTATAATGAAGAATAATAATATTAAATAATACGGCGCCTTAAATACTCGCCAGTCTCAATAATCATAATAGTTAATTCAGCCTTTAGCTCTTAGTTTTGGTGGGTAGAGTAAATGAGAATTATAAATGAGGGGTAGGTGGCATTGAAGACTGTTACAAGCTGGCAGTTAAGGAGTAATTAGAAGAATATTGAAAATGTTTTGAATCATGTTTATTATGATAGCTAAAGTGCGGATGGCTTGATCCCACTGTCCAGGCGGGACAGGCCAAACACACGAGCATGCAAACCTATACATGCACGCATCTATTCAATATAAGTACATACAGTAATGGGCTAGGCAAGGATAGCATCGCATTCGACAGGGACGTATGTATGTGCTGGGGGTAATTGGGATAAATTGATGATGGGTAAAGGCAGAAAGCGATGGTGATTCAGTGGGGAGGGAGAAATGGGTACGTCGTTATCCACGTGAAGGCATGAAGCAGAGCGATTAAAAGAGAGTAAGTCAAATAAAACAACAGAATGTGGAGTACACCGCCGACACAAATCATGTATGCGTTAAATACCCATTATCAGGATCCCCTCAGCTAGACGCCGTCTGCGCTTGCGGGGCCCTCGGGCTTTTGCTAGGCTGTTGTGGCTGGGATTGTTGCTGCTGTGGACCTCCTTGGCTACTGGCAGGCCTCTGGCTCTGTGGTGTTGAACTTCGGCTTTGATGCATGAGCATGCTGGTCATCGCCGGACTGGCTATGCCTACCCCTGGGCGGTTCTGTTGACCACCTGCCTGGGATACACCTAGTCGGTTCAAGTATCCCTGTGCTTGGTTTTGCAGTGGGACAGATGGTACACCATTTACAGCACCTTGAGGAATTTGTTGTCCAGTATTTCCTGCTGGGTAGTTGGGGGGGAGGTTACCGACGCCAAGGTTGCCTGCGGCAGCGTTTAAAGCCGCCTGGGATAACCGCTGCTGTTGCTGCTGATACTGTTGCAGACGCTCTGTGGCGAGTTTGGAGATTTGTTCTTGTGACATGTTGGGGTGGAGGCGTTGAAGGGAGGATTGAATATTGTTAACTGTGGGCATTGATGGGGCATTAGGGAGAGTGGCGGACGGGTGATTCATGCGGGGAGAAGCGGCAGGCATCATGCCAGGATTAAGAGATGAGGCGGCAAAGGAAGGGCTTCCCGCATTGGTTGCACCCTGGAAAGCAGCCATAAGGGCAGGGTTGTTTGCCGTAGTGGCGGGGGCGGCATTCATGTTAGGGGAAGAATGAGGCCCTTGCTGCGGGACGAAAGCTTGCTGCCCACCGTGAAACTGGTGTTGTTGCTGACGAGATTGCAGAAGACGCTGTTGCTCTTGAAGGCGATTGGCTTCCCGGATGATGCGTGAATTGTCAGGGGAGTTTTGGATGGGAAGGCCTGGTCGGCCACTGATGGGCTGCTGTAGGCCTTGTTGGGGTATCATCTTCATTGGCATTCCGCCGGGAACTGGGATTGGGCCGGTTGCTGGGAGCGCATTTTGTATAGCTGGCATACCTGGGTGTGGGCGAGCTTGAGAAACAGCCACACCATTTGGCATGCCATTCGATAGCCCGTTTGCAATAGGGACTTGAACACCAGCGGTAGAATTGGGGACTGTTCCTGTAGGACGGACCGGCATACCATTGAACTGACCAGATGGGTTATTAAGCTGTGCTGCACGCTGAGCTAGAGCGGCCTAGAAGTACCAAAGTCAGCCATACGACGATATGTACGCTTTGCTTAAGTGAAAAAAAGGTATCATACCCGTTGATGAGCAATCATTTGCTGACGGTACTGCTCTTGTTTCTCCAAAAACTTGAGTTCCCTTTCATGCTTCAACTGGCTAAACTCCTGAGGCGTAGAAATTGGTGGACGTGGCTGAGTTGCCTCATTGGCCTTGCGTAATGAAGCAAGTTGTGTGGCTAAAGAAGATGTTAGCTTGGTAACACAATTAGAATACAAGGAAAAGAATGGAGGCGAAAAGGAAAAAAAAAAGAAAAAAAAAAAAAAAACTTGAATATATGCATACCATGCTGTTGCTTTTGAAGAATTGCCTCTCGCTTCTGAGAGAGCTTACGCATCCCAGCCAGGAGAGCCAAATGTCTTGATGTCCGCTTCCTCTCCACCCTTAACGGTTGCGCTGTTCTTCTTCTGATCATTGCTTGTGAATTTGGATTCATTTGGCCGCCGTTCTGTTGCTGCTGCTGCTGCTGCTGTACAGCCTGTTGCTGTGCGTTGATTATTGTTCTCTGGGCAGCTTCTAAGCGAGCACTGTATGTCCGGAAATAAGGAGTCTTCGCCATATCACTAGGTAGTCCTTCTAACCCAATCCAACGCTCAAAGCATTCCCAGGGAGTCCTCCTCTCAGAACTGGATGTAAAGCAGGATCGCGGGGCCAGACAGCTGGCGATAAGGGACCAATTGAAAGAGTATTCTTGTACAAGTTTGCGAAGTTCGTCGTCCTCTGCGTACGTCCAGTGGGATGACTGCCGAGACTCGTAGAATCCAAGTGGAGGCATAACGTACTCGGTTGGAGGGCGGAAGGCATGGCCGGGGTGAATTCGATCACGAAGGCCTTTGTACTCTGATGAAAAGAGAGCGACGTCTGTCTGTTCCGGTAAGAGAGATCTATATTCATCCTCGTCATCGGCATCATTATGCATGTCTTGTTCGTAATCATATCGACTTCGTTTCTTTGGCGGTCCGTCTTCCTTAAACTGTATCGTTCCCTGGGCGTATTTCGAGACTGGCAGTAGCTGTGTCTTCCATACATCATCGGGCTGGACCTTGAAAGCAGGTTTATTAGTTTCTGGCACTATTTGCACGGGACAGTAGAACGGCAGTTCCCCGAGGATTTTCTCTGAGGCCATAGTCCGCTCCATGCGGAATGTGAACTCGTCCGATCCTGACGAGAATATAGCAGCAGGGACATTTCCGTCACCGAAATCCGGATGGTCATCATTGAAACCATCGCTCACTGAGTCGTCGTCGGCAGATGGAATCAAGTCAGGGGTAGGATGATTGTTCGGTAGCACTTCGTCAGCATGGCCATCTGTCGACTTGTCCAGTTCTGAGATTTCCGGTAGTCGTTTGACGGGTACACGCAGAGAGCGTCGGCGGTCTTCATCGCTGGCAACGTACTCTGCACACCACTCTGCGCAACGCTTCGCGGCTGTGAGTTTCCATTTTCGTTCTTCTCGGAAGTCCATACGCATCCATTTTACATGATCCAGCATGATATCCCAGTGAGTGGCCTGCCTCGATGGCTCTGGAGACCGCTGTAGTTGTCGGAGAGCCCATCGATTAGAATGTTGCAGCTGGTAGATTCGCTTCAAGGTACGGCAGTCCATTTGTTCGTGGTATTCGAGGAAATGGTTAGAGGTGTTGAGAGTTTTGTGTGCGGTTGATAGAAGGGTATTAAGACTCATGGTACGGGGAGGATAGTGAGCCTTCGCCTGGAAGAGAGTGTAGAGGTAGTCCTGCTCCTCGTTAGGAGATTTATGGGATGCTTCATCTCGACGGCAAGCCAACATCATTGCCTTTTCCTTCTCTTGGCTCGATGTCTTGGGGAACACGACGGTCGATAGTTTACTTCTCTCCTTGTCCGGCCGTTCGCTCAGTCGTAGTTTGGAGGGTGAAGCTGGAGAGGTCTGAGAGGTAGCAGGCTGTTTGTCAAAAACGGATGACCGTCGAGAGTCCCTTGAATGGTGTTCGGTTTCCGGCGTCGAGCTTGGCTTTGGGCTTTCTCCCAAGATCTCCGATACAGACTTGTGCCGAATTGCGCCTGACGCGACTCTGGTAGTCATCCGTTCGGGTCGTGGATGCTGTTCGGCGACCTGTTTCTGGCCGTCGACTGGTTTCGTCGCGCTTTTGGTGTCAGGTACGGCCGGTGGCCCAGCTGAGGAGGAGGGTCGACTGTTGGTGACTGACTCGGTTGGTTCGCGTTTTAGCTGTGGTTCTTTGATCGCTGCCGGTGCTTCGGCCATCTGTTGGTCTCCATCTCTATCCTGGTTCATTGCAGGTTGCTTGGGCGTGGCAGAGTTCCGTATGGACATGGCGGCCTCGAGCTGGAGCTGTTCATCAGGAGTAGAGGGTACGGCGGCGGACAGCGGCTGCGACTGGGTATTTGACGCTGGCTCTTCGGTAGAGATCTTACCCATAGATAGAGAGTCACCGATCGAGGCGACTGATTCGGTCGAGCTGGACGCAGGCGATCGCTCGGTCGCAGACGTATGACTGGAAGACGGGCCCGTAGACATGGGTGACGAAGCAGTCTCGTTGATCTTTGGGGGGACGACGATGGGCACGACGCCTAGACGGTCGTTAAAGGAAGAAGTGCGGGAGATGCCTGAAGGCGAGGTTGCTTGGGTAGTGGTCTGAGGGGAGGAGACGGGTTTGGCGGGAGATGCGGAGGCATGGTGGCTGGTGCCGACACCTTTGAGCTGATGGCGAGCTTTGGAAGTGGCCTGTCCTGTATCCGGCGTGTCTACCGTCTGGACACCTGCTGTAGACACGGCGAGCCGTGGTTGAGCGCTCATTCCTAAAGATACACTTCGCGGAGACTGTTGGTGACTGGTTACGCCGACAGCTGGCGGAGAGGCTGGTCTCTGAGATCGATCGTGCTCGTCAGCGCGCGACGGTCCATACTTTCTCTCACTCTCTGCAAGTACTGTCTCAAGCCGTGGCCGTTCAGGCAAGGTGTTTTCATCGTAAAGCCGGCCTCTACAGAAGGCATGTTAACAACCATTATTCCCATGCAACCATTCCACAGTTCCCATGGAACTATACAAGTATATATGTGTATATATACGGCACAAGGACTCGCATCAAAAGACGTACTTGGTCAGGTCGTTGGCGTCGAGGAATGCGGCCTCCTTCTGGGGCTCTCTCTGAACGCTGCCCTCGCTGGGATGGGGGAAAATCGCCGTCGCATAGTAGAGCTCGCTCAGCTTGCGCTTCCGCGACGACAAACAACGCCTGTAAATTATTAAAAGTATCCTTGGGTCAGCGGACGAACCGGGAATAAATCGAGGGCACAAAGGACGCTGGAAGAGCCAAGAAAATATATATGTATGAGGTAGACCTACGCGATCTCTTCATGTCTGGATCTGAGCAGCCCGTCAGAGAGCATCGAGGCTTTTCTCGCGGCGGCATCCGACTCACACGCAAAAAGCGAGGGCTAGAAGCCTCTCTGGGGTCATACGAGCGCGATGAGTCGCTCTGATGAGATGGAATCGATGGTGGTTGTTGTTGTTTTGATGGCAGCAAAAGACGAAATCGACTTCTTCTTCTTCCTCTTTTTTTCGTGATGGAAGAAAAAAGGCGGAAGTTTTTTTTTTTGGCTTCGAGATGTAGCAGTTGATGACTAAGCGGGGATACTTTTTTCCGAAGAAAAAAAAGTTGAAGATGAAAAGTTGAAGAAGAAGACGAGATAAAGAGAAGAGGAAGAAGAGGAAGAAGAGATAAAGATGAAGAGGAAGAGAGAGGACGAGACCAAGGAGACGATGGTCTCTGAGAAGAGAGAGAGGAAGAAGACGACGATACAGATAGTGACGGGTTCCTACGAGAGGGTCCTCCACGGCATCAACGCCACGATATCCCATGGAGTCGATGAAGACGATGAAGACGGAAGAGAAGAGAGAGAAGAGAGAGAAGAGAGAGTGAGGTTCATGGATACGTTTCTGTTCCAGGCTCACACGTCGTCGATTCGGTGTCTGGCACTCTCGCCCATGCCCAGCCTGGAGAACAAGCAACAGCAGAACGTCCTGCTGGCAACGGGGGGAACAGACGACCGGATCAACCTGTACAGCCTGTCTGTCTCGCCCATGGCTGCTGACGCCGGCCTCGTCCCCGTCCCCTCGCTGGCGGGCAACAAGGTGCTGGAGAACCCCCGGAACCGCGAGCTGGGCGCGCTCATGCACCATTCCGCCAGCATCACGGCAATGCACTTCCCCACCCGGTCGAAGCTGCTGTCTGCATCAGAGGATAACACGATAGCCGTGACGAGGACGAGAGACTGGACCGTGGTCTCGTCCATCAGGGCGCCAAACCCCAAGACGCAGGGCAGGCCGAGCGGTGACACGGCGCCCGTTGGCGGTGCGCCAGCCGGCGTGAATGACTTTGCCGTACACCCCAGCATGAAGCTGATGCTCACAGTGGGCAAGGGGGAGAGGTGTATGAGGCTGTGGAACCTGGTCACCGGTCGCAAGGCTGGCGTGCTGAATTTTGGGCGGGAGGTGCTTACGGCCGCGAAGGAAGGGAAATGGGGGAGCGGCGAGGGGAGGAAGATCCGCTGGGATTCGGCTGGGGAGGAGTTTGCTGTTGCCTTTGAACGGGGCATCGTCGTCTTTGGAGTGGTATGTCCCTGTTTCTCTCTCTCCCTCTTTTTTTCCGGGTGGATCTAACAAGAGTAGGACTCGGTTCCAAAGTGTAGAGTGGCCACCACGCCATCCACAAAGGTACACCACATCAGCTACCTTGATATTGGCACAGATGACGAGAAGAAGCAGCTACTGGTCGCCTCCACAGAGGACGGGAGACTCGTGTTTTACTCTACGACGCCTGACTCGCTAGAGCCGCCGGCCGAGGGGGGCGACACCGCTATCCCATCAGCACCGTTTGTCTTTCAACTCGGCGGCAAGGCCCATGGCCAGTCCAGCAGGATAAAGGAGTTTGAGATTCTCCCGCAGCAGGAGGACTCGAGGACGAAACAGTTCCTCGTCGTCACCTCTGGCAGCGATGGTGCACTGAGGATATGGGCCATCAAGCCAGAAGAATTCCAACTGACGAAACCGGCTAAACGGGGTAAACGGTCGGAACCATCGAAACTAGATCAGCCTGTCCAGGTAGGTAAGCTCCTGGGAACTTATGAGACCGGGAACCGAGTCACCTGCATGAAAGCGTTTATCATGCGTGAGCCTACAGAAGATGAAGAGCTCAGCGAGGGTGACTCTGACTCTAATGGCCATGACGACGACGACGATGATGACTCTGAGAGCTCATGAAGAGCATGTCAACCGCCAACTGCCAAACATCATACTATCAAATGTCGTGGATTCTCATACATAGATCGAGTCTCAGGGGCAACCCTGTCCACGAACTGGATGTCCACCACGGATAGCCTGCAGCCTACTGCCTCCATAGTCTAGACAATCTTCGAGCAGAATACACCTTCATCATTTTTATCTTCGTTTTCATCTTTTATTTCTTTCTCTTCATCTTTGTATAAATCTTATCAGTCACGTGCTCTTTTTTGTTGGTAAAAATTTTTGTGACTCAAAAACTCACGATTTAAAGTAAGAAAAAAAACAGCAAAAAAGAAGAAAAAGAGAAGAAGAATTTCGATGCAATAACATCACAGTTTGTCTCTTTAATATACCGTCATCACCCCAGTCAGCCATCGTCAGCGAAGAAGAAGAAGAAGAAGAAAAAGGCGTCGCCTGCTTAGTTACCCCACCGAGAGGGCCTATCAAGTCGATAAAATAAAAAAAAAAACCTCCAACTTCCTCCATCTTGTGTGCGAAGAAACAACATCCACGACCACGAAGCCACGATAGCTCAGACAGCGCCCTGCAATCATGGCGACGCATAGTGACTTCTCCGACGACGAGTCGCAGCCAGGCTCGCCCGTTCTCGGCGATTCCAACGGCGTCGAGAACACCTTCGAGGACCAGGAGCCTCTCGACCATGAAGATGATTCACAGACACCGCTCAAGTCTGCTCTAAAACAGCCTGCGCAGGCAAAGAAACCAGAGCTGCCCGAGCAGCCTGACCCGTCGACTCTGGACCTCTCCACGCTCACACCCCTTACACCCGAGATCATTGCCCGACAGGCCACTATCAACATTGGTACTATCGGGCATGTCGCTCACGGCAAGTCGACGGTCGTCAAGGCCATTTCGGGGGTGCAGACCGTCAGATTTAAGAACGAGCTGGAACGAAATATCACTATCAAGCTGGGTTATGCGAATGCAAAGGTGTACAGATGTGATAACCAGGCCTGCCCGAGGCCTACTTGCTACCGAAGCTTCAAGAGCGACAAAGAGGTTGATCCTCCATGCGAGAGAGATGGATGCACAGGCAGATATAGGCTGCTTCGACATGTCTCGTAAGGCCTTTATATATCTATATATGTGTGTGAGCGTGTAGACTAACGAGTATAGGTTCGTTGATTGTCCCGGGCACGATATCCTCATGAGTACTATGCTTTCAGGTGCCGCCGTCATGGACGCAGCTCTCCTTCTCATTGCCGGTAACGAAACTTGCCCGCAGCCCCAGACCTCGGAGCATCTGGCTGCCATCGAGATCATGAAGCTCAACCACATCATCATCCTCCAAAACAAAGTCGATCTGATGCGGGAAGACGGCGCTCTGCAGCATTACCAGTCTATATTGAAGTTCATCAGAGGAACGGTCGCTGATGGATCTCCTGTTATCCCAATCTCGGCTCAGCTAAAGTACAACATTGATGCTGTCAATGAATACCTCGTCTCTCACATCCCAGTTCCAGTCAGAGACTTCCTTGCCCCTCCCCACATGATCATCATCCGATCCTTTGACGTCAACAAGCCTGGCTCCGAAATAGAAGACCTCAAGGGTGGTGTTGCTGGTGGTAGTATTTTGACCGGTGTACTCAAGCTCGGCGACGAGATCGAAATTCGACCAGGTATCGTCACCAAGGACGAACAGGGCAAAATCCAATGCCGCCCCATCTTCAGCCGCGTCGTAACCCTCCTTGCCGAGCAGAATGATCTCAAATTTGCCGTCCCCGGCGGCCTTATTGGTGTCGGGACCAGAATTGATCCTACACTATGCCGTGCTGACCGTCTGCTTGGTTTCGTCTTGGGCCACCGTGGTCGCCTCCCCGCTATCTACAGTGAAATCGAAGTCAACTATTTCCTTCTCCGTCGTCTCTTGGGTGTCAAGTCTGCCGACGGCAAGCAAGCAAAGGTCGCTAAGCTAGCCAAGAATGAGGTCCTCATGGTAAACATCGGTTCGACCGCCACCGGTGCAAAGGTCATGGGTGTCAAGGCAGATGCTGCCAAGCTGAGCTTGACTGGCCCAGCTTGCACCGAAATCGGAGAGAAGATTGCCCTCAGTCGAAGAATCGACAAGCATTGGCGTCTGATCGGTTGGGCTAACATCGTTGCGTAAGTAGCTCCTCTGCAACCTCATATACTGAAGCAACACTAATCTCCGTAACAGTGGTAACACGTTGGAGCCTATCTCTAACTGAATCTGATATGGCATGCCTGACGGCACTTACATTCACGAGAGATGTATGATTGCCAGAATGGGACTACAGATGAGAGCTGGCGGAGTCAGCAGACTATGGTAGGTAGGAACAGGCCGTATTCATATCTATCAGTCAATTGAGACCATAAATGGCTACTGCCATGCCCTTCAAGCAACCAGCCAGGCAAATTGCTATACGTGTCTCGATAGAACGAACGGCCTGTCTCATCCCTAAACGCTGCATCATCCCCATAAATTACTTTGGTAGGGCGCTTTTTTTTCTTTTCCCAAAAGGTAAAAAGCAAAGTCATGTTCCACATTCAATTATATCCCGCTTGTTCTAACGGTTTCTCATCCTTTCTTATTGCTCATGATATCTTTCTCTCTCTCCTTCATCTCCAACATATCCCCGTATAGTCGAGCAATTGCATACACCTCTTATGCGTTCCGATGCTCTTTTCAGTCTCCTTTCTTACCGCTTTCCCTCTTTTTGTCAAAACATTCTACTTCTCTTACTTTGCTGTTTCCCACCTTTGTTCTGAAGCATAGATAAAAATTGTTTCTTTTTTAGGTTGGGGCTGAAAAGGGTCAAAATGGAGAAAATGTGCAAATGACAGTTATGAAATAAAATTATTGACAAGCATTCTCATAATAGTTGTATAAAAGTTTGGTAAATTCACCTGAATTGTTACCATGGGGTCAATTTATTTGGTAAAATGAAGATTCTAGGAGGGAGACCTCCTCAAAGTGAATAAGTAACTAATATATAAGAGAGTTGTTAACAGTATTTCAAAAAAGTTCTATAGCACAATATTGTACATGGTTTGTTCTTCTCTTCATAACCTGTAAGCCAGGTCAAATCCGTAAGCCAACACACAATCGCTAGCTTTGGAGAGATTCGGGTCATTCGTATTCAGTTCCGTCTTTAATGAACTGCGAGACATATGCGTATGATATAACAATATCTGCATCGTCTCTACCAGCTCATGTATTTCCGACTCTTGGAGCGTCTCCGTGCCAAAACTCCGCGGCCACCCCGACTTCTCACACGGGCCAAAAAACCATGACGGCGCTTCTGAACCCTTCGGCTAGGGTTGTAAGTGTCTCGCTTGACACCCAGGGAGGCAGTAGATGAAAATCCGCGAGATGTGGACGGACTGGCGGTTATCGAACTTGATATATGATTGTGGCATGGGGAGGTTGAGGATGGTATCTGAGAGAGAATTGAACTTGTACGAGGCACTGAGATGGTCGGCCGCGAGGCATTGAGCACAGAAAAAGACCTGGTGGTGTTTCGTAGAGTCGGGCTGTTTCTTAACAGTTAGAGAAGAATTCCACAAGACCAAGTCCGCGATGGAGGAAAAAGGGAGCTGTTCACCTTAACACGCTACCCGAAACTCTGTCAAAGAGGCATCTTGTAATACCAAAGGGCTTAACCCTCGAAACTCGTAAACTGAACATGCTTGTTACTGATTTGTTGATTTAATTCATCTTCTCAATCAATTGAAAACGAAAGTTCGCAGCAAGTTCAGATATGCACAGACCACTTTTTTTTTCTTGAGCCAAAAAAGAAAATTTTACTTTGAAGAATTCAAAGATCAATCGAAGAAGTTTCAATTGAACAACATCTTGACAGTTTCACTATCAGACAAGATCTCCGAGAGAGGACAAGATTGATGATATTACTCAACACTTAATCTACAGTCTTCGGTAACAAACACAAGTCTCCGAATATGACATCTCATGCAGGCCCGTCTCCATTACCTGCTACCGCAATACTCAAAAGCGAGCGAATCTCCCAAGCAGAAGCTCATGAATTCCTTACGGCTTATCTCGATCGCGCTGCCTCAGACCCAGGATTCCAACCTGATTCCACGCTCTCGCCGCAAGGCCCTATCGCCGCTGGAGTTGGCTCATCTCCAAACCTAGTTATACATAACCTCAAGAGAGTACAAGCCGGGCTGGCTGGAGAAGTGCTTGGAAAGGATCTTGTGTTTGCGAAACTGGAGAACGAAGGCGGTGCTTCTGGCGGCGTGTTTGAGTTACAGTCACATAATGCGACTGATAGGCAGAACTGGGGCGGAAAGAGAGGAGATGCTGCTGCGGTCAGCGGATGGCAGGATTTACAGAGCTACGAGAGAGAGCAAACTGATATTGTTGAGGCTGGTGATGGAGATGATGAAGTGGCTGCAGTCGAGGATCATATGGAGCCTGTGGAAGATGTGCAGGAGGGTAAAATCGATAAAGAAGAGCGGAAACGAAGGAAGAAGGAAAGACGCAAGCAAGAGCAAAAGGCCAGGATGGTAGCGGCCAGAGACGAAGACGAGACCGAGATATGAATTGAGCATTTACCATATTCTTTTTTCCCACCGATGCATCGTCTATTGATACCTGTTGGTTACTTCTACAACAAATCGTTGACAACCCGGTAAGTTTCCATACCTAAAATTATAAAATTATAAATACCAAAAACATGGTCAAGAATCATGATATGGTCCTAACTTCGATCATAGCTCTCTGTCAGCTGCCTTGACTGGTTTATCACTGTCAATGGGCTCCTTTTCTCCAGTTATTTTACCTCCCTTCCAACCTAAGGCAGCAAGTCGCTCAGGCAAGATTGGATGCGAGTAGTGGTAGCTTGCATACATCCAGTCTGCATCCATTGTGGAAAGGTTTTGAATCTGGAGTTTCAGCAGCGACCTGGCCAATTCCTTGGAATAACCCAGCTTCACGGCAAAAGCATCTAGCGAATCGTCAGCACCAAGTAAAGGAGGGAAAGCGTGCAATAATATAGAGGCACAAACCAGCTTCAAATTCGAACTTCCTGCTAAGGATATTCATCAAGAGCTTAATTATGGCGTCCGTTGGTGCGAGGGCATCGGAGAAGAGGAGGAACCCAATCATGATTGGCATCTCAGTGTGGAAGCCAAAGTCTTGATAGAGCGATTTGTTGTTTACAAAGGCAGAGAACAGAGCGAAGATATAGAACATGTGGCCCTATTCAGAATGTCAGTCGTTGATTCAACTCTATCTTATAAGGGGAACACACCTGTCCAATTGCAAATAGTTTTGTAGTATGGCTCAAGCTCCAATGGCCCAGTTCATGGCTCAATACAGCAACGACCTCTTCAGGTTCACTCTTCTCAATCAAGGTATCGTAGATGACAATGTGTTTCTTCCATGGTAGTCCAAAGAAATAGGCATTGCTGTGTGCGCTTCTCTTGCTTCCGTCGATGACGTTCAGCTCGGAGAGAGGGAACTTTAGCTTCTTGGCCAGGTTCTCAACTGAAGTTTTCAAGACACCAGGTTCGAGCGGAGAGAGCTTGTTGAAAAGGGGGAGGATGGCAATGGGATATATGGTGATGGCGAACAGCTGAACGAAGATTCCAAACATCCAAAGGTAGTAGAAGAAGCTGGTTCCGGTAGTCTGTACGATTTTCAGGATGGCGCTGATGATGGGAGTACCAAGGACAACGGTCAACATTTGACCCTTGAGCATATCCATAACCCATAGCTTGACGGTTTGCTTGTTGAAGCCGAACTTCTCTTCCAGGACAAAGGTGCTGTAGTATGAGGTGGGGAGCGAGAGGACGGTCGTAATGATGTTGAAGGTAAAGACAAACAGCAGGGTATGGGTGATCTCTCCCCTGAAGCCTTCGGGAGCATATCTGGATAGCAACAGACCGGTTACTCCCCACAGTTTTGGGAGAGCATCGCCGTAGATAAATCCAAGGTTTTGAATCTGGCTGTATAGCCCACTCACGAAGCCAAACTTGGCCTTCGCGCGTCCATACGCCTATGAAATGACGGTTAACTCTATGATCAATGTAAAGGCATATCTGATCACGGTAGAAACAGTGCCGCCATAGCTCCCATAGCATCCGCTACACATACCTGACTCTTATCAAACACTTCCTGAGAGACTTCGCCCTCCAAGACCTTTGGAACCTTTGTTGCCTGCAGAAACTTATACTGTCTGAGAGAGAGAAACCCTTCAAGGAGATACTGTCCCAGCGAGAAGCCCACAATGATCTTCTTCCATGGGAAAAACGGCCGGTCAAGAATCCGCGCAAGCTCCTAGATAGATATAACGTTATATAGATTAGCCATATATCCTTAACGCCTGGACTGATTCTGAGCAACGCAGGCAAACAGCAAGCCTGGAATATCACTTACCTGGAGAATAAACATCGTTACGGCGCAAGGTCGATGTCGTTTACAGGAGAAGCAAGTTTTCTGTTCTCGAGTTGCTGGCTGAAAGCTGTGGGTGAAGGCATTGTTGCGGTATCCCGGCGGTAGAAAAAGAATTTCCCTCGGGGTTTTCTCGCTGAATGGAAACTGTCGATGCACCTGGGACGACATATCTCAAAGAAAGGCAGATCCTCTCGCAGAGTAAGTCAACATCTCAACCATTTGCTAGATAACAGCTCTAAACAATTATTGTTTACAGCATTGTCTTTGTTCATGGAATTCAAGGTCACCCTAGGAGGACATGGACAGCACGCCCGCTTAAAGATCCAAAGCCTGAAAAAAAGCGATGGATATCAAAGATCCTGAGACGGCCAGCCTTGGAAGACTCACAGCAGGAGTCGGCAGAAGATGGCATCTTTTGGCCGTTGGATCTGCTGCCGGAAGACTGTCCGGATTGTCGAATCCTGACCTTTGGTTATGACTCTGTGGTATCGAAGTTCTTTGCGGGCCCAGCAAACCAAAATAGTATTATTGGACATTCTAGGGACTTGTCATATGCCCTTGGACGAAGTCGAGATGATTGTGCAAGTGGATGAATCTTCTTGTCTAGAGGTTTTTAATCGGTTATTGCGATGTTGGCTAACTTTCATCCGCAGCAAGGTCGATATATCATCTTTGTCGCTCACTCTTTTGGTGGTAAGTAGCCGCGATGACTACTAATGGTGTCTTTCTTTGGCCAAATAACTAGTTATAATCCTTTAGACGAAAGAAGAAGCTAATTGGAATAGGAGTACTCGTGAAAGAGGTATCTATTCACCTTATAATCCCAAGAGACAAGTTCCTTACTCCTACAGGTTCTTCATAGGGCTGCCAATGATATTGACGCCTCTGTTCTCGACGTCAGAAATGCAACAAAGGCAATTTTCTTTCTAGGGACGCCGCATCGAGGGAGCAACCTGGCATCATGGGGCGAAACAATGAGAAATATTGTTGCTATCAGTGGATTTGATACCAACAGCAAAAATATACGCGCGTTGCGTTTTGGCTCAGTCGAGCTCGAATACGCCCAGGACGACTTCATGCAACTATGGCAACAGGAGAAATTCATTGTTCGAACTTTTCAGGAGGGCCTCGCATTTGGGGGGTTTAACGGCGTGGCTGGAAAGGTTGTTGCTGTGCTATATGTTCCCACAAAAAGATAAAGCGGATGCAGCTAACGACCCTTTTAGGTAGTTCTGGATATATCGTCGTCGTTGGGTGATCGACGAGAGCATGCTGAACATATCAACGCCAATCATCGCGAGATGTGCCGCTACACTGGTAGAGACGATCCTAGATATCAGCAGGTTGGGGGCGAGTTACGAAGAATTACAAAGAAGCTTCGCTTTGATCTCCAGAAATCTCAAGACAACGCAATTGAAGCACAAGCTGTTATATCTGAGGACGAAGGTATTTAATAACCAAATCACTTGAGATGAACGAGTTAATGACAAAGAATAGACAAACTGTCATCGGAAGAGCTAGGTATGAAGTCCATGGTGGTCTTTGACAGATACCTTCATTTGCTGATCCCCCATCAGAATGTTTACGCTCCCTATGCGTCCCAGAAGTTGATATGTGGGAGTATAACGTTGGCCAAGATATGCAAGCCACTTGTACCTAGCTATTTGATATGCAAGAATATTGCTCTTGGAAAGACCTATCTAGCCTACAGATGAAGAGCACTCTATTACGAGTGAAGGGAAAACTAGGGAATGGAAAGTCAACATCCATCAAGGTCGCTGTATCCAAGTTATGGAATGAAAAGTCAAGCTCTTCGGGTATCAAGCTGGCTTTCTTCTTCAATAACAACGGAAATGCCCTCGAGAAGTCTCAACTTGGACTTTTCAGGTCATTTCTGTTTCAACTATTCCAGCAATCAAAGCGAGCATTCCAGCGATTTATGCCTATATTTCGCCGCAAGGTTAATTTTTTTGACCGTCGGTGGACATGGAGTGAAGAAGAACTGAAAAAATTCTTCCTGTCAGTAATGACAGAGTTGTCTCTATCCTCGGCCTTTATATTCATTGATGCCCTCCACGAATGCGAGGAGGCTCGAGATGTCATTACATTCTTTGAATCCCTCCGCATCTCCGCCCTTGAAAACAAAATTCCCGTCAAGCTATGTTATTCCAGCCGACATTATCCTCCTATCAAGGTAGGGGACTACGTTGAACTTCGTATTGATGCACACAACAATGATGACATCGAAAATTATATAGAGAAGAAATTGGAGCCGTTGTTCAAACGTCGGCATATCGACAAGCTAAGGTCTTATATTGTCGAAAAAGCTAAAGGGGTATTTCTCTGGGTTGTCCTGGTCGTGGGCCAAATAATCAAGGCAAACGATAACGGCGCGTCATTGGGAAAAATGCAGGAAATCGTGGAAGCCGTTCCCGATAAGTTAGAATCACTGTACAGAGAGGCCCTCAAATCTGCCAACACAAAATGCCCTTCTGAAACGCTGTTGATATTGCAGTGGATGCTCAGCGCAACCAGGCCAATCACATTACTTGAACTACGTTATGCACTAGCATTTCAAACAGGCGAATACAAATCTCAGGCGGAAGCGGAGGACAGTTTATCCTTTATTCAGAGTGATCAGCAAATGGATCTGCTTCACAGAGCACACACAGGTGGCCTGATGGAGACAAAAACCCAAATCCTTGTAAGTACAGAATATGCTCGTCAAATATTCAACACGGATAAGCAAACTACTATTCATTTTGTGTACGACTCAGTGAAGGGGTTTCTCTTAAAACATGGTGGCCTCCAACTCTTTGATTCGAGTCCAACCGATAAGCTGCTCCACCAGGGTAACGAGAGACTTGCGGAGGCATGCATAAACTACCTGGACACTACTGAGTTGCGGCATGCCGCAGAATCACACGCTGAGCCGGATGTCCTTGGTTTGACGAAATCAGTGGAGCTATTTCAGCGACTTTGCCGCCTGCACCCTTTCCTTCTCTATTCTCTAAATTCTGTCTTTGAACATATAAAAGCAGCCGAGTCTCTTCATGATGACGAAAATGCTCCCCCATCATATTTATACCATCGAATGGAAGAGATTTTCTTTATATGGAGATATTTCTCTGACCTCGAAAGTAAATGCCGCTTCCATGAGGTCCATGGCACAATGACAACTCTAGCCCATCTGGCAGCAGAACATGGACTGATATACTGGATACGGTGTTACCTCTCAAGTGGTGGCGATGTTGACTTAGAAGGTGGCCGATTCGGGGCACTACTTCCGGCCGCCGCGGGTATGGGACATGAAGAAGTGGTCAGCCTGCTTCTTGATCACGGGGCAGACGTTCATCATTCAACGGGGAGGTTAGGATCGGCCTTGAGTGCGGCGACATCAGAAGGACATGTGGCCATTGCTAAAACCCTGATTCAGCGAGGCTCCGATGTGAATTACATATGCGGAGAACACGGGTGTGCGTTACAGGCGGCTGTTTGTTCCCCTAAAGTAAGTAGTGCGCTTGTCCATGTTCTTCTTGACGCTGGAGCAGATATACATATGCAAGAGGGGAAGTTTGGCACTGTCCTCCAGGCAGCTGCTTATAGAGGCGACGAAGAAATAGTTAGAATCCTCCTTGCGCGCGGAGAAGATGCCAATATAGAATTTGGGAAGTATGGTACCGCCCTAGGAGCAGCAGCGTTCCAGGGACATGACCAAGTCGTGCAACTATTGCTTGAGCATGGCGTTGACCCGGCTACTGAAGCTGGTAATTATGGCAATTCCATATGGGCTGCAGCTTATAATGAACAAGGGCATGTTCTACGGCAAATTCTCCGCCACCAATGGCCATCCTGGCAAAAGGATGAGGTGGAGAGTAAGGCACAGGATATCCTGAACGAGGCTACACGCACTGTCGCATTCCATAAAGCAGTGGAAGATGGTGAAATTGATGTGGTTAAGGAGTGGATAGAGGATGGGATTGACCCCAATACACGGGGAGGAAAACATAGCTCTGCACGGCATATTGCGGTTTCATACGGACATATAGAGATAGTGTCTCTGCTACTTGCTCAAAAAAAATCAAGGTCGACATGAGCGACGCGGAGGGTCGAACTCCACTATGGCTGGCATCAAGCGATGGACACCTCGAAATTGCTAAGATGCTTCTCAGCACCGGTCGAGTTGATATTCGGCGCAAGACTATTACTGGGCGCAACCTACTGTGGTTTGCTGCAAGTGAAGGTCGAATGGACATGGTATGTCTGATGCGGGAAGCTGGGGCAGACCCATTTGAAGCCGACAATAATGGAATATCGCCTATCATGGCAGCAGAAGAGGAAGGCCGGCTAGATGTTGTTTTATTCTTGCAGAAAGACATGGAGAAAACTCTATAGTATAACTAGTTGATATAACTACCGGATGGCCTCGTTTGTCTTTTAATACATACATGTACAGCTAGTCTCTGGCTCAATATCAGGCTGAACAGAGTGTATCCATCCAAGACAGACACGATGTTACCAATATAACCTAATGAATGTCGAGATTGCTTGATATATTGGTAGAGCAGATATTTGATATATGCCATTAGAGATATCTCAACACCAATCCTATAACAGCTAATTATAAAAGGTGAATATCATTTTATTCCCAAATTATTGGCTCCTTCCATAAGACTCTGATGAAACAATAATGAGGCTCTATTGTATGCTGGGTTGTTTCATTATATATGCCGCGCGGTTAGAATCTACTTCTAATAACGCTTCTCATACTATTTATTCCTCATCATCTTCATCCTCTTCATCATCATCCTCTTCGTCATCATCCTCTTCGTCATCATCCTCTTCGTCATCATCCTCTTCGTCCTCATCCTCTTCGTCATCATCATGTTCATCATAATCTTCGCTTTCTTTATCCTCTTTATAACCACTATATCCTTGATTATCACCGTCTATAAGCTTCATTCCGTAGTCATCCTCAAAATCACGAAGACTCCGCACTTCTGGCTTGAAGCCGGATGAAGTGAAACCCTTATAGATAATCTAGAGAATAATTATGCCTGGTTAGATAGGAATATCGTAATACAAATAGAAAAACAGTTCAACACTTACGTCTTCGAGCGTTGAAGCACACGTCACAAATAGGTCTGCTTTGCCTGGAGTAAACAACGGTAATATGATGTCACGTAGGGCCTCCTTCACTTGGTCCAAGTCAACAGCCCTTATCTTTTTCAACAGAGCTTCATTATAGTCGCTTGGCACATCGAAGATCACATCTTTGATAAAGCTGTCATAAGCTGCATCATAATATGTCTGCTTGTCGGTAGCAAAACTGCTAACGAGGTAGCTAATTGCCCCTTCCAGTACCATCACCGGATCTATTTTTACTGACTCAGATAGGCGATCCTCAACGGCTTTCTTTGCTGCTTCAAAAGCCTTGTGCGCATTAGGGGATTCGTGGACCATAAAATGCACAAGCCCACTGTCAATATTGCTTCGCAAACAATAAGAATATGCTAAGCCAGAGCCTCGAAGGGCAATCCACAAAGGGCCTCCTTCAACATTCATATAAGCAATGGCAACCATCAGAGCAGGTAATTTCGGGTCGTCATAAGTGCATAGGCCTCTGGAGCTAGACTCGGCAAATGAAGAATCAACTGTCTTCATTGGGACCACATAAGCATGTCTGCCTGGGTGTCTGCCTGCATCACACAGTCGTTCAGCCACTTTGGCCACAGGTGCAAGCTCTTTTGAAGTATCCAAGTCACCAATTAATGTGTTCCACGAAGCGGCGGGGTTAGTGAGCTTCTCCATGTCTGCAACAACCAAAACCCGGAAGTTTTCAGGGCGAAAAAGTGCACTTCTAATCTCTTCCATACTAGAGACAATTTCTTCTGGTTTGAAAGCTAACAGTTTCTTGACACGCCTTAGATACTGAGCTTTCACAAGAGCAGTCTGCGCTCTAGAGATTGATTTATTCCCTAGATGTATCATCAGCCCGATAGCTTCTACCATACTCTCTCCACACCTCTTTTCTTCTGAGAGTCCTGCAAGCAACTTAGCTGTGATGGCTACCAATCTATCAACCTCAAATATGGAGCTCCATATCAGCTCTTTGAGCCACTTAATGATGGCTTGGTATCTGTCTACTTCCGCCCGCAAGATAATGGAAAGAGATTCAGGATTGCTGTCGCTGGGACACATGCAATACTCAACGGTATCTTTCTCGAGTTCGACGATAACCTTCTCAAATGAGAGGATGTCCTCTCCTCTTTTGATGGGCAGGCTGAAGAAGGATTTGGTATATATTGATAGTAAAGGCAGCAAATGACAAGGGACATCCGTTGTTGAGATCATCAGGGTCAAATGCACGAAGTTGCTAGGTATATGTTCAAAATGGATGAATAAAGGCAGCTCTGATCCGTCTGAATCTATCAATTTCTGAATTCTGTTGTCCGGGTGTCCTGATTTCAAAGCGGACCCTGACTTTGCCGTGGTAGTTTGAATGAAATGGATTGAGTTAACGTCCGGGATGACAACTCTTGATAATAGTCCGGTTGACGTCTCCTGGTCGTTCTCTGCCTTGGCCTTCTCCAGGGCTTCTGCAAGCCTCTTTAGCCCTTCTGTTCCGAGTTCAAACTTTCGTTCCTCTATGCGTTTGTGTTCATCTTCCATCAATTTTGTGGCTAGCTTCGCTGAAGGAACAGCTAAGATGGAAACGTGATGCGCATCAGAGATCCACTTCTTGATATAACTGCGCCATTCTGTGTCAGTCCATGTCTCCAATACTTTGTATGCTTCCAATGTCCCAATTTTCTCTAGAGTTGAGCCATCCCGTTCTCCAAAGAGGAAATCCGTTATTACTGCTTCAGTAAAAGGGGTGGATGACGTTTCCGTTACAAACTTCCAGGTCCGCTGATGACGCTGGATACACACTTGCATATAATTTAGATCTATTTCCTTTTCCATCGCATCTTTAAGTATCTCAAAAAACCGGCGCTCAACCGCTTCTAATTGTTCCGTAGCTACGCTAGAGATGTTGAAGGAGATCTCCGTGCGTGGTCTCTCTTCTGTATCGTACGATATGTCCGAGGCAACCCGCTCTTTTTCTACAAGCGTGTTTCTTAGAAGAGAGGCAGATGAGCCTGCAAGATAAAGCAGGACCACACGTAAGGCACTAGCTATTGCTATGAATTAGCTCTGCTAATGTAGTTAAATCTGTATTCATTTGGCTTACCTTGAACCTGATCCCTAAAATCAGGGCCTAGAAAGCGAATATCAATCTCACCGAACGATTCATCTTCCTCTGGGAACTCAACCTTCTCTATTGTAGTCACTTCGAGAGGTGAAACCTGTAGTGAGTCTATCCAGGGCCGATTAAAAGGTTCATCCGGACTTGGTATGACGTCCATAATTGTATCCTCAAATTTATCAAGTACATAGAGGAGGTTCTCATTATCAACGTCTCCTGAGATAATGAGGCATAAATTCTTCGGCTGGTACAGTTTTCGATGGAATTCCCTTATTCGATCCGCGGTAAGTAATCTTAAGCTTTCCATCCTGCCTTGGGTCTCGTATCTAAACCCTACCCCTTGAGGGTAGAGTAACCGACGGCAGCGAAGATCAACAAGGTTGTTGATATCATTTTGAGTTGCTTGCATCTCAGAATACACAACTCCTGCATCATGGCCGGTACCATCTATATGATATACCTCCGTATAACAGCTGGCGTCACTTAACGTCGGGACAATGATATGTTCCAAGTAAACCGGCAATAGTAAAGCAAACCCTTCCCACCCGGCGGTCTCGATAGTATAAGCAGTACAGTCGACAGAAGTCCATGCATTCACCTCAGAATATAGTCGGTTTGCAAGATTAGAAAGACCTCCTTTGAACTTGTAGTTCCTAGAGCCTTCAAAGCACAAGTGCTCTAGAGTGTGTGGTGCACCAGAGTCGTCATGGATTTCTGTCGCCAGCACAAAGTGGCCTTCAATCTTCGGCCCCTTCCGGTCAATAGTAACGACCCTCATTCCAGTCCTTGTAGATTCGTACTGTGTGAATACGGAGGTAGAGTATTCCGGCGTGAATTGCTGCACACGCCGAAAAGAGGTCTTTGGCTGCATGTTGACAAGATTGACAGATGTTTCTCAATGTACCCAAGGAGAGTGACTATTTATAATGTTAGCTGGTTGTAAGATAATATATTAAACACCCATAGAAAATGAGCGTAGGCTCAGCCCTGTCACCTCAGATTATAGAATGCCTATATTCCGCAAGATAGCAATAGCTCCAGCCAACTCAACACGAAAATTCAGACATATATGAGAGGGTATAATTGGTGCGTAGGCAACATTAATGCCGAGGGGATACCTAGAGCTATTATTTTCTTACCTGGCTATATATTTAGAGTGGGAAGTCTGTAAACCAGAACTCCTACCACAAGCAATTGGCTAATGAAATATTTCAGGACCTGTAGGGGTTACTTACGAGCTAATTGTTTAACAGAGACCTAGTCAATTACGGCCTGTTGTATGAGAAAATCCCAAGTGGGAGTTAAGGAGGTTGAAGTCTCACGTTGATATTTTAGCTCTGCTCATCCCACAATCCTTGGCACCACCAAAAGGCCATCGCATGCTTGATTAAACAACAAATATGCCAACAACAAATGGACATCTTAAACCTCTGCTCAAATTTACGCAGAATAAAATCTGATAGTGATTCTGATGCTACCTCTCAGTTTTTTTTCCTAGTAAGTTTTCGGATGATAAACTACCACGAGCTAATGCTAACGACTGAACGAACAAGTGACATCGAGTAATACCGAAGAATCCATATCGCAATGCCAGGCACTGTTTCTGCGGACAAGGTGCACCGGGAATTACTCAAATTTATAACAGACGGCTCATTCCCGGAATCGGAATCCATAACCGAGGCGGAATACCCTGTGCCAGCTCTTCCCGTTGGACTTGAGCAGATATCGGAGGCAAGACAGAAGGTCGAGGTATGGAACAGTTTGAGGCTAGAATAAATATCTAGTAGTTGGTTACGGTTACTAATAACACCGAATATGCAGAAAGAGATTTGTGCCCTGAGCCAGGATAAGGCTTCTGAAGTTGATGAGTGGATACTCCGGGCAAAGCAGCTTCACGAGGATATAGAGAGATCGAAATTAACAGCGAGAGAGATTGTGAAGAATTATGAAAAATCACAGGCTTTACGCAGCCAGGTTGACGATACGGCAGCAAAGGTTGGACTTTTAAAGCGCGAATCTGCCTTTACCCAGTCATTAAGGGAGACGCTTGAGAAAGCTCGCGTTATCGATCAAAACATAAATGCTGCACGGGCTGCGGGCCATGAACATGATCTAGAAACGGCGATTCAAAAGGTCGAGGAGATTTGCCGGGATTTAGAACAGCTGGCACTGCCTCGGGACTCTAGCATTATCACTATACTAACAGACAAAGCTTCCAGTGCCCGAAGATCTATATGTGCTACACTACAGAACACATGGAACGACTTGGTTTGCATAGAAAAACCAGGAACACTCACTGTTAATCCTGATGGTACGATATCCCATTTCATGACTATAACCGTGCCTTTCCTGACACTCCATAGGGATATCTGTGCTAGACCTACACTTGAAATGGCTCTCAGAACTTGGAGTTTTAGAAACTACTCTCGCTTCTTTCCGGAATGAATTGTTGAATCATATTTTGCAACCAATTCTGTCTCCCCCTAGCGCTGGACCTTACAACCAGCTCTTTTATGATAAGAACTACATTGGACTAAAGAGCCAGGATGCAAAACCTACGATACCAGATGTTCTGAACTCAGTTTTATCCCTCTTTACATTTGTCAAAAACCACCTTCCAACCAAAGTATTGGAACAAATCTCCACAGCTCTCACCGTTTCAGCATGCCAGCTACTCATTTCTGAGTGGCTATCGCCCGCAATACCTGTAGCTGTCGAGGATATGAATACTTTTGAGCGTGTATCGGAAGAAGTTCTACGATTTTCTAAGACCCTAGCTGAGCTTGGGTGGAATGAACCTTCGGAGTTAGGATCCTGGATAAATCAGATACCTCGACTGTGGCTATCCCGACGACGTGCTCATGCTCTAGATCGAGCTCGATGGATTGTTTATCATAATTGTGGAGAATATGAAAAGGCAGAGAGGATAGAGAAACAGCAAGTTTCGCAGTCGGATGGAATCTTCCAGGGGAATCATGCAGACGCAGATGTTGAGGACGGCTGGAACGCTAACTGGGAAGACGATAATGACGAAGCAGATAAAAGTGCCAGTAAGGCTGGAGCAGCATATTATGAGGACGAAGATGTAAGTGCTTGGGGCTTAGATGACGAAGAAGATAACGCAGAGCTAGAGGAGGAAGCTAGTAAAGGAAATGAAGAAGATGATGATGTCGATGACGCTTGGGGATGGGGTGCGGATGAAAGTAATGATAATCCACCTGAGGAAAAGTCACAATCCATCCAGAAAACATCCAAATCAGAGGAGGATAACCTACTGCGGTCGGCTCCAAAGGAACTTATTCTCAGGGAATTTTATACTGTTACGAGAGTACCAGATGCCATTGTTGAAATAATAAGAGATCAAATGTCTGACTCTGAGCGCCTTAAACGACCGGAGTAAGTTTTTGTCCATACTACAGGAGGATTGCATTAGCCTATCTAACATCTCTCTAGATACTCATCGTGTCAGATTTCTACATCTGCAGCAGCGCTCTTAGGAATACCAACCTTAGTCGTCGCCATGTTCAAAGCTATGGCGCCTGTCTTCTACGCCCAAAAATCTGCTTCTAGCCACATGTATCTCTACAACGACAGTATCTACTTAGCTGAGAGATTACGTGCTTTATCTGAAGAACATGAATTTTCGAGGTTAGGGACCGATATACGCTCAATCGAAAGGTTCGGGAGGTTATCGTACGGAAGAGAGATGCATTCCCAACGAACCATACTTACCGATCTTCTTGACGGTTGCCAGGGGTTCTCAAGCTGTAATACCCAGCCTTATCTCGGAGAATGTGAAAGAGCAATAAAGGCTACGGCAGACAGAGTCAGGAACTTGCACAGCGAATGGAAATTAATACTCTCCCCCTCTGTGCTGCTGCAATCTATTGGCTCTCTTCTCGCAACGGGCATAAACAAGATCATTCTAGACATTGAGGACCTTGGTGATATTTCAGACCCAGAATCACAGCGTCTAGCAGGATTTTGCAGTGTTATATCGAAACTTGAAGAATTGTTCTTACCCGACACGGAAGAAGGAAATAGAGAAACCGAGGACCGACCCATTGCCATGACAGCTATCTATGTCCCGAACTGGCTGAAGTTCCAATATCTGATGAATATATTAGAGAGCTCGCTGGCAGATATAAAGTTTTTGTGGACTGAGGGTGAACTGAAGCTAGAGTTCTCTCCTGATGAGTTGATAGATCTGATCAAGGCGCTATTCGCGGACTCAGAGCATAGGCGGAAGGCAATAATAGAGATTCGAAACTCTGCATAATAACTGTGAGTATAAATAGTTTAATATGATTATATAATTCATAAATGGATTTGGAGTGCGGCACAGCCTGCCGTGCTTTGAAAGGTATTTTAAATAACTATTAATGGTCCTTAATATTCCGTTTATTCTTATAGTTCAATATCTTGTAAGTACAAACGTTCCAACATAGTAGATAAAATCAAGAAATCTGAAAGCCAGACCCATACCTATTTGACTCCTACTATCAACTAGTATTGTAGCTGATTCGCTACATGGATGGTAGTATACTATCAATAAGGAGTTTCATCCGCTTCAGATATTTGGTATCATTCGGTCTACCAAATAGAAGGTCAAATCTCCTGTTAATAACTAACTAGGATATCAACATACATAGATCACAACCGAGCACTCCCATCTAACAATCGGTCCCAATCCTGCTTTCTATATGGCGAGTAAACCTGTTCACCAGGGGGAATCCACAGAAAGTGATCTTCTTTCCCATTTTGAGCTTCGGTACCAATGAGCGCAGGGTCAACTCCCTCATTACGAAGTGGTATTTTGTTTTGTTTGTAGTTGTGTATATGAGTAGGATTCTCAACAACACGAAGAAACAGTGGAACGGCATATCGTGGAAGCCTAGAACGAGCAAAATGTGCAAGCGCTGTGTAGTCAAATGTCTTACGGGCATCCAAAGCAATCTGAATTGCGGCACAACCGGCTCGTCCTTCATGATTAGGGAGACGAATACCATATACGTTGGCTTCTGTCACTCCTGGGAATTGGCCGATGACTTCTGAGACTTCAGCAGTAGAACTATTCATGAATAATACATTTAGTCGTCAAATCAAGGCACTTGTGGGGCTGTAGAGCGTCTTACACATTCTCACTCTTCCAGCGGAATGTATCACCGAGTCGGTCTAGGAAGTACCAGCGGCCGTCACTCTGCCGGCGTAGGGTGTCACCCGTGCGGTAGTATAGATCGCCTTTTTTGAAAACATCGCGAAGAAATTTCTTTTCAGTGGCTTCAGTATTCCGCCAGTACCCCTGGAAAGCATATTCACCGGGGATGTTCACAAGGATTTCGCCTCCCTTTTCATGGGGTGAGCGAACTACATAGCCAGACTGGGGATCCCTTAGAACATCACCAGTTTCCGGGTCAATGGCAACGGGAACGACGACATTATGCAAAATGCGACGCATTATTAGACCATGGTGGCCGACACTTCCAGCGGTAAAGGGGCCGCGATTGTAATTGAAGAGCCTAAACATTCCTTCGGTACTGCTAAAGAATTCGGCCACCTCAGGCACGCCAAACCGGAGTCGGAACTGCTCCCAAACGTCCGGTCGAAGGCCGTTACCATATATACACCGTATCTTATGGTTGCGATCTTGGCGCGATGGTGGTGGTGTGAGTAGATAGCGAACAATTTCTCCAACATATACAAAGCCAGTAGCCTCGGAGTCACGAATATCAGCCCAGAAGTTCTGGATGCTAAATTTAGGAGCTATGGCAATGCTCACGCCCATAGCTAGACATGACATCATTGTAATAGCACTGGTTCCATGGTATAAGGGCATACAGCTGTACCACCGATCACCGTTGGGCCCAGGCTGATCACCCATAGCGGCCTGGTGGATGAATAGGGAGGTGTATAGCCGAGACATAGTGAATGCAGAACCCTTAGGCATACCGGTGGTGCCTGAGGTGTAGAGTAGAATGGCCGGGAATTCGCCCACAATTTGTTCCCCCAATTCTTCTGGTGGCAGGGTTGTCGGCAAGGTGCGAATGCGCTCCTTCATGAAGTCATCAAGTGTGATGGGCTTCATCTTTAGATTGTCAATAATGTCCTCCTGACATTCTTGCACACGGGAACGACAGGTAGGATCCTCATCGACCAAGAGAATCTTTGAATTACTGATCTTTAGACAGTGTATCAAAGCATTGCTAGCAAGGTTATAATTAATGGCAGCCGGTGCACAGCCGATGCTCCAGAGGGCCAGCCATACGATCATGAACTCCTCCCGGTTCTGGAGATATACGGCCACAAGGTCGCCCTTATTCACGCCATGCGACAGAAAGAAATGAGCATACTGGCAGGCTTGGTCCTGCAATTGCTGGTAGGTATAGGATCTGGCACGAGTCCACAAGCAGGTCATGTCGGGGTACCGTTTCACGGTCTCTAACAATAGAAACCACGGATTCCCCCGATTGTGGCTTACTGAGGCCAGTCAACTAGAGTTTTTATTCTACAAGGCAGGATGGGTCCATACGGGCACGAGCATATTGACGTTTTGCCTTCATCAACAAAATCAGGTCCGATAGGTCTTTTTGGAGGTGGAATTTGGCGTTCAGATACCCTGCGACGGCGACTCCCCCAACTAAGACGGCAGCGGTGGCTATGTCACATTAGGAATTGTATTCCGTTGCATAACGGGCTTGTTTGAAGTACATACCAAGCTCTATCATTTCGACTCAAGTTTGAAGGCGTGTTGAACGAGCTGAGTACTGGAGGGAGCGGCTTTAGGTTCCTCTCCCAGTTCGCTCTGCCATGAACTCCACGTTGACAGCTTGAATGTTCTGTAAGCAACATGGGGGAAAACAAATGTTTCAATCCAGCCAGGGCAGCGAAGGGGATAATGCGGGCTATCCAACAGAAACAGCAGATGAAAATTAAAAATTAACTTGAATGTTATATTCCAGACCGCTACTTTGTTCTGCAACCCTGAGAATATATATACTATGTATTGGCTACCCTTGAGGCCACATACTATGTAAATAATCCATCAAAGGATCCTTCTTGCATAACCCCCAGAACGCTCAATAAAGTTTGTATTGCATATACTTCTGTGATCCCTGATCGGCCATACTATTGCATGAACATGCCGTAGTTTCTCTCACCTTAGTTTTTACTAGCTCCCAGTACTAGGCCGTGCTTGGGCTCAGTTTCCTATGATGGAACGGAATATCGGTATAGATATTTCGAATGTTCAGAAAAGAGACTGAAGAAAGAATTGGAAGTTAAACGTGCAAGTTAAAGTTAAATTAATAGAGTTTAAGTTTATTCGGGTTTAAAGTTTATCTAAAAGTATAATATGCCAAGCTCTATTTTAACTTATTGTATACTATCTATATACACATAAGCGATATAAAGTTAATTTTCTTGCAGCATTTATGCTTCAACTATTTTCGTTTTCAAAGTCAAAAAACCGAACCTTACGGCATGTTCTTATTAAATATCAGAAGACTCGGTTCTTACATAGTACTATGTAAGACCCCGGAAGCGCTTTAGTAAATAAATCGCCCCTGTTTTTCTTTAGTTCAAAGAATAATTAAGAATGAACATTCCGTCTATATCTTGAATATACCTATAACTTTTTCATTCTGTGTTTTGTTCTTCAACGTTAACTCTCTGAACAATTCAACATGATTGATACCCAGGATAAATATGTTTTTGGTAGAGACCAAAAGGAATCAGAACGGTAAGCAGGAACTAATTCTCCGCATTCAGAGGGCAAAATATAATAAAAACTGTGATTCAATCGTTTAGACTCGATGCGCAGCACAGGCTGCTGTCTAAAGTAACCGATAACACACTGATTCATCCATCAATCCCCAAAGAAGGCTTGCATTCTGTTGCAGATATTGGTACTGGAACTGGGTAAGGTCCGCTGCCGATTTATTACCAATCTAAAAGACTAATTCATGCGTTATTGAGTAGTATCTGGCTGAAAGATGTTTCCCAGCTCCTGGAGAAAACCAACACCCAGTGTTACTATCACGGGTTTGATATATCGGCGGACCAATTCCCAAAAAATCCGGAAAACATTCAACTATCTGTCCAAGATATCACGTTGCCGTTTCCCAAGGAATATTGGAATCGGTTTGATATAGTCCATGTGAGACTACTTGTTGCTGCTCTCCAGGAATCTGATTATAAAGCTGCAGTCTCTAATCTTTCTGCCATCTTGAGTATTTACTCCCCAATACATTTTCCAATACATTTTCAATCTCCGCCGGGTGGTGTCTAACATTTAGTTCTCCTTATAGGGCCGGGCGGCTTTCTACAATGGGAGGAAATCGACGAGGAATCGTATATTTCAGCCGACAACCCAGTTATTCAAGAGATTCGACGATGTTTCGCTTTTTCATTGAAGGCGGAAGGCAAATGTTTTGCAGCATCAACTAAGATCTACGAAGAGTGCGAAGCAGCTGGTTTTCTGAATATTGTGCGACTGGGTTATAGCTCAAAGTCGAAAGATGACATCCGCCTTGACACAGAGAAAAGGCTTGCTGCAATAATGGAGTCGCTGTATGCAAGGCTTTTGCTGCGGTCTAAGCAGGTTGCTGACGAAACGGCGGCATTGAAACAGGCCGAGGAGTTGATCGAGAAGCATTGGCGTCTTTGCGCTGAAGGGAATTCCCCACCACTCACTCTTATGAGGGTTGTTGCTCAGAAGCCACTAGATAGCTAGGCGATATCTACCTAGCCATATAATGGTATTTCCCTTCAATCATTATAACTATTTCCTAATTTCCATAAAGATAGGAGTGCTAGAGGCTAGTTTAACGGGAGAGCCCACTTTATTTTGTTGAATACTCAACCAACTGGTTATAGATGAAACGAGAAATTGTTTGTGCTTAAACCCGAAATGACTATCTAAAGATATAACTAAGCTAAGAAGAGAACTACATAGTAGGCTCTATCCTAATGAGACAAGACAGACTCCCTCTATGCATCTTTCGAAAGAAAATTGGAAAACTTCAGCTCAGCCAATCTAGAAAGTCTGGAGTGAAATAGCTGAGGATGGCATCGGAACCAGCACGAGCGATAACCTCTGTCGCTTCAAAAGCCATGGTCTTCAGATCAAACACACCAGCACTGGCAGCTGCGTGGATCATAGCGAATTCACCAGATACCTGCATTGCCACAACCGGCACAGTAGCAATACTCTTTGCATCGCTAATGATATCTGCATAAGCTGGCTTGACGATTATCATATCGGCGCCCTCTTGCATGTCCCGGATCATGACCTTATGGGCGAGTTTGCGAGCGGGAGGTGGCAATAGATAGCGCTTGTGCTCGTCTGTGAGAAGTTTAGACGAGACTGCCTCGCGGAACGGCCCGTAGAGGCAGCTAGCATACTTCGCGGAATATGACATGATTGCGGTCTTACTTTCAAGTCGGGCCTCGATGAGTTTGAGCTTAATCGCGCGGATACGTCCATCACTCATATCCGACGGAGCCACGCAGTGGGCGCCAGCCTTAGCAAAAGACAATGCCATATCAGAGACACGCGCGACAGTTGCTTCATTGTCAACTGTGCCGTCTTCATTCAGGACAGAGCTATGTCCGTGGTCTGTATACTCGCAGAGACTTACATCTGCGATGACGTAAAGTTCGGGAAAAGTTTGGCGGATAAGTGGAATTGCGGGCCTGACGGGGCCATTAATGCTATCTGCCATCGTACCAACATTGTCCTTTATGTGGCTACTGAGCAATGTGCCAAACAGAATAACCGCGTGGAGGCCCTTTGCCACTAGAGGAGATAGGAAAGGCAGCAGTTTGTTTATTCCCCGTATATATTGGTTAGGGAGGCCCGGGATAAGCTCTTCCATCTCTGGGTCGGCGGACAAGAAAACAGGATAGATAAACATAGACTGCGAGTATTGTTTTAGCGCATTGTTGTTATAAAGTAGTGGAATCAGGTGTGCTCACCTTATGTAAATGCCGTTCGGCTTGCCACATAGCGGACACTGCGTGGTTATAGCCGCTCTTCAGCTGACTGGATATTTGGGCAGTGCCATCAGGAGCCCGCTGAGCGGAGGAGGAATCCTGGGATGCTGGAAGAGATCCTAAAATTGCCATGATAATGGCTTCTAGACTATGGGTATATATATATGTATAGGAATCAATCTACGTTCGGACAAGATTGATGTAGACTCGCCTCGCGGGGTGTCTGGGAAGTCTGAGTGAATGGTGAAGGGTCAACTCTCTAAATACTCAAGCGAACTTAGTAAGACTAACCCCGGGAGTTTAAGCGTAGTTACATAAATAGAGTTAGAGCAACTATCCACTAAAAGAGAATAACTTTTAATTAGTATGGAATTTAAATTAAAAGTGTATACTAAAAAGTTTCTAGTGGAAACTATAGCATAGAAAGAATTATAATTTTTACAAATAAATACTCAATGGTTTATTCAGTATTACTCTAACTAATACTATGTATTCCGTGAATTGTCTTTAAGAAAAGATAGCAAGGATAATAGTTCTGCGTGGCTCGCCCATATAATGATAGCGCTCTAGCTCTGTTCCTTGACTGGGTGATAGACTTTGGGAGGGGGCTCCAGGTTAGTTTTGACGATTCCGTCAATATTGCTGTCTTGGTTCGATGTCAGCTCCTGGATCGCACGTTGTCCCACAGGCTGAGTTTCCATAGGCAAACCGGGATCAGAAGACTCTCCACTCGCAGACTCCCAGACATATTTTCTTGCTAGCGGCCGGAGTATTGGAAGAGATGCACAGATAACGGCAAGGTTAGTTTCGATGTTTAACCATATCCACAAATTATACCCAACCCCTATAATTATATTATAAGCGATGAAGTAGATTATAAGCAAGATTTGGCAACCTTACATGTATAATCATATGTTATATAAAAATAAACATATGTATATCCAAGCCGGATTACAGCTGCCGCGCAAGCACTAAATAAATCTGATATTAGTGTCGTGAAAGTCGATGGTGAATAGGGCGCCGCACATACACAAGACCGAGGCTCATAATAAGAATAAGGACCACCTTTTCACGACGAGGAAGATACATTCTGTATAGTGTCGGAATTGGTATGGCCCAAATAATGATATCAGTAACAATATGTGGAACTGAGCCACTTATTATACGGGTATTATTATCTATGCAGTTGCGCCGCAATGGGTCCTTCCAATAATTTGACAATGGCCTATAGGAGATTAAAAAATGCGTATAAAATACTATAATGGGGATTTAAAAAGGCATACTTGCAAACAACGAGTAAAGGGATCATAAATCCTAAAATTATGGCTATTAGCAAGTATCAGAACATTGCAATGTTGGAACCATACCTGTCCCCCATACTACTACTAGATGGATACTAACCCATACAATCCGTTTTAGATATCTGGTTGAGTTTGCAAATCGGAGATATGAAACTAGGATAGACACCTTTACGGCTGTAGTAACAATCAGAGAAAACAACTGACTGAACCAACTTGTCTGTTAAAGTAAGCCTATAGGTACCTATTTAGGAAAATCAACGCAGCTATTACCTTCCAAGAAGTCTCGCGCCATTCGGGTCTGTTATCCCAAATATGATAGCCTTCCATTCAGGTTCAAACATCAGTAACACTGCGCTATAGATAAGAATCTGGCGAATCTTACCCCATCCATGGTAGACGCCTATTATATTTGAGGCGGTAAGGGCAGCTGCGAAAGGCTTACACGTAGTAAAATGTCAGCCGTCCTCAATCGTCGGTTTGTGCACAGGGCCGAGAACTCTTACCAATGTAGCTACTATGAGCCAATCATCCCATCCAGCATTCTTCTTTATCCGAAGCCGTACATACATTCGCAAGACCACAACGATATAAGAAAGGGAGCAAAACGTAAGGGTAACTATCACCAACTGCGGCCCCTGGTACTCAGGGTCAACATAGTTGGGTTTTGGCCACGAGGCAACTATCTCTGGACTTGGCCGCATATTGTTTGACTGAGCGAAAAGCGGCTTCTAGTAACGGAGATATGTGGGTATAGAGCATTTATATCTTCATCACGCGTGCTGCGCCCCGCGAGTGTAGAACTTCATGGTTCAAGAGCAGAGAGGAGCAGTTGAAAACCACATCGCCGCGCCACTAACTTACCCTGACAGAACTTGTGAGCCGATCGTCAGTTGACTATCAGCTCCACTTTCTCTCGCTTATTTAATACAACTTGTATGGCTTCAGAAGACTCGAAGAAAAGGCGTTCAGTTCAAATCGCCTCGGGGCTGCATCGTACATACTACTATGTATGTCGTAGCTGATAGTAAAAAAGGTAGCGCTTCTTGAGCCGCTGATCTCGCCAAGCATTTTCGCAGTTTGTTCTTCTCGCCGACCGTAAAAAGTTCTTCCGTGATAAAAAAAAAAAAGAAGCTTTTGATTTCAAGTCCGCCGATGGTCAATTGGGTCTTAAGAAGCCACGGTAATTGACACGCTGATGGATTATATGCCTGCAGCTGGGGAGTCATCCTCGCAAGTACAACGACAGGTTAGGTTGCGGCTCACTTCGCGCCATGCAGAGCTCGCGCTGCCGGAGTCGACGGGTCCTATCCTCGTTCCTACCGGTACATCATCTCACACATCTTTGCCGTATCATTATGTACAATATAACAGTCGCTAACTGGTATGCCTCTCTCATCATCAAGACCTTCGACGATATGCCCTGTCCACGCTTGTGAATAACCTGCTCGAATTGCCGAAACCAGTGCCTTTTGAATTTTTAATCAATGGGCGGTACCTCCGAACATCCATAGACGATTATCTCACTGCCAATGGCATTTCGGCAGAAACGGTTCTTGACGTCGAATATGTTCGAGCGCTTATACCCCCGCTTCATGTTGCCTCTTTTATGCACGATGATTGGGTGAGCGCAATTGATGTTTTGTCTGGAACGTCCCCCGCTGTGCAATGGGGCGGAAGTGAGATACAGCCAGGAAAGGAGAGGATATTATCTGGTAGCTATGATGGTCTGCTGAGGATGTGGAATATGTCTGGGGAGACGATTGCTGTCTCTTCGTCTGCTAGCAATGGCGGTCACACTTCCTCGATTAAGGGAGCTAGGATAATATCACCGGGCCTGGTTGCATCGTGTGGCATTGATCGAACTGTGCGATTATGGAAATACAGTGAGAGCGAAGACGGATTATCCGCGTCGATAGCGCCTCAGATTGAATATTATGGGCACACGGGCAGTGTGGATTCTATTGCTGTGCATCGCCCATCGAATAGGATTCTTTCTGCCTCTGCTGACCATACCGTTGGGTTCTGGTCCACAAAAAAATCCGAAAGTCCTGAGGCAACTTCCGAGCTATTACCCTCCAGTGCCGCAAGGGCTGCCAAAAGGCGAAAAGTCAAATCGTCTATCAGTGTCCCCCAACGAGGGCCACTAGCTTTACTGGAGTCTCATACTGCACCTGTTTCTGCCGCCATATTTGACGCCAAAGACCCAACCGTTGGGTATTCCACTTCTTGGGATCACTCACTTCGCACCTGGGATCTGGTTACTTCTGCCCTTGTTGATACGCGAACTACTTCTTACGCACTTCTATGCGTTGAACACCTACCACAGCTCACATTACTTGCGGCCGGTACTGCTGCTCGGCATATTACCATGATCGATCCTCGTGATTCAGCGACGACAGTTTCTGCTATGACCTTGAGGGGCCATAGCAATATCATTGTTTCTCTGGCTCGAGATCCGAACAGCCAGTACGGGTTGATCAGTGGTAGCCATGATGGGACATGTAGGATATGGGATATACGGTCCACGAAGACGGAGCAGGACGGCGTGGCTGGGGAGAGCATATACTCTATTGCACGAAAGAGTGTCGAAGACAAAGGAAAGCGTGTTGGCGGTGATGGCGTTAAAGTGTTTGATGTCTGCTGGGATAAAACAGTGGGGATTGCCAGTGTTGGCGAGGACAAGGCAATCCAAATAAACCGGGGAGAGAGCATTCTCCCGAAGGATGCGGTATCAAAATAATAGACAAAAGAGAATTAATAAACTAAGCTGATATTTCTATCCTCTTGGCGATTTGGTTACCTGTATTCAATCAACACCACGGAAGAAAGCAATTTGTATACTGTTACATGCCCAATACCCCCATACAATAGCCCCTCACAAAATGAAAATAAAGACATCTGCAGTGCGCAATCATAACTGTCTATCTATACGGTTGAATTTAATCGCGGATTTAATCTACCACGGTTGTCAGCAATCGCCCAAACGTAGTAACCAAAGAACATACCTGGCTCCTAGTGTTCTGTCCTCTGACTGGCAAGTTGAGAGCATGTCTTCTTCCTCTATATGTTCCAGTGTCCTTTAATCTCTTAATGTTGTCCAGTATCTCTCGCTTCAGATCATTTTCGATTTTCATGTTTGACAATGCACCGGTCAGATCCAGTACTTGTCTGGTAGCTAGCTCACCGACGGTAGCGGTGGGGTGGATGTGGAATCGTGCCATGAGCTGATTGCATCGTAGTTCACCTATGCCGAAGAACGAGCGTAAAGCTTTCTGTATGGTTTGACGGGTTAGAATTGGGTCCTTGGATATTTGCATGTAGTTGAACTTGCCCTTACGAGCTGCCGCTCGGGAAAACTGGTGCCTAAGATGAAGACCTGGTCATGCGAGTTAGTTGGTAATAGAGAATTGAGTAGATAAAAGGCTCCTGACGTACCATGACGGCGGATATAGTTCTCCTTGCACGCTTCCTGCTGGTCTTCAGACGTTCACTTCCTTTTTTTCTTGAAGAGCCGTTTTTCCAAGCTTGGGATCAACGATTGTGGCTAATGACCGGAAATATATTTCTCCGTACTCCGCTATCCATTACGCCCCCGACCACCATTGAAATGTCCACTTCTACTATTATGCTACGATTCTCTATAACAATATTTTTAAAGAACATTACTATAGCTACTATTGAGTATTATGCGTGACTTATCCTTTTGCCTCTAACCCAACCCATAGCCTATATGGGCAAATAGGGTAGATTTGAGAGAGCCCAACCTATAATTATTGGGTTGAGGTAGGGGCCCATTATACACAGATATTCCCCGTTCCCTATCTCTTATGCTCATCCATATCAGCCAGTTGCTCGTGGGGTTCTTGCTTCCGCCTGGTTGTTATGCTTCTGAGGGCAGGGAACCCACAACAAATAATGCCTATCATCGTGCCCACGGCCGATAGAAGCGACATATAGCTATTCGAATAAGAGAAGTCCTGAGAAACGGCATTATACAACGCTTTTATTCGGAGACCAGAGACTACCAGCACGCTTTTGCTCGTTGTTAGTACCTGCAGCTTCCGACCAAAGCATGGATGGAGAACCTACATTACCCCAACATCTAAGAGCGCGATTACTTCGAGACGGCTGCGGAAAGAAAGGCGTAACATCATTATCTGCCAGGCGGGGATTGCCAGGATGGCAACGTCGAGGGCTAGTCCGAACGACTCAAATACCATAAACGATATCATCTGGTTACCGCATGTGCCTGGAATGGTTTTATCCCAGCTGGCCGCAAACGGCCGGCACATCAAGAATACTTGAAGCACTGAGGCGATGGCCAACAGGCCACTTAGTAGCATAAGTATGGCCAACAGCCGGAAGCGGTCGCAAACCTTGAAAATTTTGCGAAGGAAGAGACAGGCTGCGATGCGCATCAGGCTATTAACGATGCTCCATAATGCCTCAGAAACGAGCAGCGACTATAGCAGCTGTTAGCGTGTCTTCTCATTGCAATATAACTATACAGGGTGCTGAAAGATACCTTTGCCATATGATCCAACTGCGCGGTTGAGATATCCTGTTCGTGCATGCCTTGGCCCTCGTCTACAATAGCCCATGTAGACAGTGTGACGAGGATGGTGGCCAGGATAAACGATACTATGACGAGGGCGACATCAAAGCCAACTTTCCTATACACAAAAACACTTAATGCAGTCGAAAGAAACCCGAGTACAGTTAGCGTCCAGCTTGTAATGAGCGTCCATTTCGCAAGAGGAGTGTATTCAGGCATGCCGATAGCTCTAGTCGTTCAGACACATGAAAGTGGTATTCGATCCGTAGTGAATAGCTAGTCAAATAGATTTATTGTATAACTCGCTGAAGAAAGTATTCATTAAGCCTACACCAGGGCTGCGGTACTCTCAAAAACGCGGCGCAGCGATATATATATGCGACGTCCATGGCTGTGGGAGCCACAAAATAATGCACGAAGCCAGGGAGTCTGGTTTGGGACGCATCTAAGCCACTGAGTGTGCCTAAAGAGTGAGAACACAGGCGAGAGCACACAGGGCTGAGAAGCAAGGCGAACGATATATACCCTATACCTTTGTGTGAGATGCTGACTATTACAACCATCGTGGTCCTTTGGGGTTTGTTGGCAGGGTTTTTATACAGACTTACTGCCGACTAAGGTTGCAGGTAGATCATTTTTCTTGATTTAATATTATACTTAATAGCTTAATTAGCTTATATATTCTACCTTTAAGATATTTAATACAGACTTATTATATTTAAGCTCTTTAAGCTTACGAATGTATATATTTTATACCCACTAGTTACTCCGTAGCCCTGTTCTATTCACGCTGCCACATCGCTCAACGGCCACTTTGATCAAGACATGACCACGGTTACATCTCAGCCATGTCAAGCATATACGTAGCATAGCCCTGTTCGATGCATCAAGAGTATGGAGTAAACCGGAGTGTTGCTAAATGTGCTAACATAGGTGGTGACCTTTGGCTACAATTTAGATGGCCTTTATGGTGAGGTTTTGGGCAGGTAACTAGCCGCTTTATCGCCGCTTGAGATTTAGGATATAACCACCCAATAGTAGCTTTTATAGAAACTACCTCTAAGATATATTTATAGGCTGGTATAGGCGTCTTGATGTGTTTTGCGCAACGCTAACTGGATCACCTAACTACATTGCAGCTGGGCAAGTATTGACAATTTTATGGCTAGTCACCGGCCAGCACTGGTAAGCAAAACTCTATGAGAGATAAAGGATGCACTTACGTTCCAGCCAACCCAAAGAGTCCTATCTTAAGCCAGGCAACTTCTCGAATGATGTATTTATGTGCCTGGGCTAGTCGGTAGTTGGTTATTTATTCCCTAAGTTGAAGGCGACTCCTTGATAACTACATTTGTGAGAGTCTAGGGAAACTTGGTGCTTGTAGATAGCCCAACGAGGCGGTTCTCACCAAAGTCAAGGTTGCGGTTTTCGTAGTGTGCGACGTCCGTTTTTATAGTATTAAGAACCGTGGGTGTATGCTCGCCGCAAAGTACGGATACCTCAAGAGAATGAGAAAAAGCGTCATTGCTAAGTAATTGGAGCTGCTCGGGAGTAGCAATATCGCTAGCAACATAACGAGGATCAGCCAGCATAAAGGCGATGCGTGCAGTATGTTCAACATCGGGGATAATGTAGGAGATGCTATTAGACATGTACTTCACACTCCATTCAGTATGGAGCGCAGTATGGTATACCGCGTCGTTGAAGTGAAGGAGGGTTGGAAACACGTGTCACTCGTTGTATAAGGGCATCAATATATAACAATAGGGGTATAGTATGTCATGCCTTGCTTGAATCCTTTTCCAGAACTTGGGGGTATCTGAATACGCAACAATAGAGTCAATAACCTTGGTAGTGAAAGGAGCAGCGCAAAAAGTGGCTATCGTAATATCAACAGCATCATTTCATGACGGATTGCAGGACATCCCAGGGCGGCCGGCCTCGCTACTACCTATGGAGAGCTCAATTCGAACCCAGAGAGGGACACTCGCCGGGCAGAGGCGATTGGGCATTTGCCCAAGAGGCCACAAATGGCCATAAATGGGGAACCGCCGGCGCGCTTTCGAAAGCCGGGCGACCCGTTTACCACGCGCGAGACGACAAGGGAAGAGAGCAGGCCTATGTTTGTAATATATTCTTTCGGGTATAGCTAGTTGGATGCGGGGTATCACCCGTGGACGGGATTGTTTGGATAGGTAGTTATTGGACGTTTTTCTTAATTTATAAGAGAGATATCAATGATGTCACTGGGTCGCCACCCGCTCCCACGATATAAAGGGGCTTGCAGTTGGTCGAGAACACCTGGGGATTATCATATAGTAACGTCCTAACTTTGATGCGATGCCTGTGGCTACGAGGAGAATAAGCGAAAGGGGGCGTCAGGGGGAGGAACATACGTACAATGGCATTGAAGACCGAGTCTCCAAGGGCGTCATGATGTATCCTGTGTTTTGTACCGCCAAAATACCATCAGAGGTTCGATATATATCTGTGGGTACCACTAAAGGTTGACTCTCAACTCACTTACCTTCTAGATTCTTGACGAGTTTATCGACGAGTCATATGCAGGAATAATAGATACCATTGGTGAGGACGTCTCTGATCCTGGCGCGTCTCCATGTATTCTTCAAACAACCGACCTAGACTCAATCACCCACGGCTCCCGCAAGCCAATGCCAGACTTCGAGTCTCCCTTTCTGAACTGGACGGATAAACAGGTCCGAGATTGGGCAACGAAGGAGTCAAGACTTGAGCGCTCCTCTATTGCAACAAGAACGTTTACTATTTTTGATCAAAATACAATTAATAATAAGGTATGCCGGGTAGGATATATTAGCATTTATAAAGAAGATACAGATTCTCGAATGTTAAACGAAGTATTTTATGCGGATATAATGGTAAGGGTCCCTTTAGAAGAGGCCGAGATATTCTGGGAAGAAACATTGTCGGGGGTAGATGGGGTGTTTGACCGGAACGCGATTGACGAAGAGCGTGCAATGGTTGAACAAAGCCGTAAGGAGCTTGAGCAGGGGAAAAGGAAGTAAAGATTGATTGTCTTGGGGGTATATTCGGCTTGTATGTAAAAGGTTGAATAGTGTTATATTGGATTATCTTGATGAATTGAAGGTTGACTTGGTATAATCTTTGGTTGGTCTAGCTGTAATCGAGAAAGAAGCCTATCATTCATGGGTTAACTACTGCGGGTGGCAGCTGTGTTACCGCCGACGGAATAATACGGGGAGAGTAAGGTAGACACAAAAGGGAAAAATAAGTGTCATATCTGGTTTCCAATGACGCCATTACCGTCGAGGGAACAAACCATTCTGAATTTGGGAAATGTTCACTCAATTTGACGATAAATATCTGATGTGCCTTGGATTTTGGTAGTTATCTAATCACTCGGTTGTTAATTATTGTCAGAATCTGCCATTCGGCCAAAAATGCGAGCCCGCACCAATTGGCGGCAGAGAGACTGGTTATATTTGACAATTACTCACTAAACACTCTCAACTGATGAATCATAAATTAAGAAAGCTGTAATGAAAGGAAGAGTAGGATATCGGTACAATAGTAGAAAAATTTCCTTGACCCTTGCGGCGCCATCGACGAAGATGGAACACTCTCAACTGAAAGGACCGTCTTGGAAGATGCACAGTGCTTCTTCACACCATCCCTTTCGTCGCCGACAGACTGTTTTAAAGACACTGCAGCCTTTTCGGTGTTGCCGTCTTTTCCACTCCGAACAAGCCACATGCGCACTGATATATATATCGCCGACAGATCAAGGTACATGCACACATGTACATGATCCTGTCGCCTGTTTTCTCCATCACCTTCAATTATATGCGGAGATCTGTCAGAATCGCCGACATGCTACCTAGCCATCCTCATCCTTCTCTGCAATCCCTCCTCCTGGTTATTCTAATATCGCGCAAACAAGGGGTCCGCCCATGGTCTCCCATATCAACCATCACCTCTTATGGCGCTATTCACTCCCCCTTTGAAGGGGGCTGATACTGATGCAACCATATAAAGTATCTCTATTTGCGCCATTGACGTACATATTGTCGGCTGAGGAGCTGTGACCATGCGCCCACTGCTATGACTGCGGCAGGTAGCATTCGCCACATAAAGTGCAGACAAAGTCGTCCTCGGGCGGAAAGGAATTATTTGGCCAGGGGATAGATATATAGTACTAGGTCAGAAATCACCACACCACCCCCACGCCAGTACATGCAGCAAGGTATATAGGCGAATTTAAATAATTAATAACTCAGCAACCAGATACGTAATTGTAATAAAATAGAGCTTAAATAATAGAGAAAGAATATAGTAATATATAAATAACCCAAGATAAGGAAAAAGAGGAGTCTCTAATACTTTATTTGCTACCTATTAGTATTAATTACTACTTAGACTCGACGTAGTACACTATTAATAAGGGTATCGAAGAATTTATTCGGTATAGCTTCCTAGAAGCCCTAAATAGCTTTATATAAGTTTTTCTAGTTTTAACTCTTATATTAAGGTGGTGTAAATGGTGTCGTTATATCGTATAGATATAGCTCGCCAAGATAGGTGGTGACTTACCAAGCTGTGGATAGAACATCTTCCTTGGCTTTATATAACATGAATTCAATCGTAGAATACCATCGCGCGGCCCTCGATACTCTCTCGTGGTGGTTCTTGCTCTGATGCTAGAGAATTCCAGAAAGACGCATGTGGAACACCTGGTTTTGTCGTGTTAGGCTGTATGATCTGCCATTGTTGAACCCTTTGACCTACCTGGACAGGCTGATCTCAACGAGTCCATCTGCTTGAATACGATGATCTCATTCGGGTCGTGATCGCTCAAGTAGTACCACTTGAGCCCATCCCTATAGTACAGGATGCTATTTTCTGTCGCAAGGTTCGGGTAAAGTAAGTCCGCTATCGCCAGATCCTTGCGAACATCAATCAAGGATGAGTCGCAGAGTACTAGAGGCCAGTCATTTAGGGGGCCTCGAAGCGGCTTCCAGAAGCTTCCGGCAACGACAATCAGCATTGTAGTTTGTGAGATATAGAAGTCTAGGAGCACCTTACTTGATCCATTGGAACCGCTTCTTCAGGAGGTCGTCTGCCTCTTTCCCGTACTGGCGCCGTATTTCATCTATCGTTCCTTCACGGCTTGTGTCTAGTCTTAGGGTTGAGTGACTGTGTTGAGAGATAATAACACACATAGAAGTAGAATCATACCTACATGAGCTACTGTAGTTGGCTGATCATATTCGTACGTCGTTCCATCCGATATCGGATACATGGGGCTCCGTTTTCGTATCTAAAGGGGTTTATTAGGAAACAAGCGTCAGAGAGAGTAAGGGGATAGATAACATGTACACCATGACGAAAAATATCCACCCGACTGGCACCGAGATGAAGCTTTAGCACTCTCTCCATCAACTGAAAGTACTGTGAGATTCCCTTCTGTTCGAAAAAGCTGTCGTACTCCAGGCCTGTGTTGACCTTTAGAACAGTGAAGCCATTGCGCTCGAGCTGGAACTGCTCTTCTCGTCCCCGCATATCCTCAACGGTAATGCCATCTATTTTCTGGTGGACCATGTTGCTCTGAGGGCATCCATTGTTGGGTGGGAATTTGAACGTATAAGGCCGCTGCTGCTTGTGCAATTCGTCTGGCGTCAAGAAGAACAGGCTGGCCTGAACTGTTGTGTAAAATTCTCCCATCGAAAAGAATATTGTTTCGCTTATTCGCTATCAGGTCTGTATTCGGTCGCAGCGAGGATGAAGAGCAAAAATGCCGTGGTGTTTGCGTTATCTCGAGCGATCTTAGCATCAGAGCTCTTAATTCCCATTCGGACTCTGGACTATGGGTACTTCCTCCATGGGATCCGACCGTCCGAGGTGTGAGGCAACATATCTTAAAGGGAAGTCAAGTCGATGCAAGTAATCATGTCCCAGCAGCCTCATCACGCCATGGTGGATCATGACGTGGCTCCAGAACGGCTCCATCTTTATTCTCTTGTCTAGGGCAGGGGCCTTTGTGGAATACATACATATCAAAACTTTACGCCCAGTTAAGTTATGTCTGTTTTCTTCGTGATCGTGTAAAACAGGTTGGAACACAAGGTTTACGCCATCATGAGGATAGTAAGAGTAGTGATTGCATACGCAGGGTATTTTTAAGTATACCTTCTTCGGCTCCGGACGGCACGGATCGAAATTCAAATTTATAATGATACAATACTTGGGTACTTTGCTACCACTCAATGCCACTCATATGGCGATTTCATGCGGGTGGGAGCATCTCGAAACACGTAGTTGTCCGTGATTCGCTACATCATTTCTATCAATAAATCATACATACTACATACCATGTAGTATGATTCAATTGTCGAAAAATATCTGTGGGTCTTAGATGCTTCCCCGCACACCTCGCATGGAAAGAAGAGAATGTACAGTGCTCTTCTCAGCTGCCCTATCCACCCTCCTGACCACATATATATCGAAGTTCTCCCTCCCTGAGAGCCCATCATAATATTGTCAAGATCAGTAAAACTCCCCATTAAGCAGTGAATGACCATCATATCAAGTGGTATGTACATCTTGAGATTGGGTTCAATAAGCAACCTTGTTCCTAACCTTAGTTTGGTAGATATCGAAATGAGCTCTCTTCAGAATCACCCTGACGTTACCAACGATCCGGTCTCAGGAGACGAGACAGTTGAGCATGTCGCCTCTGAAGACGAGGAGGCTGGGGCCGAAGACACTCGTGTGCAACCCTGGAAAGGCTTCTGGCCACCCCCTCCTAGCGGCAAATCTGGATTCCCATACGATGTGAAGCCGGGCGATATTGTTACCATCGGCGGCAACTAGAAAGAGTACAATGCATTGAAGAATTCCGCTGAGAAAAGGGGAAACGATTCTGAGAAGCATGCATTACATCAATGATAATTTTGTGTTTCTTTCTGGAAATTCTGTCGTGGCTGCTTCTAGATCACTCTTTACAGAATGAAAAATAGTTAACCTTCCCACTGATATAATATGTTCCAATCTAAGTGCATACTCTGAAAGCTCAATCACTCTTCAATGTGTTTCTCTCTAAATAGAGAGTTCATTGAAACATTCTCCGACCTGTTTTGACTTCACAAGGCCTGCCAGAGCTCTCAAGGACGTTCTTCATTGTGTTGATCAATGCCATGTCAAAGCCTTAGAGTAATGTTAGTTTTCCGAAAGTCAAGACGGGGAATGCAAATACTACCTGGTTTTCCCAAAATAGAAATGACAACTGGGAGTTTCTCGTCCAAATTGCTGATACGAGAGCGATATTCTAATTCACCAACTAGTTTTGTCATTGGATTTTCAGTATTTCAGTTTGGGTTTCCTGGTAGGTGATATCATACTTGGAATTGAAATTTCGGGAGCCCCCATCACTGGTGCTAGCCAGATGTTATCAAATGCATTTGGCGCGGTCGGTGGTCTTGAGATCCATGAGCGATTTCCAGTTAGAATTAACCTTGATTTAAACTCACGAAGGCGGGTCCTCTCTATAGTCCACTTCCTGGCTAGTGATAGGAAGGGCGATGAGAGCATTTCTCTTTCTTGTCTGCAGTATAAACTCCAACAGCCATTCTTTATATACTTCAAGTCGTCTTATTCCTTCGGCATGCTCTTCACTTGAGATATGCTTGGCAAGGTCCCTCCATGTCTGTCAGCAAACGCCCGATAAGTGTGTAGGTTGCGGGTATTGACAAACCATCGAAAACGAGTGACCGGATTAACATAAGGCTCCCGGCCAAACTTTTTGTGATATTCCTCTCTGAAGATATCCATTGTGTGATAAACATTGTAGACAAATGTGGTGACCCCAACCTAAACCTCATCATCAGCAAATAGTCTCTTCCGGAGGAGCAGAGTAAAATCTATGATGGGGCTCACATCTTTTAGGTACTCCTGAACCGAGATGTTAATAGCCTCGTTTGGTGGAGAAGTTTTCCACGTATCAGCAATAGAAACCTTTTCTGTTTTTATGCCTAATGTGGCCTCCATGTCATCAATGAATGAATGAATCAGTTGCATCTGTGCGGCGTTCTGTACTGGCAGAAAATCTACAGGGTAGACAATTGACATCGGAAGCTAAAGATGTTAATGATTTGTACATCCTGTCTGCCGTTGCAACTTACACCATCATAGGTAGCACTCGTCTGGTTAAGCCAAACGCTGACCCATTTTTCCAAAGAGAGAATACTTCTGGCGTACATGGCAAGTGAATCAAATCTCCTGGGTGATATGTTAGCCGACTTAATCTGCAAGGCAGTCCCAGAACGTACGGGAAAGAAGGTACTGAATTGTCCAAGGGGATCAAATCATGAGTAAGGCGGATCTGGAAAGCTCCATTTGCCATCGCGGGCCGGCGACTACTTCCCGTTGCTGTTGCATAGATGTCAACTCAACGATTACTCTAGTGTTATTGTATGGAAGCTAAACCTACTGTCGGTACCAAGGGTGAAGTCTATCCAATCATAAGAAGCAATAGCCGCGCCACTTCCACCGCTGCTACTCCAGGCCGATTGGTAGCCATCTGCTCGCGGGTTGAATGGTGCATGATAATCGACAGATTCTGTAGGCTCCTCTCGGGCGATCAGCGAGCCTAGTTTGAGAGTACCAAGGAGCTCAGCCCCGGCATCAATCAGTCGCTTAATCGCCGGGCATGTTTTCGTTGCCGGATTGAAGAGGCTGTAGTAAGCTCGATTCCCTGCTGTTGTCCGGAGGCCTTCAACTTCGAAGATGTCCTTGATGGCAAATCTTACCCCACTAAGGGGTTTGCCTACTGCGTGGGCTCCCGCAATACGGGAGCCCACCGCTACTCCGAGGCTTGTATAGAAGTCCCCGCTCGCATGGAGGTTTTTGAAAGGCCTGTTCAAGGTTAAGGTTATTAAAAGATAGTTTATATTGTGGGTGTTTTCCGGCAATATTTACGTACCCTGGTGTAGACTGAGGCTGGATGGCAACCATGAATGCCCCATTCACGTCATCATGCACTCTGTAGACAGAGAAAAGTTTCCCCTGCGAGACCATGTGAGGGCCTGCGCGTAGCTTGCTGTTAGTCTCCTGCTTAAAGGTGATCCACCAATCTGGCTTCCATTCCTTGGGCAGGCTTCCGATAGAAGCTGACAGGTCCGACTGGCTACTGTTGTTTTCTGTCACGAAAATCATGCCGGTAAGGAATTCTGGTTTGAATACATCGTCTATACGTAGCCAGGTCTGGATTTGATCTTGGAGCCAGGTTGGACTCGGTCTCTCCGTGGCATTCAGCCTAAAAACAGTAGCAAGCGAGGGGAGAGCAGTCGGTGGGTCGAGCTGTGTTTCATGAGTTAGCTGAACGCCTCATTGTTCAATAGGGGGGAGAGACACGCCTCCAACTCTGGTAGTGCGAGGAAGCGCTTGTCTTCTAGCTGGAAGAAGGTGTGATTCTCAGGCACTGGGACGGTCGCCATGGCGTACTATTTAAGTGTCCTGGTGGAAATGGATTAGTCGAACGGTTGAACTATTCCCTCTATCGTATAGAGCCTTTTCAAAAATCTACTATGAAGTGTAGTGTTAGCGGATCTGATGCGAGGGAAAGTCAGATCTTAAGGATGCGCCTATCCGTGCCAACGTGCCCGTTAACGGGCGCTTGGCACGAGTAGTGAGCGGACCCGCCCGTGCCCCGACCCCACCCACATGAACTCCATATGTACCCACACAACTGCAACCGACAACAAAACGCGATAAATTAAGCCAACTTGGCTTTTATGGAGATATGGTCCGATCATTATCGCAGTCGACGGGTGAAATCCCCGAACAACAACATAAAGAAGCCCAGGGCGTTGAGCGATTGGAGAAAAGGCGGCGTGAGTAGTGACCACTGTTCGATACGAAGTATGGAGTGCTAACTACTGCCATTAAAGGCCGGCCTTATACACGGGATGAATATGCGCAGGCGGTTCTGTTATATTCACAACTATCTGTGACACAGTCCCTGTACGCGGGATTTCATTTTGAGAATCTGGCCCGTTACTTGCAGCAACCACACGAGGCACAGATACCGGATTTGGTCGGCAACCACCACGTCGCGCCCAATGATCCCGGGTTCAACTTCGTCACTTTCTACAATCTCGATCCCTCTGCAACAATACGAGAAAGTTATATGAATTCGCCGGACGTCTTTGAGAGCAAGGCAAAGGAGCTGGCTGATTCTCCCCATGGTCGCTTAATATTCATGAAGGGCTATCCATCCCCAGAATGGCTGTTGGCCATTGGCGCAACATATCAGGTGGATCCTGAGTTTTTTCGGAGGCATCTAGACTTTCGCCATGGCATGCGAGACCATTATTCGTTGCCCTCGCTGCCATCCACACTGAGTACTGCATTGACACTTCGTGTAGCAACAATAGGTGCATCAGTCGCAAAGACGAAAACAGACCATGAGCAAGGCACCATAGAAGCACTCCGCGAAGAGAATAAACGAAAGCTCGACGAGTACCGGGAAAACCCCAAAAGTCTGACCCAAGCCAAAGTCGGCGACTCAATAGTGCGGGACATATCCATCCATGACCTTCAACAATTCTCTATTGAACAAGATATCTCGCTATACGTCGGGACGTGTGGGACAGGATGGTTTGGTAAGTGTTTATCGATATAAGGCTTCATCCTTAATAAATACTAAATTTATTCTTATGGCTCAAGCTTTGATCTGGCTTGACACAGCCAATGACCTGAGACGGAGTGCAACATCTTTCCTTACCAGCCCACTGCGCACGGGATCCTGGATGATATCCTCGGTACCTGTGATACAGCATCGCCCAGATCTTGTCCTTAGACTGCCTCGCAAACTTCGGGGACGTGCTGCAGAAAAGGTCGACTTGAATGGGCCCAAGCCCTCGGAGGGTATAATGCAAAGTGCATGCCTTCTTCATCTTGACTATGGTCTAGACCTGGACAAAACTCTCGCAGCAGGGAGTAGCTTCTACGCCCTCCACGAAATCCTGATGTTTACAGCCTTTTCGGAGAATCAGTTTCTCAACATGCTTGAAACCAAGTTACAGAAAGAACTCGACCCCGCGTTTCTGATCCGACAGAGTACCCCGACATTGTCTAACCTACTCTACAACCAACGGATTTTGGACCGACACATCCAACGAATTAAGGATAATCTAAACACATTCAGAGGCAAAGAATCTTTAGCTTGCTCTAGAGCAACATTCGAGCCAGAAAAGCAACAAATTATTGACGATATGACTAAAAAGCTTATTCATGATTTTGAATACCTTCTTTCACGATCATTGACCTTGTCAGAGCAGTGCAGTCGCGGCATGCAGGTTGTCATGAATAATACTATGATCAAGGAGTCCCGCGACGCTATGAATCAGGCCGAAGGTGTGGTGAAGCTCACACGCCTCGCTTTTATCTTTGTGCCGCTATCTTTCACTGCATCCTTCTTTGGAATGAATTTTGCTCAATTTGGACAAGGAGACCTCAATATATGGATATGGTTCGTTGTTTCAACGCCTATATTTATCATTTCGCTGTTATTGATGAAGTATGGATTCACTCTCAACTTCTTGAGAGCACCTAGTAAGTGAAATATGCAAGCCCATTACTTGATACCTAGCAATAGGTCGAGTTGATATGGAGAAAATGAAACCTGCTGGCTGCGCTAGGTCCTAGAGTTAGACGAAGAGATCAAACTCATATATAGTGAGAATTTCCATTTAGTAACTCTAGTCGTTTTATGGGCTCAAAATAAAATTTCAGGCCTATTTTAGGCTTTTCCAATAAGATTAGGAATGTCAGACTCTTGGATAAAATACGGGGCAGCATGGCTTACCTACGCATGATGTCTCACGAATCTGTCGCATATCCACTTATTTTCACTTATTCGCCTCGAATGTTAACCCCGCTATTTACTGACACTTAGTTTGGAGACATTAACCAACATCCAACTCTCTCAATTTATTCGACCCACAGCAACGGAGCGATACTAGAATCATGCCGCTACAGAAGCTTCGACTGGTTCAAACACGGGACGGGAATTCCGCTAAGGGGAATGTTGAGTAAAGCTAAACTTCAACTCTTATTTTCTTTGGCCTAGAATCCACCGCATCTAACAAACTCTTCTATTAGTATCATACTTGTTGCCGGTATTAATATGCCCTCTGTTCGAGAATGGTCAATTTTGTCGCAGCAGTGGACGTCATTTTTCGAGTCGACGGATTCCTGTGTCAACATCTTCACCTTCGACTATGATATTACGCTTGACAACAATTTCACGTTTCAAACACTGTTAGATGAGGGACATCGATTGCTAGCAGCTCTCAGTCAGCACCAGCAGAGGGTGTGTGTTTTCCACCAGCACAGAATTTCCATAATGAAAGTAACATTAATGCCATAAGTCATAGAATATGCGACCCTTTATTTTCGTGTGCCACAGTCTTGGGTCATTTATTGTCAAACAGGTAGCTGCTGCCTTCTTCTGACTGATTATATTCGATATTAACTTGTTAGGCGTTGTGTGTCGCCAATGCCCAAAAGCATTCCTACTCGGCGATTCTCAACTCTGTCTTAGCAATTATGTTCTTGGGAGCTTTACATTTGCCATCTGCTCCAGAAAAACTCTCAGAGCAGTACAATCTCATCCTTCGATCAATCTCTAATGATATATCTAAGCAAGGATTTGCTCGGATAGCAAAAGAGTCCTGGCTTCTTGCCAACATTTCCAAGCTCTTCGGCGACATTGAGATGCAGGTAGAGATTCTCTCATTGTACGAGACAGAAGAGACACGAATCCGTGTCGGCATGATGGACGGGAAAGGCCTTTTCAGTTCCCACCGGAGCTTTATGGTATGTCTAAATATCCCGCTCAATGCGCTTTGCTGACTAGATCGCCATATTTTAGCTCTCGGGACCTGAAGTATCAAATATCGGTGCCATTCGAGAGCAGCAGTTTAGACTCGCTGGGACGCATATCGAACTCCCCAGGCTCCAGCAGCCCGATGGACAGCCTCATCATCAGATACAGGAATGGCTGCGATTTGTACTGAGTAATAGCTACAGACAAGCAGCTGAACGCATTCTCAGTCCAGGTAAGCATAACATGCACAACTTAAGGCTTCATGCCTTTTTTGAATTGATTATTCACGCTAATATTGGATCCTGAAATAGACGCGCCAAGTCCAACTATTAGTTTGACAAGTTTGTCCTCATATGATGCAGCCAGGATTGGTATAGCCCCGAAGTCCCAGAGTTGTCAGGAATACACGCATGAAGCTTACAATAAGATTCAGCTTTGAAAGGCAGTAATTGTCAGCCAACCACGGCTAACTCTGCAACTAATGAAGCTACGGCTGGGTCTTCAATCACGAAGGAATGGCAGCTGGTTCCAATTTTGGATGGCTTCAACACTCCGAGGCGCTTGGCAAAGTTGCCTTGTTTCATGATTGATATACCAGTTCGAAACAACACATTTTTCGGCAGGGAGTCTATCATTCAAGATCTAGACAAATTGCTACTACCGCCGGAGAGGCCAACGACATCTTCGCTAGCAAACTCAGACCGACGACATGTGGCTCTCTGCGGTATTGGCGGTATTGGTAAAACATCCATAGCGATTGAGTATGTATTTTCCCGGAAGGAGAAATTCGATGCTATATTTTGGATCCGATCCGATGAGGCCTCAAAGCTTGATCACGGTAATATATTCCAGACTAAACTCCATTCAAGACAGTTTTCTGATTAGAGTAGATTTTTGTCGAATTGCTATGGAGCTTGGTCTTCAGGACACAAGCGAGGCTTTCAACCCTGTTGTATGTCGAGAGCTCGCAAAGGGCTGGCTTGAAAACCCAGTACGGGTTCTTGACCACGAACATGACATCGTCAGCCAAGCGGATGCTCAGTGGCTAATAGTTTTTGACAACGCGGACAGTCCGGATTTATTGCAAGATTATTGGCCATTGTCGTCTAACGGATCGATTTTAGTGACCAGTAGAGATCCCCTCGCCAAGAGCAGCCCCTCTATTTCATCCAAATATATTGATTTGGCTCCCTTGGGAAACAATGAGGGTGCAGAACTTCTTCAGCGACTCTCGCATGTGACTGAAAATGTGGAGGTCTCAGTCAAGATTGCTGCTAAGCTGGGGGGTCTTCCACTGGCTATTTCCCAAATGGCAGCAATAATTCGGTATCAATATCTTTCCTTTCCGGAGTTTTATGAAAGGTACGAAGACGAATCTGACAGACGCGAACTTCACTCTTTAAACATTGTCACTCCTCGGCCGGAGGCTAGAGGGAACATTGCCTCCATTTGGGCAGTAGAACAACTGGGGCCGCATGCAGCATGTCTTCTGGAGGTCTCTGCAATGTTGGATCCCGATTGCATACAGGAGCGGCTTTTTACTGGCGATTTGGGTGCTGTGGGACAGCTAGAGGATTTCCCTAAGACTTCCTTTGCCTACTCCGCTGCGCGCGCTGACCTGATCAAGCGATCTCTTATCACACGCAATGCTGACAAAAGAGAGTTCAGGATCCATCGTGTGCTGCAAGACTCAGTTCTGTCTAAGCTGACTCCTGGAAAGATGCTTCAAACGTTCTCGTTTGCCGTGGACCTTGTTCTAGCGGCGTGGGGTAGTACACCTCTCGTGCAGAGGCATGCCATAAGCCTGGCTAGGAGCCGAGATGGCCTCTTTAGCCATACTTTAGCAATGAGAAGCTTGTTCGAAAAACATTACCAGGCTAAAGTCCACGGGCCAGGCCTTCAGGTTGCAAAACTTATGAATGAGGCAGGGTGGTAAGGGCGAAAACCCCCTTTGTGGCACTCCAATATCCACAATAGTGACTAGTTATATTGTTCTAGGTACCAACACGAGAAAGGAAACTCAGAAGATATCAAACCTTTTCTTAAATTAGCACTGGAGATTTGCAACCAAACTCCTGGTCCAGAATCTGCCCAACTGTTGACTGATATCCACTACGGATTGGCAGCCGCAGCAAACGAGACTAACGATAGGGCGGCTTGTCTCCATCACACCGAGCAGCTACTCAAACTACGCCTTAAGGCAAGTTTATCCACCGGGGTAAAAGACATACGCCTCGCAATTGCACACAACGAATATGGCATTGCTTTAGTAATGAACCACGAATATGAGAAGGCGATCGCAGAATTCAACACTTCCATTGAGGTATACCGCGGATTAGAGGACTACTGGCCATCGATGGACACAAATCCACGCACAAATCTGGGCTTCACATACTGGGTTATGGGAGACCTTGATCAATCTTGGCAGACTCTCCGAGACCTGCTCGATGACCGGGAAACCAAATTTGGTGTTAATGATAGAGAATCTTACAGGTCAGTGTGCTTGCTTTGATGTTACGGAGGCATGAAACTCATAGTACTATCTCGACCACAGAACTGGTAGAGTTTATCATGGGCTCGGAAACATATGCTATGACCGTGGTCTATTTGATGAGAGCTACAATTGGCACCAGAGAGCTCTTGCTCATTATCAAGCCACGCTTGGCAGCAACCATCACAAGACTGCAGATCTCTGTCATCGTGTTGCTAAGCATTGCTTACGACGCCAAGAAAAAGAGTATACTAGGTGGGTTTCCCGATAGAATACAGCGAGTAGAAGTCGTGTCTAATAATCAAACTAGAATTTTAATCGACCAAGCCTTGAAAGTATACAGTTTGAGAGAGTCAATATATCTCCCAGAGCTCGCTCGAACAACGTTTCTAAAGGCGCAGTTTGCCATGAATTCTGGAGATGTCTTGGAAGCTATAGAGCTTTTCAAGAATGCGAAAGATATGAGATCTCAGATACCAGACGCCCCATGCAAGCCGGATGCAAGTCTAAGGGAGGATGATTTCGATCAGCTTGTGACTTTCTTTTCTCGATAAGGCTAGAAGGAGTGCGGGTCATGCCACATCATGTGACCTATTAGATAATACCACGTGACGAATACCTGCCCTAGTATAGCACACTTGTATCTTTATATCGGCTTAAAGCATCCTCGGCAGCTTCAAACCCATATACCTTGGCTAGCTCGGCGGCCGTTAAGCCATCCTCGTCTATGATATCCAATCGAACCGGGTATTGCAGGAGTAGGGTTATTGCTTCAAGATGGCCTCCCTCGATAGCCCGATGTATAGGAGGGCGTCTTCCGTGGTATCCAACCGAGGCGTTAAATGGAGGCTTGATCACCTCGTTGACATCTGCTCCTCTATCCAATAGTAGCCGCATAGTTTCAAGGTCGCCTTTGGTTGCCGCAATATGGAGTGCTCCCGTATTTTCAATACTTGCTCCTGCATCAAGGAGGTCAACCACAAATCCAGGCCTGTAGGAGGTGGCAACCCCCAAAGGGCCCAAACTAACACCCCTGTGGTTGATATTCGGGTTGGCCCCCAAGCTCAGCAGATGCCGAGCCAACGGAAATTTGTTATAGTGGATGGCGTTTATTAGAGGAGAGCCAGTGTACCCAAATGAAATATTTATATTGCAGCCACCATCTATCAGCACCTGGTAAGTAGAAATGCCGCCTTTGCCTTCTAGGGCTGCCCAGTGCACGTAAGTGGAATGTGCAAGGTTCGGGTAATCTCTGACCAGGCTGGCAAGCTCCTCCACCAGGCCAGCGCGAGCAGCAACGACGGCAGCATCGATAATAGGTTGAGGCGGCGGAGTGTGACATCGAGTAAACCAGTTAATTGTTGAGGATTTCTTCATAGCTCGTAAAAGTTTCAATGACGGGTAGAGATTGGGAATAAGTCGTTCGGCATAAAGGGTTTCCTAACGTTGGAGAGCCGAACAGCTGGATAGAGCAAATATGCCAACAAATATATAAATGCTCCCTCTGACACTGATTAAGAGCACGTGAGAAAGCAAGTAGCAAGGCTGATGCAGCCCAGACTTTGTCATATGGTGGGCATCTTGTCTAAGGACTCTCACGGTGTGTAGATGAATAATCTGGTACACTGTACGGAGTAAATAGTTGCAATCATTAATTTAACTCAACGGCACGATCTGCGACCCAAATACCTACCAGGAGGAGCTAAAGACTTGATGAAGCATTTTTGAGCGCAACCAACTGACAAAGGTGTTAGCCTATTGGGGGTAGTAATAATGACATTAGCTGTTACAAATCCCAACACATAGGGAAGACCTGACTAATGGCTACACATAAGATCCGTACACTGCGTACTCAATAATCAGGGGCAGACATCTAACAGCCGGGGCGGGTGGTAAGAGTATAGTATTCCAATGTCGACTTAAGAGATCATAAATAATGGTATAAGTAAAGAGCTTACAGCCATTAAGCAGATGTACATTTTTCGTATCATTGGCATACGGTGGTATTTGCAACAGAATAATATAGTCAATAAGTCTCCTTGCTATTGCCATTTCCTCCCTTATATGAATATAATGCGAATCACGATGAAACGGTCTCAGATTCCGCGGACCTATTTGTCTTTTATCCTGTTTGCTTGTGTCTGGTTACAATGGCTCCCGGTCTTCGCTTTACCGTCGTCGGGCAATTTCACATCTATACCTACATTCTATCATTATCATCACCACCATCATCATCATCGACTGGGAAAACGTGTCCTCAACCCTCCCCTCCCAACGACAGAGTACGCAAAGACAAAGATGAAGCCTGGAACGCCGCATAAGGATAAAGCTATCTTTTATACAGCAAACACCCTCTTCTCGGCACATTACCTCCTTCAACGGTTTAATGGTCAGGGGATTGCCGATACTGATAACGGCGAGAAAGTAATGCTCATGGATGGTGGCCCTTTCTTGGAGTCACAGAAGCTGTTTCTCAATGACAAAGATACCTGGGAAGAACACGAGACGCATATGGCGGTAGGCCAGGTATCACAAGCATTCGCTGAGCGCGCAAGAGGTATTGTGCGGGTGGTATTTCCAGAGAACTATTCGCCGCATGCTAGACCCAACGTCTGGACTGAATATGAGTGGCCGGCGCTTAAAAAGAACCCGGACGTGACCAAGGTGCTCGCTTGGTGGGTGAAAGTAGGTGGAGATGAACCCAAGGGCGACGGCACGGAAATTTGGCCATGTGACATGACCACCGACCCTAAAGGACAGCCGTTTTAGCACCAAAAGTTCAGTATTGTACGATATATCAAGAGATGGAGATGGAAGAGCGAAGGAAACTTGTATAGTTACACCCTCTTGAAGAACAACTGTATAATTTCCGCTGTATTGTATATTAGTTAGTTAGCAAGACTGGAGGTGATAGGCTCAGTTAATTTACCTTAATATAAGAAGTAACTATCCCCAAGTCTTGATCGGACATATATATCTATATTCGCTGTGGGGTATCATGTCTGAATTTATAGAATGGGGCGATCTCTACTCACTATTTATAACTATTTAACTATTTATTTATAACAAGGGTAGGCTCGAACTAACTAACTAGATTAGGGATAGTTTATAGCAATGGTTATCAAACATAAAAGAAGGGGAAGCACTTTATTACAACGTCGTCAAAGAGATGTGTAAAAGCTGAACAAGACGGTATATCTCACTTCGTGGGATTGTTCCCGCGAAGGCATCCCATCCAATTCCGGTTCTTTGATATCTCCCTTGCCCCATCCTTTTGCTCCCGATAAGTGTTTTTCCCTTTGCCCTGGGTAAGTTTGATGTTCTTGGCGATGTCTTTAAGGATTTTGCTAACTGCCTTAGCGGCAGCTCTGGCGGCAGCTCTGGCAGCAGCCCGAGCGGCAACTCTGGCAATGGTTCGTGCAATGGCTGCAGCGATGGGTATGAGGATACAAAAAACTCCACATCGGCGCCCAACATCGACGGCCCCGGTGGAACGAATGGAAAGATCTCGGGTTGATGGACTGACGATTAGCCCCGTCTCCTGTTGATCGTCGCGATGCACTTGGTCCTCTGAAGCAGCGTCATTGATGGACCTCTTGGCATAGTTTTCTTCCGCAAAGTCCACGTATTTGTCGAGATATTCTTCTGTAAATACGTTTTGGTCCAGGAATTTTGGATCAACATCTTTCAGTTCCTCAGGCCAGAGGTCGAGGAGCTGCATGCTTTCCATGAAGTTTTCGTCAAAAAAGCCAGTGCTGTACTTTTGGATTGCTTCTCCGCCTATGGCTAGGGGTGTGAGGAGAGCACATCTCCCAAGGCGGCGTACTTTCAAGCGATTGAGCTTATCACTCTTTATATCCTGAAGCTCCTTGTATTTTCTCCTTTCGACAGTCACCTTCCTCCGCAATCTCAATGGCTTGGGTTGGAATTTGTGATAGTTCTTCTCGAAGTTATAGTCTCGCTTTTCCCTGTCCTTCTTGTCCTCAAACTTCTTCTTCTTGTCTTCTTTGCTGTCGCGGAGGCACTCCTTCTGTTTCGGGTCTGGATGCGTCCTAGGCGGGCATTGGTTGCATTTCGTGCAATCTTTGCGGTCATGAATCGTCATTCGCTTGCACCGTGGCCGACATCGGTCACATTTTTTCTCGTCTTTCTTTGGTGGAGCTGCTCGCAACACAAGGCCGGGATTCACAGAAGTGGGGTCTCTTTGGATATCATCCACCGCTGCGTCGAAGACGAGGCTATGCTTTGCCGCAGATGGAGGAATATTCCCAGCTGCAATCGCTGGGGAGAAGAGCATGAAGCCATGGTTGAGCAGAATGAAGACTGCCTTCCATGATTTTCGGATGTGCATCTTCGAGGAATATAGAGGAGTTTAACGAGAAGGCTTGGGTTGTAAGTGAGCACAAGTCTTATTTGAGATTCCGATAAGGTCAACTTTAGGATCTCGAGGCATGGCCGTACCTTAGTGGTATATCTACAAATTTTATGCCGCCCATTATCCAACATTGGATCTAGGGATGGAAATTTCACCTGAAACAGACATACCCTCCCAAAAACCTGCTAGGTTATGATATTTACGCCGTAACTCGTGCTCACCCTGCTACTAATCAATCGTTACAGCATGAACACAACTGCCCTAGTTAAATGTGATGATTATTTGATATGTCATGCCCCAATGACCTTGACCACATAATAGTATGACATGATGCGAATGCTTACTCTCTAACCTCATCTCCAGGACCCCGATAATCTACCGATGTGGTGGCCTAGAGCCTGCGGATGCAGTTTCTATGATATATACAACCGCAGTCGGTGTCCAAAGGCACAGTATTGACTAAAAAGTATGGAGTATTTTGCGAGCGAGATGTACAGTAATCAAGCCGCCTTCCAAAGTGAAACCGGTGCTAAAGTAGGGTATAATTAAATAGTATGGATTGATATATGTATAACGATGCATGATGCTTTGGCAGCAGCATGAGTAACTACGGCTACTAAAGTGAGACTATTAAAGGCACTTACTCACCAGTATACATATAGAACTAGCCCATGATTGATAACTAACCCGGGTTTACTTTGACACTGAACAGCGGGAGAAAGTGTCTGACTCGAGGCTCTTTAAAATATTACTGTTACCATGATATTACAAATGGCAGCGCATATGAGCTAGTATTGGAGCCCCGATGTGTAGGGGGGAGAGCTTTTTCATCCCCTACCTCCCCTTCCCATGTACCCATGGGTGTGCAAGCCTAAGCACATATGTGATATAACATCTCTCCCCAAAGCCGCAGAAAGTCAGCAACCCGCGTTGTACATACATGGGTACGGTGATGGTGATGACTACGCGCATCACAGCCTTACGCTGGAACAGCCAACAACGTCGGCCCTAACATTCCCCTAGATTAATCCCCAGCTGGCTCAGTGGTACCGCTGCCAATCTCGAGTCTCCCGATGTACCGAAGCTGTAATCTATAAATACACGCTGAGACGGACACATTCTCCACAGGCAAAAGGCCTTTCGACTCTCTTTGTGATTTCAAATATCATAATAACTACCTCAATCTCACAGTTATATCCTTCTCAAGGCCCAAAACTACAAAGGGGCGTCATTTGATATTATCAAACAATCCATTATCCCATTTTCTATAAATACTATACCCCTTGTGCTAGTAAAATTATGCGTCCTCGAACCCTCCTCATTCCTTTGGTGGCTCTTGTAGGCCTACCCCTTACTACACAAGGGTTCGAATTTAGATTCTATAGGGGTAAAGACTGCCGGAGCGAGCCACTGGGCTTTGAGGTAGCCGGGCCTGGGCAGGACTGCAGTACCGTGTCGGCCGGCACCGCTCAATCAGTCATCGTCAAGAGTACGGGGAAAGTCGATGACAACCTCTATGCTGTGTTTTTCAGCTCGGATGATTGTGATCCAAACTCTATTGTACTACACACGGACAACGATGAGTGCCAAAATGTGCAATACAAGTCCTTCAAGGTGTGGGATGTGGATGAAGAATAACGGGTAAGTAGATCGTGAAGGTTCTTCTTCTATCTATCCTCCCCAAAACCGTCCTGAAGCTTATCAAATTTCAGTATTTAGAACTTTCACCAGGAGGGCCGGGGCGAGGAATATTTGAATATCTGGACGATCATATTGTGAAGGATTACCGATTGTCTATTGGGAAAATTAGCGGTGGGAAGGGTTAGACGCAGTATGTATTTTAGGGGGAATAGGGGCTGAGAGCTAGAATTGGACGCTAGCTGTCGCTGACGCCCAAGGATACGAGCCGTTCAGGTACACCTATAGAAGGATTACAACTTAGATACCCTGATATCCCATTATTATGTATATAAATATCATTCATTCTATTGTGACTTATCTACCATGCAATACCGCTACGCGACAAATGCGGCATAAGACAGGATCCCGAGACGGAAGATATAAAAAAGTCACTGAGAAATATCCGCTGAGGCTCCATCGTATTCGTGCAGCAAAAATCCTATAACTAGTTATGTAACTAACTAGTTAAGTCCTGTTAAGTGGTTAGTTCAAAACTTTTGTCCATTGGCTGGTGAAATAACTAGCATCGAGTCATTACATCCTTTACAAGGACACGATGAATTTCTCCGTTTCAACTTCTCATTCCAACCGCTCGCATTCACGCCAGACACCAATGATGCAAACCCGACGGAGCTTTACGAGCTATCACTGGGCCTTTTGCGGCAGCCAGTAAACGGGAATACGGAGATGCGGTATACTATCTACAAAGTGGATGGTGGCGTCAGTTCGACAACAGCCTGACCAAACTTGATATTGTGAACAAGTATGGCCTGGGTACGCAAGACCTGCGCGCCGTCGATACTCTATGTAATGGATTTCTGTATATCCCGATCAGAGAATCTACTGTGCTAGTACACATGTTCGAGTAGCGCACACGGTATGTCCGGAGCGCAATATAGTAAGTGCTGAACGAAGATGAAGACATGGGTATCTGACTGATAAGCAAGCCGGAAGGCCATATGCACTACGGGACCACAGGGACGCCAAGTACCTGCTCAAGGCCTACTTTAAGTCTAGTGATACCGTTGCCCATGAAGCAACGAGGATGATAAGGCATATTTACCAGACCAAAGAAGCCATCTAATCTGCCTTGAATGTACGACGGAACCAGACCATGGTGCTAGAAACAAAGATCGAGATCATGATGCTTGGACTGGCGCCAGCGACCCTTGTAGCCGGATTATATGGCATGAATGTGATTAATTACCTTGAAGAGGGTGTATGGGCGTTTGAAATACTGGTTTCATTCTGTTTAACTGGCATAGCATTAATCTGGCGATAGGGGATGCAGGCGTTACGATATATCTAGAAAGGGTAAGTATAGATCCGAAATTTGAATGATACGAAACAAAAGGAAGAAGCTACTATTGCTTTGAGATTCCCCGTCTATATTTTACTACCGCCGACTGGTCCCGACAATTGGAAGTATGTGGCAAGAGTTATACCCTTTTCCTGTTTGTATATAGTTCTGACCTACGTTTTCGTCATTAGGTTCCTTGGAGGCTCCGCCTGGCGTCAGGGGGGCGCTCAGAAAGTGTCCAGCGACACGGAGTATGATCCCTTTATTGACCGCAAAGGCCATCCCCATCGGTCACAGTGTGATTTCTAATGGCACAATAGTACCTGGGCTAATCTTCTCCTCACGATCATGTCTGTAGAACACTTCCTGGCCGTCGGGACTTGAGCGTGCCTTGTCTCAAGAAGGGGATGAAGAAGCTCGCAGGAACTCCTGAGGGCCATAGATCTTGCAAGTCTCAGCATCTAGCACTTCGCTTTCTGGCAATGGACACGGAAAGTGAACTCCTGTCAAACAGTTCCCTGAACTGTCAATCTTTCACAGTTGAATGACGACGTCTATGTCGTCCTTTTGTCATGCCACGCAGCATGCGCCCACCAAGCCCACGTCACGTGGCATCCAAGCCCACATCACGTGGCATCCAAGCCCACATCACGTGGCATCCAAGCCCACGTCACGTGGCACCCAACATCAAGCATATAAGCAGTGCAGCGACCAGAGATGACGAGCGTCATCACTGTGTATGATCTTTTGGTCGAATGGCATATGCTGTATCATCGCTGCCAGCATATACGGCCATTACACCTTTTCCATGCAAGATATCCAGAGACGGGCCTTTGCAAAGCTAGCAATCTCAGTACATTCGCTGAACCTGAAGACGAAATCCTGCGCAAAATATTATATCTGACGATACAGAGGGAACTCGGTCTCTGGCCGTTCCACGATATTAGGGATAGACCTAAATCTATAAAGAGATAACCGTAATAATAGTAAGGTAGTATAAATAGTATTGCTATATTATATAGATATAGCTTATCGAGGTAGGTAATAAAATAGATATTAATATTAATATTAGTATTAGATATATAGTCTAATATATTAATAGTATAATATAGAATAGTTTAATATTAAGTTCTTATTAGCTACTAGATATAATATATTAGAGCTTATATAGTATTAATAGTCGAAGAGAGTTCTATTTAACTAACTAAGAGTATCTATAAGTTAAAGATAAAATATATAGAAAAGAAGAAGAAAGAGAAAAAGGAAGGAAGTTAGTAATAGAGGATAGAGCTATAGCTCTAGGCGTTAAAGTTATATAACTATATTAAGAGTTATATATATAAGAGTAAAAAGGGGAGTCTAATAATAATATTTCTAGATAGGCCTTATTATCTCGTTAATTATAGAGTATATAATAATTTAAGAAGGGAATAAAAGTCTAACTACTATAAAGGGGTTTCTTTAGTCTATATAACTAGAAGTATACTTAGATAAGAATTACTTAAAGGCTTCTTTATAGATAGTTAGGTCGAAGTATTATTAGAGATATATCTAAATAGAGATACTCTAGTATCTAACTTTAAGGTAATAGCTTTAAATCTAGCTTACTTTTATAGGTATAAGTTCCTTATTATAATTAAAGTAGTACTCTAATTAATTAAATATAAGGCTTATTAAGGGGATATTAGATAGATAAAGGAGGTATATTTATATTAATTAATACTATAAAGCTATAACTTACTATAAAATTAACTTTAATTATAAGTATTAAAAAAACTCTTAATTAAGATAGAAAATAAGTATCTTTATATATATATTAATCTAAATTTATATTATCTATTTCCTTATAAATCTATCGTTAGTCTTAAATCTTAAGTCTATTATTAGATTTAACTTTTAAATCTATTATTAGATTCGAACCTTAAATCTATTATTAAATTCTCTAGCGCTTTAATAACTTAGATTCTATATAATTATATAATTTACTTATTCTAAGTTTCCTATCCCCTCTATATTAGTCTAATAAATATAGTTATTTAAGCTATACTATAGATAGTCTATAATATTATCCCTCCTCTTCTTAATAAATTATCTTAATTATTATCTTCTTTTTCTTATAAGTAGTAAGTATACTTCTTATTATTTTTCTAAAGGTTCTATAAGTTCTTCTTATCCTTTATTATAGCTTCTAAATCTAGTATTTAAAAATCCTTATATCCTTATAATTATACTCCCGAGCTTTAAGTTCTTTCTAAAATTATTAATTACTAAGAGTAGATCTCTAAGTTTTCTTATAATAACTATTTTATCTTAATAACTCTCTATATAGTTATATTTAAATCTCCCTTTAGTTGTTATATTATTTAGTATACTACTTATATCTATAATAACTATCCTTATATAAACTATACTTATAATCCTTTAGAGACTAGAGTAGGCTTATTAGAAAGAATAGAAGTTCTTTATTTAGTATTATATTTTTAATAGCCGCTTAACTTTATTATTACTCTCCTTTTAAGCTCTATATCTCTAGGATAAGCTTTCCTCTCTTTATTATACTATTACTAATAAGTCCTATTATCTACTCGAGTTCTAGACTACTAAGCTATAGCTTTAGCTTTATAATAATAAAATATTATCTTCTACTAAGAAGGTAGTTAGTCCTCCTTCTTTAGCTAATCTATCTCTAGATTAGTTTTTTACTATTTTATCTAATTCTATTAATATTTCTTAATCGCCTATATTATATTCTAGAGGTTCTTAATAGGCTTATAAATATTTTCTATACTATTATAGTCTTTCTATTTTACTAAATAATAAAGCCTTCCGCTAATCCTTTTTTTATCTAGAATTCTTTCTACTTTATATTTTTATTCTTAGTTTTCTTATTCGAGTTCTAGTTTATATAGTTTAGTATTTTAGAGTACTTTTTTAATTAATAAAATATAAAATACTAGATATATTTTTATATAGTCTAGTAGTTAGAGTTTATAATTAACTTATCCAAGTTATTCTAAAATTTTAAATAGTTCTATCTTCTAGTAGTCTAATTTATTACTTAGTCTTATAGTTTTAATATTCCGTTATAGTAGGAATACTTTCTCCCCCTTTTTAAAAGTTAACGCTTCTATATATTTTTTATTATAGTAGTTATTTATTCTATAATTTAAGAATTTAAGATCCTTTTTTATTATTTTATATAGATTTTATAATTTTTCTATTATTATTTCTATATCTCTTATATAAGTTTTTACTTTTCTAGATATTTTTATTATTTCTAGTTCTCTTCTATAATTTATAAAGAAAGGTATTATATCTATTAAGGCTATTTTAGCTCTATTATAGGTAAGCTATACTATTAGTAGTAGTTTAATCTAATTATTCTATTCTTAGTTAATATAGTATCTTAGATATTATTCTATAGTTTAATTTATTCTTTTACTCTATCTATCCGTCTAAGGGTAATATACTATAAATACTTTTTATTTAATCTCTATTCTTTTAGTAAGTATTATTTAAAATTTACTTATAAATTATATATCTTTATCTAATATAATTTCGTCTAATAATCTATAATTAGTAAATACTTATTATAGTAGAATATATACTATATCCAATATCGATATTTTTTTAATAAATAGAATAAAGTAGATATACTTTATTAATTAATCTATAATTATTATTATTATATTGTATTATATACCTAATTATAGCTCCTTTAATTTCGGTAATTTTATAATAAAATCTATTACTATTAATTTCTAAGAGGTTTCCTTATATAGTATAGATTATAAAAGTCTATATAGTGTATATTATACCAATTTATTATATTAGTAAATATTATACTTTTAGATATATTATCTAATATCTCTCTATATATCTAGCTAATAATAACTTCTAGTAATCCTTTCTATAGTCTTCTTAATTCTAAAATATTCTATACTTAATTTATTATAGTTCTTCTTTAATATTTATTTTTATACCTCTTTAGGTATTAGACTGCGGTCCGGCCCGGGTCGGGCCGGGTTTTGGCCTTTAAACTACCGACCCGATCTCTATATAAGCTCTAATATATTATATCTAGTAGCTAATAAGAACGAAATCCTGCGCAAAATATTATATCTGACGATACAGAGGGAACTCGGTCTCTAGCCATTCTATAATATTAGGAATAGACCTAAATCTATAAAGAGATAACTATAATAATAGTAAGGTAGTATAAATAGTATTACTATATTATATAGATATAGCTTATCGAGGTAGATAATAAAATAGATATTAATATTAATATTAGTATTAGATATATAGTTTAATATATTAATAGTATTAATAGTCGATAATACTTTATTAGCTACTAGATATAATATATTAGAGCTTATATAGTATTAATAGTCGAAGAGAGTTCTATTTAACTAATTAAGAGTATCTATAAGTCGAAGATAAAATATATAGAAAAAAAGAAGAAAGAGAAAAAGGAAGGAAGTTAGTAATAAGGGATAGAGCTATAGCTCTAGGTATTAAAGTTATATAACTATATTAAGAGTTATATATATAAGAGTAAAAAGGGGAGTCTAATAATAATATTTCTAGATAGGCCTTATTATCTCGTTAATTATAGAGTATATAGTAATTTAAGAAGGGAATAAGAGTCTAACTACTATAAAGGGGTTTCTTTAACCTATATAACTAGAAGTATACTTAAGTAAGAATTACTTAAGGGCTTCTTTATAGATAGTTAGGTCGAAGTATTATTAGAGATATATTTAAATGGAGATACTTTAGTATCTAATTTTAAGGTAATAGCTCTAAGTCTAGCTTACTATTATAGGTATAAGTTCTTTATTATAATTAAAGTAGTACTCTAATTAATTAGATATAAGGCTTATTAAGGGGATATTAGATAGATAAAGGAGGTATATTTATATTAATTAGTACTATAAAGCTATAACTTACTATAAAATTAACTTTAATTATAAGTATTAAAAGAACTTTTAATTAAGATAGAAAATAAGTATCTTTATATATATATTAATCTAAATTTATATTATCTATTTCCTTATAAATCTATCGTTAGTCTTAAATCTTAAGTCTATTATTAGATTTAACTTTTAAATCTATTATTAGATTCGAACCTCGAATCTATTATTAGATTCTCTAGCGCTTTAATAACTTAGATTCTATATAATTATATAATTTACTTATTCTAAGTTTCCTATCCCCTCTATATTAGTCTAATAAATATAGTTATTTAAGCTATACTATAGATAGTCTATAATATTATCCCTCCTCTTCTTAATAAATTATCTTAATTATTATCTTCTCTTTGTTACGGACCACCTATAGCACAACTTAGGCAACTATATTCATTAGACCAATATAGAGCAGATAGAAAACTTGGGACGAGCAGATCACGTAATTATATAGAATCTAAGTTACTAAAGCGCTAGAGAATTTAATAATAGATTCGAGGTTCGAATTTAATAATAGATTTAAGAGTCGAATCTAATAATAGACTTAAGGTTTAAGACTAATAATAGATTTACGAGGA